TCTCGAACGTGGACGACTATATTACGCGAACCTTAGATTTTTCACAACGCGCGTCTTTTCTTCTCCAGCCCGTTTGATATTTAGAAAATGTGTCCGCTTTTCATTGAAAATTGAAGATACGAATTTTCAAGATATTTTAATCAATTCGAAATATATGTAGAGTGTAGAATATATTATATTTGAATATTTTGGCACAAATTTTAAATATGTCCTGTATAAGAGAAATTGGGAAAATTTCGATTAAAAATTAAAAATAAGAATTTTTTAAATATTTAAATTTAATATACGTAAAATGTAGAATATATTATATTTGAATATTTTGGGCACACATTTTTCATAATACGTCACTTATCCAGCTCATTAATTTAATTTAAAAATATGTTCTTTGTATAGAAGAAATTGGGAATTTGAACATTTCCAATTTAAATAGAAAATAAGAATTTTTAAATATTCAAATCAATGCAAACCATATGTGGAGTGTAGAATATATTTTATTTGAACATTTTGAACGATTTCAATTTAAAAGATATATATCCTTGGTAGGAAAATTGGGAAAACTTCAATTAAAAATTGAAAATAAGAATTTTCAAAATATTTAAATTCGTCCAAGCCACACATAGAATATCTTTCGTTTGAATATTTCGGGCGTTTAAAAGCCCGCAGAGATCGCTTGCGAAATTGAAAACAGGCGCGCAAATGGACATAGTATAGGTATCGTTCGAAATGAAAGAATTTTCATTGCTCGCAATTTCTTGCATAGCAATAACACGGCGAGCATATGACATATAACATATATATATATATATATATATATATACATATATATATATATATATATATGCATATATCGTCAATCGTCGCGCAGCCCTGTAAATGAAAGCCAGCCATAATTCGACCCTGACTAGACTATACCGCGTGTCGTGCCGTATACGAGTATATTCACCCATACATATACATATACATATACAGGGTGCATTTCGCGGAATGCTCGCATGCAAACGTTGCAATATTCAACACTGTTGACTCTCGAAATAAGAAAACTAGAGAGAGAGAGAGAGAGCCTTTTTGCGTCAGGATCGATGCCGCGGAGAGACTCGAAATGCCCCTCCATTCCTTCCCGAAGAGAGAAACCCCCAATTCGCGTGAATTAAAGATCGAATGCATCCACGCTGCAGGAGCAATCTTCCCCGAGAATCGATATTATGACATCGACACAGCTGAGAATCCCCGATACTTTCGGCTCTCCTGGTGAAAATTTTCCTCTTCGAAATAAGTCTGGAATAAGCAGTCCGAGCCCCTAAAAGCGATCTTTGTTTCATCCAAGTTCATAAAATTTCGCACTAAAGGCATGGGCGTTCGCAGGATTAAATTCTTGGTTTCTTAATTTTTATTTTTGACATTAAATATGCAACAATAATATTTTAACGATTCCTCTGCGGGCGCTCATGACTGGAGAGTCGAGTTTGACAGCAAAATAGAGTTATATCCTGAGAAATTGTTCTCCCCCTGTGTCTCGAATGATCCATATAAAACATAAGAAATGGAAGGGGAAGGAGAGAGAAAGAGAGAGAATGTGTGTGTGTATTAATTAAAGAAACAAAAACGATGCATATCGGGGCGGCATACAATGAGCACGCACGCACAATAGTTTTTCAGAGAAGAGAGCGAGAAAAGGAGTACGTATGTGTGCGCACACATTGTGTTGTGCCCCTATAATACCAGTGTTGCCTACCTAGTCGCGGTAGCAGACACTTTATGGTATCTAACTACTCTTTTTTCGCGACGGCCGCCTGCATAATTTATGATTATTAGCATAATTTATGGCGATGCGTGTATATACATATATACTTTCCACCATCGCACCGGTTCGCTCCTTTTCGCTTTACGTTGACCAGACCGCTTGGGATTGCCGGATGTCCGGATTCTCGTTTTTCCAGACGCTGCTGCTCGCGATTTTTGCATCTCCTTGTATTTCGAACCTCGATATAAGTCAACAGAAATTGATCAACCCTTCTGTCCGTGAATTCCGAGCTTCAAAGATCCATCCCCAGAAGATCAGACGTCAATCAGAGTCTGATGGAATCACACATTTTCTTTATATCTCGAACATCCGGATCAAATATCAAAGATACGGAATATCCTTCTAATGCTTGATATCTAGCAATCGCTATAAAAAAATATCGCAGTGCAATTTGTTGAAAAATACGAATTGGTAACTCGGGGACATTGATGGAAAGATTAGGGAAGAATTCCGCATTGACAGAAGGGTTCGTAAATATCGATCGCACTTACATTTGCTTGCTCGTTAACTTTATTCCGAATATACGTTGTTTCGTTGTTCGTTAATATTACATATTTCCGGTTTTCGTAAAACCGCGGATGTCCGAAGCTCGATCTTAAGAAGGACCCGAAGAATCCTGGCGATCCTAATCGACTGGGGCTCTCGTCGCTTTTCCGAAGCGTTTTCCGTTGGTTCCGCTGTCGTCCACTTTCCGGATCAAGGATGAAAGAGAGTCCAGTGGTTTTCTAATACCAATTTTCTATATAATACGTAGTAATAATCGATTAATAATTAATTATAGTAACGAGGACGCGCGCAGGTGATGCGGGTGCAAATTGAGCCGAATTCTTTCTCTCCGTTCAGGATGACGCGAATTTATATTCGGAGATTTATACACCTATTCGATCATTTTCTCTATCAGGAAAAAAAAACGAACCTCGAGAAATTTTTCGCGGCCGCATCTCTCTGGATTTAATATTACTTCGAGAAAACGTCGTCCTTTATATATATATGATGCTCGAATCTCTCGCATCATCTGCGCTCGTCGCGCAATCATCACGAAAATTGTACAGTGCTCCGTTGTATCGCTCGACGATGTAAATACAACGACGAACGTCCGACAATTTTTTTCGGGAACACGTAGCTAATCAGGCGTGGCGGGGTGCTTAATCGATTCGAAGACGTATGATTTATATCGACGACGGCATTTTGACGTAACAGAAATAATTAGCAATTTTTTCAATTAAAATATATATATATATATATTCCAATTTTAAAATATATATTTCTTAAATACAAATATAAATTTTTAAGAAATATATATATAAATAAAAATTGAAAAAAAATTTTTTTTAAATATATACATATATGCATTTAAATAAAAAAAAATGATATTCGAAATGATTTTTAAATATGATGGATTTATATCCAAAATATGTTTACGGCCTCGCGACTTCTCTCGCGAATTAAACGCTCCGCGAACGCCCCGCAATTGTATCGGTAGAGTATATTAGGGCAGATTAAAAGAAAAAAAGAAAAAGAAAAGAAAAAAAAGAAACGTGTGCTCCCTCTCCCCATCCCCTATTTCCTTCTCCCTCTTCCTTTCCCCTCGCACCAAAAGTGACCATCAAGTACGCGCAATCACACCGTATTCACGTTCACCGCCCTCTCTCTTAAACGCTACTTAACAGTGACCTTTTGACTTTTCGGTAGATAGATGAATGACGTATGATTTTTTCGAATTCTTGCGAAAACGACAAGCGTGTCTCGCCGAAGTTGACAGTTCATTCGCTGTCGTCGAATTACATCTCCATTACGTTGATCGCGCTCTCTAATTTTATATTATTACTATTATTAAATTATTATTATACACGCGACACACTTAGAGATATAATATACGAAATAGCTTGATGTAAAGAGGCAAGACTGCAGAAACAAAAACGCAATCTTCGTCTCTTTCGAGGCAGGATATGATTGGTGTCTCTTCTGGGAGAGCGATTCAAAGTGATGTTGCGACATTGTCTCGTCGATGTCATCTCGTGTCGACGACATTATTAATTTATTCTTGTAACGTCATTATATATCGTTATCGCTAACGATCCGCGATCGTCATCGGCGCCATCCGCGACGAAGAAAGTCACATGTTACATATTATATGTTACACATTACATACATATTACACATTACATATTACACATTACATATTACACATTACATATTACACATTACATATTACACATTACATATTACATATTATATATTACATATTACATATTACATATTACATATTACATATTACAGATGAGCGTTTTGCGCTAAATCGCTCGCAGTCGAATAATTTCGATGGAGAGATTCAATGCCTCGTGATTAAAAAAAAACATACATATTGTACACGTCACGTATTGAGGCCGATGATGATCGTGATGTAATCGAACCAGAAAAAAGAAGCGGGACACAAAGGCGAATTATACATATATATATAAATATATAAATATATAAATATCTATCACTATATCGAGAGTTGTGCGCTGCGTTTACGCGATTTAAAGTTCATTTGTAAATAAAAACTATTTGACTCTTTGAACTTCTTGCGGTGTAATTAATTGACCTTACAATTATTACCCTCCGTCCTCTCTCCTCACATCCATATTCTTATGTAAGGTGATTTTAAATAAGTGCGATAAATTTTAGAAGATGATTCTTTGTCGAAAATTAGAAAGGAGCTTCCATATAAACACCTCGTATATTCCTCTCTGAGAAATACACTTCTTCAAAGAAGGAGGTGAAAATTAAGTTTTTATTTTTTTTTCTTAAATTTTGGACCAGTTAAAAAATGAAATTTGATGAATATTTTTCATTGAAAATAATAATTTTATATTAATAACTTTTTAATATAATAGGATAAAACTAACAATCCCTATTCAATTTTTTATAAAAATTTTTAATGTACCGCAATGTGTCAAATAGAAATGGGCATTAAAAGCTTGATATTTTTAGAAACTTTTTTATTTTTTTTATTCTTTTCGAAAATTAAGTTTTCTGAAAAAAAAAAAATAAATTATACATAACATGATGTTAAATTGCATAGATTTAAATAATGAGAATTTTGAATTATTGAATAAAGAAAGGCAAAAGCAAACTAAAATATCCATCAAATTTCATTTGTTAACTAGTTTAAAATTTGAGCAAAAAATAAAAATCCAATTTACACCTTCCCCTTTAAAGAATATAAAAAAGATCTCCTTTAATTTTCACAAAGAATAATCTCCTAAAATTCTTCGCACTTATTTAGAATCACTCTGTAACTCTTTGAACCTCAAAGGGGATGGAAAAATCAAATCCCCTTTATTCCGAGATCCGGGATCTTTTTCCGATATTTACGGATCTCGGCAGCGAGATATCGCGCGCGATGCTGCAGAAACAATTTATGAGCAATACAGAGTCGATATTGCCTCTCCTTCCTCTTTGAGAGGCGATATTGCTTCCGCACACTTGTAGGTCGCGCGCGCGTTGCTCTCTATCTCTCTGTCTCTCCCCTAAGGAGAGTGGAAATTAATTATGAAGCGCCACGGCTGCTCACGCTACGCAAGCTAACTGCTGATAGGTAAGGCACATGCCGGCGTTGTCCGCCAATGCGCCTTCCGCGTCGCTTCCGGGACCGAAAGCCACCCTTATACGGAAGGGCGTAGTCCAGGTCTCCACACGGCAGTTACCCTCTGCGTCGATTTCATCCTGTCTGCAAAGCGAGTTGCCGCAATGCTCCAGATTGCAAACACCCGCCACGTTATTTCCCGGCTGGAACAGATACACTTTTTTTTTTTTTTTTTTGCTGTGGTTTGATAAACAGGATGCAGCCTTTATCGGAAAAAGTTGCGGGCTCTTCTTATAACTCCGCTAATTTTATTTTATTTTATCCAAGTTTCGTCGAACTCGAACTCGCATTTTCGAGGGTTGAATTTCCTTCGCCATTTAAAATTTAAATTCAGATGTCCTGCGCAATTATTCGGTGTTACGCTAATAATTGTTTATGACTTGGTTTAATTTAATTTATATATATGAACTTAATTTAATTTAATTTAATTTAATTTATATCATAGGCTTACTATAATTTAAATTAATTAATAAATTGATTTGATTTAATTAATAACAAATTAATAAATTAATTAAATTAATTATAATAAATTAATTATAAATTAATTATAATAAATTAAATTAATTTCTTCTCTTTTGTTTATATCTTTTCCGTCTATTATGCTATAGATAGATGCAGATGCACGATAACTATTACAAATTCTTCTGTCGATGAATGAATATTCAAAGCAACTTGAAATGTTAAAAATGTGTTGAAATTTTTTTCGCCCGACACAAGATACAAAGGATCTTTGTTCGGAAACCTAAAATATAACGAGAAAAATGCTTAACAGCTGCTATTAAGATATTGTAGCAATGCAAAAGCGTGTAGCAAAAAGCTGTAGGTGGCATCTGGGTATTCATACATTAATGAAAAGATGAAAAATTCTGCATTAACAAAAGAGTTAAAAAGAAGAAAAAAATACATATATGCACGCCTGGCTCTTATAAGCCCTTTTCATACATCATTTCGTATTCACAATATATCAGAGCCCTTTTAATTTATTATTACAAAAAATCAAACGAGTTCACATTGATTGCAAGTGACAAATGATATATATGTATGAAATGCAAGCGTGCGACTTACCGTGATAAATTCCTCGAAGTCGCAGGGGATAAGTATTCTGTCCCTGCACCGTATCTCGTTGAAAGACACCGGAGAGGGTAAGGCACCAGTAGGAAGGATCATTTCCTGCTGCTCGGGCAATCCCGCTCCCGAGCCTTCGACGACGTCCACGTTGGAAGAATTCGCGGCGTTGTTTAGATTGATCGCGGGAGAAGCGGCGGAGACGTTTCCGCTGGCAGACGCGACGGAAGTCGTCGACGTCGCGACGCTCGTCGCGTTGGACCGGCCGGGTCCTATTCGAAAAGAGTCCCGGGCGCACGGCTGATAAGCGATCCCGCACATGTCTCTCTCCTGACGCACGCACAATAGGTGATCGTGTCCGGCGAGGTATCTGCCGTTCGGCAGATAATTGAACGTCCTCAGGGTGCCGTTCAACGAGCGAAAATATTGAAGACACCCGACCGGAGCGCGTTGCTCGAAACCCAATTGCATCACGCGCATCTCCCACATTCGTGACTGCAGACCGCCTGGCAGCCGGAAGTTCAAAGTGATCGGTTCGTTGCCTTCGCTCGCGTCCACGTACACTGCGAAAAATGTACGTATATGTATATGTTAGATTTACTTAAGCAGATTTTCTGATTTTATGCCATTTTTTTTTAAGACAATTTTTCTTTAGAAAGTGTGTGTTGAGGAAGATTATTTTTTTTACCATTTTTTTCTCAATTATTTATTTTATCCTATTTTAAATCAAATTTAAATTCTATTAAAGTAAATTTTATTTGAAATTCATTGAAGAATATGAAAAATATATTATATATTTTCATTACTTCATTTTAATTATTTTCGTCGATTTTTATGATTTTGATCAATTTGATTATTTTAGCCATTTTAATTATTTTGATTGTTGTGATTGTTTAGACTGTTTTAATTATCTTGATGTAAAACAATCAAAATACAAAAAACAATTTTTTATTTTAATATATTTTTTCAAATAAAAAATATATATATATTTATGATAAAAAATAGACATATGTAACATAATAGAGAAATATATACAATTTTCATTATTTATTACTTAATTTTATATTCGCAGAATATTTTTTGCATATTTTTGCATAATTTTGCATACTTTTATTATTTTTACACCATATATTCTTCAGTTAATTTCAAATAAAATTTAATAAAATTTTAATTTGAGATCTTATTTATAAGATGCAGTAAAAAATTCTATATTTAAATAGCGCGGACATGGACATATTTTGCAACGATGGATTTTATTGCGAAAAGAAAGCTATAGATTTTATACAATGAAAATAAGTTCTCACCATGTTGTCCACTATTCCATCCGCACAGTTCGATAGATCTTCTGCCATTATTAATCACCATGACATCCTCCTCACATACACCAGTCATTGCATTTGGTTGACCCTATAAATTATATTATATATGTACTCTTTCCTATTTTTTTCATTTCCTTTCTCTCTAATTTATTTACAATAAGATTGTGTGCACAAGTGTTCCAGAGCCGGATGTCTTTTAATAGCGAACTCCAATTTAAAGATGATTTTTTCTTAGCGAAAATATCGAGGCGTCAATAATTCTCGAGTTGTAAAGGCGATTGGAAAAGAAAAGCTCTTCGCAAACTATAAACTTTGTGTCGAAAGTCGAAAAGAAAAATACAATGTAAAAAATATTAGAAAATGTAAGGAATAATAAAAGTATAAAATTACACAATAATAAAAGCATAAAATTACGCACTAATCAAAATAAAAATATATAACAATAGAAATATTTTATAAGAATTTTTATTATTTATTATACAATGTTATGTGTTCATGTAATTTTACATAATTTTTTACAGTGTATTACTTTAATTAATTTCAGATAGAATTTACATTAATAGAATTTTAATTATTTAGAATTTTAATTCACTTATAGTTATGTGGAATAAAACAAATTGAAGAAAAAATAATGATCTCTCTTTCTAGACATGTTCTCTGAAAAAAACCGCTTTCAAAAAATTAATCACAGACTATTAAAAAAACATTCAACGATTTTTTTAATGATTATACACTATATACACTAATGTATTTATATAAAATAAATTGATGAAGAGAGGCATCTCTCCTTTATACAAATGCAACAACCGAATATCGATTTCCAAATTATACATATTTTTTCACAATATATATGTATATTCTTCAATTAATTTCAAATAACATTTACTTGAATAGAATTTTAATTTCAGTTTATTTAGTCGTAAAATAAACTAAATAGTTGAGGGAAAATGATAAAAAAAAAAAATAATCTTCCTCGACACGTTCTCCAAAGAAAAATCGTCTTCGAAAAATAAAGTATAATCAGGGAATCCACTACAGTTAAAGGGACAGGTGGTTTTTCGGAGGATTGTGCTATATACACTAATGTATTTATATAAAATAAATCGATGAGGAGAGGCACACCTCTCCTTGGTGCAAATGCGACAACTTAAACATCGATTTCCCAATGTAAGAAGTAAGCATTACGGTCTCTAGGAGAAAAGTGTTTCATTAACAGGGCACGTCGTGTTAGCGTCGACATTGTCTTGGCAACTTGGTGCCATATTAGATTGCGCATTAAATGGCCTCCTCGGGGGAGAAAATCGACGTTCGCGATTGGTTAACGTCGGTGGATAACGCCAGCAGTAATAATAATAAAAGATATCCCTGAAACTTACAATGTTAAAATGGACAAAGTCGATCCTCAACTGGCTGACCTCCGTATCGATCTTTCGCACAACCACCGTACAGTTCATAGGCCGGTCGATGAGGTTGGGAAAACCAGGACTGGTCACGTAGGTCAGATTATTCTGTACCTCGTTGTCGCAGCTTGCCGTGACTGAAAACCACATTAATTGACCGACACAGTTAACTGGACGGGACACACGGAGGTTTGCGGTGGCATGGTGCTTCGAAATATTTAATTAGACATTAGAGACATATATATCCGCTCCAATCGCGTGATACGTCTATTTTGTTACGTCGAAAAATGTGTATCGCATTCATTTCTCGAAAATCGTCGGGATTATTAATGGAGATTAATATAAGATTGTGTCGATGCGCGAATAATAAATTGGCGCGAGTCCAATATTGAAGTTATCGATATAACGACGCTGTTAGCCTTCTAAAGTTAAGTGGGAAATCGGACACCTGAGTTTTATGCCGAGTTAAACTTCGCGAAGACATACCCGGTACAAGTTATTACATTGTTGCTTCATTCATGTATTCTGTGCGTTAATAATTCTTCCGAAATCATTTTCTGAAATCGGTTTTACAGGTAGATTTATATGTATCAAATAACAGACATCCAAGTTCGATGCTAACTTTTTTCAGAAATATTCATGCTAAGTTTCTATTTTCGTCATTTTTCTAACATATTGTAGTTTTATAATTATATAATAATTTTAAAGAGTTTAATCTATAAAAATCGGACACCTAAGTTTGATGCTAATTTGTATAAAAAATATTCAATGCAAGCTTCTGCTTTATTGTTTTTCTTATATATTGTGCGTCAATTATAATGATTTTTTCGCAAAACAATTTTTTGAAATTGTAATTAATTTTAAGCGGATTAATCTATAAATACAAAAAAAAGCGTATACAATTTTATATGGATCAATCGCTTTTTCTACATTGTGCGTCAATTATAATAATTTTCTCGCAAAACAATTTGTTTAAGTTGCAATTAAGTAATACAAATTAATCTATAAAAAAAATGAAAATTTAGATGTCTAAAATTTTAAAGACCTATATCTATATAAAAAAATCTGACACTCGCAAGTTCGATGCTAACTTCTCTTTAAAAAAATATTCAAGCATAGCTTTTCTTATATACTGTGTATTAAATAATTAATAATAATTTCTAATTATTAATAATAATGGACCGCGAAACAATTTTCCTAATAAGTAATAAATTTAAAAGGCCAACTTTACGAGCTAATTGATTAGGTGTTAAAAAATTTTTTTATTCTACATCATGAAAATAATACAAATGATAATTAGTAAACGTTTCAACTGTACGACAGTCTTTATCAATACAAATATCGCTTTGCTAACATATCAATAAATTAAATAATTTGGAAAGACAGACAAAATTTTTTAACACCTAATCAATTAGCTCGTAAAGTTGGCCTTTTAAATTTATTACTTATTTTAATTTTACACGAGCTGAAATTTATTTTTCATCATATATATTTAATTTTCCTAAATTGCAGTTTTCTTAATACTTTTACGTGGATCTAAAATAAATAATCTTCGATCCAGAAGTCCGCAACAAATTGTCGTGTAATTACCGTTATCTGTAGACGGATTAAACGACGAATGCCAGACATTCCGACACTTTCACGAACTCTCCACCGTAGGCGTCGCCGTGCGATATTATAGCGAACAACCTCCGGCTTCGATAACAAGTTCTCATTCAGGTATTCAGTGACCGTTTTAGAATCTCGGAACGCTATTCAACAGCCCGAACGGTTTACCGCTTTTGTATGTCCCTTTCTTACTTCGTCCCAGAAGGGATGACCATACTCGGTGGACACAGTATAAAAATGCATGAGCGTCGTTGCATTCAGCGATTCAATGAAAGAAGTACGAAAAAAAGAGAAAGATAGCTTTTGATTCAAAACACGGCACATTTGTGTACGTATATATATCGTGCTTGCGTCCGCGGAATATCCAAGATTCTATTTAGATATGTCGTCGGCTGCACGCGGGATATCGACTTTAACTCTGACAATTATTATTATTACCTTCGACAAATTTGCATTTGATATCTTTGCTTATTTGCGTGTCGTCAGAAATATTCTAATTTCATATTTTGATAATAAAATTAAATAATTAATTAATTAAATATTTGGTAACGCATCAAAGGCACATTACAAGTCCGAAATAAATAAGAAATAAATAAGATAAGATGAAAATATTAGCAGTGAATTAGCAGAAGTTTTTAAATGGAAACCCTTGGAATTAATATATTTTATATATATATATATATATATATATATTATATATTATATATATAATAACAAAAACATATATATATATATATATATATATGACATTTATAATATATTAAAATATACATATATCATATATAATACACAAAATATATAAATATAATATAAAATATTAAAATAAAAGAAATAAAAATAAAATTAATTGAATGAAATATTTTGATAACATAAATCAAATGCAAATTACAAGTCCTTGAATAAATAAGAAATAAATAAGATAAAAATATTAACCATGCATTAGCGGAATTTTTAAATAAAATGACGCGACACTGTTTGAAGTTTATACAAAGAGATCCGCGTCTATAAATACGATATGCATTTTCTTTTCTATCGTTCTTCGTCGCTCATTATATAATCGTCGTTCTAATCTCGTAAAAGCAACGATGGTTATTTATAGCTAAAGGTCACGTCCACGCATCTCTGATCGTGAAAGCATTAGAAATTTGTTTTGTTCGTTTTATAGAGCTCTTTTAAATTCACATATATAATACGTACATACACACATACATACACCGCATTTTATCTTTACACGTATCGCATCTCGAAATTATTATATTTATCAATCATCTGGCGAGATAACGCGTTCGCGATAGCAAAACTCGGACATCGCATCGAGAGATGCATCGAGAATGCAGGCGCACTGCAGGTACAAGGAAGTAAGGTGTTCGGAAAATCGGTCAAGAATCCGTACGTACGGTATGGCCCTGTTTTCGACAGAGCCATGCACCGTGGCGGAAAAGGCGACTGGATGCAGACCGAATAAAAGGCAACGAGGAGCAATTGGACGAAACGAAGACGGAAGGTGGAACGGTTCGCAAAAAGGTTACCTGTGGTATAAGAAGCTTCTTTCGCGACGAGAGACGAGAGACTTCGAAATTTTCAGAACACGGTGTAAATTAAAGCGGAAATTTTTTTCTAGTTTTTTTCATCAAAATTTCACGGAACATGTACTCAAAAAGGAATAGCATTATAAAAATTGTTACTTCTATTTGATTAAAAAATAAAAATCTCTTTAAAAATTCATAAATTCAGCGTTTGACATTTATAAATTCATTGTTAATCACACATAACGAAATATCTTTTGTAAATATGTAAATTAATTCAATTGCTTGAAAACAACTCACTAAACTATTCACGAAATTTTGATCTATTTTTGTTGTATATAAATTTCACAATCAGAATATTTACTGAAAGAGAACATTTTTGTGATAAAAAACTGTAATACTTTTATTTAATTAAAATATATATATATATTTTTAGAAAATTCATATTGTTAATTGCATAAAATTTTTATAAATAAATGTAAATTAATTAAATTGCTTGAAAATAAATAAGATTGGCTAAATTTTCATTTTCGCACATATACGTCTACAAAAAGTATCCTCTCGCATTAAATGCTTCATTTCATTAATGAACATAAGTGGGATACATTATTTAATAAATTTTAAAGTCGCTCCTTTCTTGAATTTAATGCAGCGGTTAATTACAAAATTATCAAGTCTAATATCTCGAAATTCTCGAAAGCATACTTTGTGATTAAATTAAATTTTAGAATTGAAAATGCACGACAAGATGTTCACTTTTCACCAAAAACTTTAAATAGATTTTATAATATTGAGTTTAAATTCTCAAGGAATTTATCATTACAATTTAAAAGAGCTGCTAAATACAATTGCGCTTTGTCGTTCAATGAAAATCATCTTCAAATTCGCGAAGAAATTTCACGGAATTTCCACGCAGAACTGCTTTAGATCTAAATTTCACGATTAAAATGTCAAATGTTAATAATAAACAAAATTATATATTATTTGATATATAAAATATATTAAAATATATATCATATAATATATAAATAAAATATAGAATCAAATAATATATAAATATAAAATATATATAAAATAAAAATAAATAAAAATATACATGGAAATATATTTTACGCATGATATATATTAAAATATATATAAAAGTAATGACATAAATATTATTAATATATATAATTAGTCTGTGGAACCCCATACGCGATTCTCGGTGACCGTGCCGAAAGGCAATTAAGTAACTGTATAACTCGGCCTTCAACTTCTTCCTCATCGTGTGAGCTCTCGTATACCGTTTCCCTCCTCCTCGCTTTCCTTCTTCGAGTGCTCCCTTTCACGGTATTGAGGAGAGCGTGTACCGCTTAAGAGATCGTCTCGGAATTATCTCCCGATACCGTTAAATCGAGAAGGAATAACTCTTTGATCGATTTGGCATCGATTCCGAAAGTCACATCGTCTTTAAATACATATTTATACATATATACGTATATATATTTTTTATATATTTCTGTTATATATGTATACATTTATCAATTTTTATGAATATATATATATATGTGTGTGTGTGTGTACACTGTAAAAAATATGCAAAATTACACGATAATCAATGAAAATATATATATTTTATTATTTATGGTATAACTGTACATTTATTATTTATGTAATTTTACATATTCTGCATATGTAATATATTGCACATTTTTTACAGTATCTGTAGGATGTAACTGAAAAAAAAACATGTATGAAACACACCATTAAATTCTCTGACCAAGGAGATTTTTTTTCACAATCAGTGAAAATATCAAGACGCTAATAATTTTCAAATTATAAATAATAATTGAAAAAGAAGAGCATCTCACAACCTAAACTTTGTAAAGTTAAAAATTAATCAAACTTTATTCTTCGGGTAATTTTAAAGTTTTTATAAAATTTTATTAAAAAGACTTAAAAATACATAAAAGCAAAAATTTGAAAACGTACAAAAAAATGATGACAACCTACCTCCTTTGACATTTTCGCCGAGGAAAAATTGTTTTCAAATTAGCCAGTAAATCTGATAGCTTACTTCATATATTTTTTTTCATATACCATCTTTAATTAAAAACACCTTACTTTACTTTTGAGTAACTTAAGTGACCCGATCGATCAGCTTATTTAAAAAATAGCCTGCACGAGGTAGGCATAAATACGTATTCAGGGGATCAGAATCTCTACTTGTAGATGGGAAAAAAATTACACACGATATATTTGAGGATACCTACAATGTATCGAAAAGATATTCAGATTATCCTCCTCTCGGAACGGATCGGCGCTCCCGCTCGGAGTAAATTTCATGATATCGCTTCTATGATGACGGATATAACTCGAGCTCGTGTACGTATATCGAATGAATGATATGGGAATATACGTAGGAACTTACATATGCAGCACACGCCGAATCCGAGTGCGCACGGTCCGTGGGATACACCTCGCTGGATGCGACACTCGTATGTGTTCATGCACGTACCCTGACGACGTTTGTCCTCGGACAGGCACTCCTCCTCCACTGGAACGGGAAAGAAGTTGAGCACTGCAAGCGAAACAAATCTTGATAAAAGAGGATTGATATATTAATGGATTATTTTCTGAATTTATGAGTTAATTATTTTCAAAATTAATTATTTAAAAAACCCTGTTCAGATAATCCGCCCAATAATGTCTCTTTTTAGTTATATCAATTAATTTCAAGCATGCAAATTAGATTAATGAATTATTATTTTTCTCTCTCGATGAATCTCGGAAAACATGAACTTTTGAGCAAATAAAATTATTTACGATTCGACATCTGCCTTTTCCATTTTAACTAAATGCTTATTTGTTAATATATATTACATTTGCATGAGGAAGATTTTTCAAGAAAGTCCTCGATGAAAAATGAATTCCATCCTTTCGATGAAGCTCATTTTATTTTTTCGAAAATAATTAAATTAGATCATTAAAAAAAAATTATATAATATTAAATAATTAAAAATAATTTTTTTTAATAATTAATTTTGAAAATAATTAACTCATAAATTCAGAAAATAATCAATTAATATATCAATACCTACCTGATCTTAATAACATGATTAAAGGAATAAACAAGTGACATAATAATATCTGTCTCAAACAATTAATATATCAATACCTACCTGATCTTAATAACATGATTAAAGGAATAAACAAGTGACATAATAATATCTGTCTCAAACAATTATACAATATTTAACAATTATACTGATTTTTATACAAAGTTTACAGGATCTCTCGTACATAAAAATCGCAAAGAGAAGCATCTTATTTCTCTCGAGTTAACAAAGAAAATAGAAGCCATGGCAAACTAAAAATGCTAACATAGGTGCTCTAGTTCAATTTTCTTTGGGTAAAAATTACTTTACAATCTTCCTCGTCGTAATCCCACGTATATTTTCGAATTACACATTTCCTCAAGAGTGCTTTCTCTCTCTCTCTCTCCAAAAAAAAATATTCCCCTTTTGAATCTCCTCACACGTAACTCCAGCAAAGCTCCACATTGATTTCGTTCAACTCACCCCTGGAAGATCGAGTAGAGTCCCGTTCGAGTAGGTCGTTAGACGTGGCTTTATTCCAGAGATTCAACCCCAAGAGCGACCATTGATGCGCGATCCTCGGCGACAGGGAGAGCATCAAGCCGACGCCATTCAGGGTGCATCGGATGTGGCTACCCGCCGACGAAAACGATGCTCCAGCCACCGCAAGACCGAGGCATAAGACGACGAGGAGTAGCCCATGACAGCGTGAAAGCATAATCGATGGTCACCGATACCCACGAAATTGCATTCCCGGCTGCTCCGGGCTCATCCGCGTCAACACCGAGCTGCCGACTGACTGTCAATGGGACCACGCGTGTCGGGCCCATGTGTCGGGGCCCACTCCTGCCCCCCCCCCCAGTGGTCCCGATATATGTATATCCCCGCGCTTTTATTTTCTCCGATATACATTTTTCTATGTAGGTTAATTTTCCTGAACGACGGATGTCTCATATAACTGTTTACAAATAAATTTTATTATATTAATATATTTATTACTATAATTATACATATAATATTTTATATAATATGTACCTGCTATATTATATTATTATATTGTATCTATAATATTTATATATTGTATTTATTTTTTAATAAAATAATATATTATATTTTTTTCGACAGTTATATAATAAAAAGCGAAAAAGAAAAAGAAAGGAGACAATCTGATTTTGATACAAAAAATCATAGTAAATTATAAATTAATAAAGGACAGAGGGAAGATATGGAAATATAAAAAAATATTTTCAATGTGAAATCTTTATTAGAGTTGTTAAATATTTTTTAAAATTATTTATTAAAATATATTTTTTTTATTAATGCATGACGATCACCTGTTTTTAATTATAAGGACAAAGATAACATATCATGCAATTATGCGTATAATAGGAAGATGTCATTATGAATACTTTTTCGCATAATTTTGCTCTAATACATGTATAAATAATATTAATTCTATCATATCCAAGTACTTATCAAAACTTTTATATTTATAATAGTATTATAAATGTATAATTTATTGTATATTTTATATTATATTTTTAATAACACATATATACACAAAATTCTGAATAAATATTATTTTAATTTTATTTTAATTTTAACGAATATATAATATAAAAATATTAACTGTCAACATACCAAAGACTAATTTATGAAATTTTATCGCGATCGAAAAATATAAAATCTATAAATTTTCTATAAAACAAAATTGATTTAATAAAAATATACTACAGGTTTTTTATCTTTCTTTCAAATTCTCTGTAATGTATTTACCTCCTGTAGTATAAGTGCATTTCATTCTATTGTGTATCGATGTAAATTTGAACTTCTTTTATCAACAAGCAGTTCTTACAATCCTGAATTATCATCAGACGACTATTCGTTAATTTACATATCATTTCGTTATTCATTTCTATAATGCTTCCATTTCTTAATACACTACCGATAAAATCATGTTAATCATATATTTTATACTATCCATAAATTATGGATTAGGAGCATGTCTTATAAATGATTGTATATTTTAAGTATACTTTAATAAAATAATATATTATCATTTTTTCGACAGTCATATTAATAAAAAGAGAAAAAGAAAAAGAAAGGAGACAATCTGATTTTGATACCAAAAAATCATAGTAAATTAAAAATTAATAAAGAACAGAGGAAAGATATGTAAATACAAATGGAAATATAAAGAAAATATTTTCAATGTGAAATGTTTATATAATATATTATTTTATTAAGTATATTTTAATTGTGTTATATATATGTTTGAAAATATTAAGAAAAATAAAATAGATGATCACATGAGCGATATGTTTCAAAGTGAATAAATATACGCTTTACGATTACTAATTACTATAATTCGGTATGCTTCGTCGCTATCGATAGAATCTGTTAAGATAATTCGTTCGATAATAAACTGTGAATTATTACATTAAAAATATCTTAATAAATATATGTATATTTTAACAAATATATTAATATATATATTTGATCAATTACATTATTTTGCCATTTCTCGTCTAATTGCCATTTCTCAATTACATTTCGTCAAAATTCAGCACACTGAATCCTTATATTAAATAAGATAATTTTATACACATTTTCATTAATTCTAACTCCTTCTGCAGTCGAGGAATCAAATTTTGTATTAATTCAATGTCCTTAGTTATAATCAATGCCTGCATCCAGAAAACGTCAAGAATATTCTCCATTGTTTCATCGAATCTATCGCGATACATTTCAAAGGAAGCACATATTTCCTTTATCTTCTCCAGATGCATCATCGCGATAAACGCAAGATATTTGTTGTCTATCTTAAGTTTATTTTCTTCGTCATTAGTTTTCATAGGGTCATACGATTCCGCGTGAATAATAATTGTTAAGGTTTCCTTTAGCATATTGTCCCTATACATTTTAAGTTGATCTAAAATTTTAATAAACTCTTCTTGATGCATCTTTAGGAAGCACTGAAGATTTTCATTGTTATCCCTCAGCTCGCTGTTTTCATCGATTTCACTCGACCTATTGGTCTTCTCAACGTCATCTGCTCCGAAATTCAAGCACATAGCAATATTTACAATAACCATATATCTGTCGCAATATATTTGAAGTTCAGCATAAACTCTATCAATCTCTTTCTGATGCTTCATCGCGATGTACCGAAGATATTTGTTGTGCTTCATCAACGTATTCTTGATATCACTCTTGCTCGATATGTTAGATGTCTCGACATCATTAGTTTCCATATTCATTGCATCCAGCTCTATCTGAAAGTTAAAGGCTATTAATTTTTTCTTTGAAGCCTTTTCCATTAATTTAATTCTCTGTACGATGAAATCTCTATGCGCAGCGATATTTTCTTCTTTATTTGGCATATTGTATCTGTCGCAATATGTTTGGAGTTGAACAAAAATTCTATTAACCTCTTTCTGTTGTATCTTGATAACAAACCAAAGATATTTATGGTTTGTCATCAGTTTTCTCTTTTCGTAATCGATTTCACATGGCATATTGCTCTTGACGTGAATGGTTTTCTTTTCTTTTATTATTCGCCGTTTCTCGAGCTTAAATTTCAACATTTTGTCTGCAAGTTCCAAAAATTTGTTTACCAGATTATTTTGATGCATGACGTATTCTGTTCTCATATTAAAGATATTCCAGTTATTATCTTTATTTTTGAAATAGAAGAAGACGATATAATTTTTAATTTGAGCAATAACTCTTTGAATCTCACTGTGATATACTATCTCCATAAACTGAAGATATTTGTTATCTTTCATCGTCTCGCTCTTTTCGTCGTCGATTTCACTCGGCATATTATCAGTCATTTGTGGTTTCGTTAAGTCTATCTTTTCTAATTTCTCTGTAATTTCGTCCTTCAATTGTTCCAAAGCCTGAAGGTCTTTCGAAGAGTTGCTATCTTTTTCAAGGTGTTTTTGGGTGGCAGTAGAAGTAGTTGTGCATGCTATATTACGTTCAACTTCTTCCATTATATCTTCCTTCACTTTTTCTTGTTTTCTGCCTGTCTGGAAACTGATATTATATATTTCTTCAAATTCTTGTTGTATTACTGAGAGATCCTTTTTCATATTTTTATCTCATCTATTAAAAATAATAATATATCCTCGTCAGTAGTATCATTTGTTTGATATTTGATTATTTTATCCTGAAAATCATAGAATTCAAATTAATAGATTACAATTTCAAGATATATTTTATTTTATGACTGACTATACACAAACAAATTTTTACATGAGAATTCAGTTGACAAAACATTTGTTTTTGACATTATTTTTAAACAGACGACATGTATATTTTGCTGACTTATGATTTATTTAATTTTTATAATTTTTATTTATATATATTTTTTTGTTAATAATATAAGATTTGTTGCTTTATTATAATATTAAATTTCTTGTAAATTCATAAATGTTAATTGTTGCATATTTAACCGCAATTTGTTTTAACATCCTTTTAATACGCTTTTCTTGTTTTAATGGAGAATTATTGTTCAAAAGAAAATACTTAACTTATTTTCTTACTTATTTCTATTATATTGATATTCTAAAATTATTTTGCAGTTTAATAATGGACGATGTAGAATGTAGTTTTATAAAGATTTAAAGATTAAATTAATTAAACGAATGAAACTTTACCCACAACTCGTAATTAATTTTGCTCATCGTGATAGTGAAAGCTTCTTGTATTCAGCCGATGAATTTTTTACAACAAGTATCCTTTAAACAGGATACGACAAATACAGATGTCGATGCACGAATGTTCAGTAGAACAGCAAAAATAAAGACGTGATGATTACAATAACTAGCGAGCTAACAATCGTGATCATATAATAAAGACAACTGCCTAATTCAAATTCAAAATAAATATGTAACATATTAAAAATGATGTAAATTTGCGATTCTTAGATTCATTTAATTAAATATATTAAATAACTGAATTAGATTCTTAAATAATTACGTGTAGGCACATCCACGTTAGGCTATCACAGCGTAATATATCTTTCTGTATTGTTATTCAAATTAATGTAATTATACACTTGAAATAAATAATTGAACTAACAGTAGATACCGACGAATTGATAGATGACTAACAATCAAATAAATACTCGTTCTAACTACAATTAATGATGATTAATAAAATTAAAGCTAAATATATACGTTTGTAAATGCACGTGCTGAATGCAAAAGTAAATATACAATGCATGTGTAACATATAATTAGGAATTATTTTCATTTTATAATCACATTTTGTGAGAGAATAAAATTAATTAAATTATTTTGCGTTAAAAAAATATATATATTACTATAAAGACATAAATCTAATTATTTTGGACATTAATTTGTACTTACAATAAACACATATAATTGTAAATATGTAATATATATTTAGGAATTTTTAATAATTTAATTTTATAATCACATTTTAAGAGAATAAAATTATTTCTATTTATTATGTTAACAATTAATATGATATTATTAAAAAACAAAAAAAATTATTTTTGGACATTAATTTGTGTTTATAATAAAAATGAATTTATCGCATTATTAAAAAATTTATTTAATCACATTCTTTAAAATTTATTTCTTAAATAGTAAACAATCTATAATAAATTATAAGCGTTAAATTATTTTCAAACATTTATTATAATAATTTTATTTATTTAAAATAATTATACAATAATAATATATAAATATTATAGAAATATATAGTTATTTTTCATCAAACTGAGCAATTTGTCTCACCATCCTTTCTTTATGATTTTTGGATATTTTAATAGATAATTTGTGCCGCGAGAAAAATATTATTTAACTTATTTTCTTACTTATTTTTATTATTTATTTTCCCAAATATTTTTCAGTTTAATAAAATAAAATATTTATTGTATTTTTATAATGATCTAGAAAGATTATATATATATATATATATATTAATTAAATAAATAAAACTTTACCCAAAATGTGTGATCAATCTCGCTCATCGTGATAAGAGAAGTTTCTTGTATTCAACCGACGCGACGGATTTCTAACAACGAGTGTCCCTTGCACGCAGTTTAAACATATACGAATGTTCAGTAGAACGACAAAAATAAACATATAATTATAACACTAGGGTGACCTGACATTTGAGATTATTACTAAAAGAACCGTCTTTTTGGATTCGAAATAAATTTTATAATATAATAAACCTTATATAAAGTGCGATAATTCTTATATTAATTTAAATGTATTATAATGAAAGAAATATTTGTTCTAGTAGGTAATAACGATTATAATTCAGGGATTATTACAATGAAATATAAATATATCTAAATAAAATTATAGAGTTTGTTAAAATTTCTTCTTGATATGTAATAAATTGTGAGTAATTACATGCAAAAACATTTACAAATACGTTCTGTTTGTTATTGTAATTATGAAAGCAATGAGTGATAGCGTTTGATTTGTTGCGTTAATGAGTAACAAATCATGTCGCTTTCAGTTTCTTCATTTTGCCGTTTCTCGGTAAGTCATTTATATAAACTCAATAATTAGCGCAATTTTATTACATGGATCTCCGCAAACTTGTCCAATAATTCCTTCTGTATGGCAATCTGTTCTTTTATAAAAGAAATTTCGTTAGTCATATACACTTGCTGATTCAAGAAAGAATCAGTCTTAGTAATCTCTTCAATTGTATCACAAAATCTTTTGCGAAACATTTCGAAGAAAAAAAGTATTTCCCTCATCTTTTCCAGATGCATCATTGCGACGAACGCAAGATATTCGTTCTCCTTCTTCAGTTTGTTTTCTACGTTATTAATTTTAAAGACTGGGTCATATCCTTCCGTATGCATAACAATCGGCACGTTTTTATTTGACATAGCATATTTGTTGCAATGTATTAAAAGGTCTTTATAAATTTTATTAAATTCTGCTTCAAAGTCCCTTGCAAAGGACCGAAGGTTTTTGTTGTCCCTCGTCAGCCCTTCTTCATCGATGCCACTCAGCACGTTATTGGTCTCCTCAACGTCATCGGTGCAATAATTGTTGCAATATCTTTCAAGTTTATTATAAACTTTATTAATCCTTTTCTGATGCGTCTTCGCGAGGTACCACAGATTTTTATTGTTCTTCTGCAAAGTAATCCTTAAATTATCAGCATTGTTGGACATATTTGATGTCTCGACGTCATTCGTTTCCACATTTGTTGCCTTTTCTTTTAGCTGAAGGTTAAAATCTATTACTTGATCACTCAGACCTAAAATATTTTTTATTGTTTCAATTCTTTGCAGGATGATATTTTTATACTTAATATGATCTACTTGTTTATTTGGCATATTGTTGCGATACGTTTGGAGTTGAACAAAAATTCTTTTAATTTCTTCCTTGCGTATCATTTCGACAAACTGAAGATATCTATTATCGATCAATAGCTTGCACTTGTCATGATCGATTTCACGCGACATATTGATCAACTCGACGTGCATCGGTTTTACTTTTGTTCTAATTTCTTCTCTCTCAATCTTAAACTTCAACACTTCGTCCTCACATTTCAAAAAATTGTTGATCAGACTAATTATATTAGTGAAGTATTCTCTTTTTACAGCAAGCTGCACTTGTCTCGTGTTGCGATAATGTTGGCTCCAACAATCTTCGATTTGATTTCTAATTTTTATAATTTCATCCTGGTACATTATCTCGTCAAACTGAAGATATTTGTTCATCAGCTCGCTCTTTTCATTGTCGATCTCACTCGGCGTACTGTCGGTCACTTGTTTTTCCAATTGTTCTCTGCTAGTTGTGCTTGCTATATTATTTTGAACTTCCGATGTAGCTTCTTCTGGTTTTTCCCCTTTTATAGGTGGCCCGAAAATCCTATCACATATGTACTCAAATGTTTGCTGCATTTTGAGACATCCTCTACCATATCTTTGATTTTTTCTTGTGATTCTTTTAATGTAGCCACGTCGATATTTGATACTGTTGAGGTTCAAATTTATCACCCTGAAAATTATAGAATATAGGCTAAATAAATTGCTTTCTTTATGTAATAAAGCAAATTATTTCTTAAATTACTTGTTATTATACATATTATAGAATTCTTGAATTGCATCTATGTTATTTGATTTAAAACAAAACGATAAATTATTTAAATTTATGTATATATGTTTGTATATCTATAAAATTCGCTTCAATGTTATGATAATATCCACGAACTATTCATACAAATAATGTAAGTTATAGAAAACTATTAAATGTATTTCAAGCTTATTGAGAAAATTAGTTTTGAAAATAATGGTTAACCATTACTTATTATCGGTATTGTAATGTAAATGTAGCTCGTTATCGTTATTTATTACCGACTTAAAATAATACATAATGTCATTAATGTAATACCTTCTTATAAACAAAAAATAATTTCTTACTGTTACTCAAACATAAAAATGTTGTCATAATTTTTTCACTTTTTTAACGCTGTTAAAGCTAAAGAAATGTAAAATTTGCATGCATTAAATTTATATTTTTAAATAAATTTTATGTTAATACTAAATCAATGTAACTTTTATAAAAATATTGTTATAAATATAAGACAAACATTTAACAAATAATATAATTGATGTCATCATCAATATAAAAACTTAAATAAATAAAACTTTACCCAAAATGTGTGATCAATCTCGCTCATCGTGATAAGAGAAGTTTCTTGTATTCAACCGACGCGACGGATTTCTAACAACGAGTGTCCCTTACACGCAGTTTGAACATATACGAATGTTCAGTAGAACGACAAAAATAAACATATCATTACATGACCTGACATTTGAGATTATTACTAAAAAGAACCGTCTTTTTTGGATTTGAAATAAATTTTATAATATAACAAATCTTATATAAAGTGCGATAATTCTTATATTAATTTAAATATATTATAATGAAAGAAATATTTGTTCTAGCAGGTAATAACGATTATAATTCAGGGATTATTACAATGAAATAAATACTTATTCCAATAACAATTAATGATAATTAGTGAAAATTAAAATAAATATAGATGTTTGTATATGCGCGTTTTTAAATGTGCAGTGCGAATATAAATATGAAATGTTTGTGTAACGTTTGTGTATATATAAAATTTATTTCATTTTATAACAACATTCTCAGAGAATAAAATTGTTTTAATTTATTACGTTAACAATTAATATGATATTATCGTAAAAACAAAAACTAATTACTTTTGGACATTAATTTGCTTACAATAAAAATTAATTCATCACATTATTAAAAGGTTTATTTAACAAAATTCTTTAAAATCTATTTCGTACATAATAAACAATCTCTTAATAATTATAAGTGTCAAATCATATTTAAAAATTTATTATAATGATCTTAATTATTTATAATAAATATAATAATATATATAAATATTATAGAAATACGTATTTATTTTTTTACCAGACAGAGTAATTTTTCAAAACCTTTGATTAAGATAAAGTTAAATCATTTATTTATTTATGTAGAAATAAAGATTGCAGTATTTCATCAGTAAGTTTATCATTTTTTTAATTTCTTAATCTCTACACTGGAAGTCTATCATTTTATTGATAAGAAAAATCTTATTGTTAGAGTCATTATTGACATCGAACAACTATTGTAATCTTAGTAAAATTAAAATTTTCCAAGGACATAAGTTCAGGATAAAATAACTAAAGCAGAATTATAAATAATATCACTTAAAATTTGTTGCAATTAATTATGATTCTCGCACGATTTTTGCATTATATCAGTAATTAAACATTAAGCTCCTCTTTTTCAAGTATCGTATATATAATATTGCCTTTATAAAAAATATTTATTTATTAATATATAGTACATTCTGCTTTCATATATGTGATAATGTTTGTACAGATATTTTTATTGTTATACGCATTAAAGATTCTAAATCATTTTTAAAGATACGCAAATTTTAAAAACATTCCAATGCCAAATTAATCATAAAAATATTTAGCATTGATTATAAATTTTGGCACAACAAAGATTTTAAAATATATGAATAAATAATATTACTTTAATTTTTATAAAAATATTTTAATTGTCAAACTATTTTGTGTTAACAATTTTTTTGAAAACTAAACGAAAATAAATGGGTATCAAAATTATATGAGCAAAGCTTTAATTCTATTACAGATAAAGGCATACGATATTAGAATAATTGTGTATACATATATCAAATATACAAGCAGCATCATTATGAATGAAATGGAGCACATTCAGCGATATCAAAATGAATACATATATGATAATAATCATATAGAAATTATAAATTATACAGAATACATACATGATTTATGACCAGATATCTTAATTTAATATGCTTCGCGACATCTAAATAAAAGATATACAATTTGTTAAGATAATTTTTTTGATATATAATTTTTTTGATATATAATAAATTGTAATTACATGCCAAAAAATTTGCAATTACGTTCTGTTTATTGTTTTAATTATCAAAGCAAGGAATAATAGCGTTTGATTTGTTGCGTTAATGAGCAATAAGTCATGTCGCTTTCAGTTTCTTCATTTTGCTGTTTTCTAAGTCATTTATATAAACTTGACAATTAGCGCAATTTTATTCGATACATTTTAGCAAAATTGGTCAATAACACTCTCTGTATATAAATATCTTTTGTTATAGAAGTAATTTCGTAAGTCACATACACTTGCTGCTGCAGGAAATAGTCAGTCTTAGTAATTTTTTCAATTGTATCACAGAATCTATTGCGAAACATTTCGAAGAAAAAAGTATTTCCCTCATCTTTTCCAGATGCATCATTGCGACGAACGCAAGATATTCGTTCTCCTTCTTCAGTTCGTTTTCTTCGTCAGTAGTTTTCGTACGGTCATATAATTCTGTATGCATATCAATCGTCACGTTTTCATTTGGCATATCGTATTTACTGCAATACATTTCCAGTTCATTATAAATGTCATTAAAGCTACTTTTACACTCCGCAGCAAAAGATCGAATACGTGTGTTGTGCCTCGTCAGCCCTTTTTCATCGATGTTACTTGGCACGTTATTGGTCTTCTCAACGTCATCAATTCCAGCACACATATTCGAAGCCAGATGATATTCATTGTCAATTACCTTAACGTTATCATCGTTGCAAAATCTTTCAAGTTCAGAGTCATCGATTTCCCCAATGTCAGCAAGTTTCAAATTCAGATCATATTTGTAGTCTATTAACATATCGCAATAATTAGTGCAATGGCGTTCGAGGTTAGCGTAAAGTCTATTAATCTCGCTCTGATGCGCCTTTACGATGTACCAAAGATATTGATTGTTCTTCAGCAACTTATTCTTTAAATTATCAGCGTTGCTAGGCACATTGGATGTTCCGACGTTATTCGTTTCCATATTCGTTGCCTCTCGCTCTATCTGAAGGTTAAATTCCATTACTTGTCCACTCTGATATAAAATATTTTTTATTTCTTTAATTTTCTGCGCGGTGAAATCTTCATACTTAATGAGATGTACGTCTTTATTTGGCATATTGTTGCGATACGTATGGAGTTGAACAAAAATTCTGTTAATTTCATTCTCGCGTGTCATTTTGACAAACTGAAGATATTTATTGTCCATCAGTAGCTTGCACTTTTCATGATCAATTTCACCCGTTTTCATTTTCGTTCTCATTTCTGCCCTCTCAATTTTAAACTTAAGCACTTCTTTCTCTAGATGTAAAAGATTGTTGATCAGACTAATTATATTAGTGAAGTATTCTCTTTGTATAGGAATCTGGTCTTTGAATTCTTTGCGATGATGTCTCTGCCAATAATTTACTATTTGATTCTTAATTCTTATAATCTCATCCTGGTACATTATTTCGACAAACTGAAGATATTTGTTCAGCAGCTCGTTCTTTTCATTGTCGATCTCACTCGGCGTACTGTCAGTCACTTGTTCTCTATCCAATTGTTCTCTGCTAGTAGTGCTTCCTATATTATTTTGAACCGATATACCTTCTTCTGGTTTTTTCCTTGTTATGGGTGTCCCGAAAATCTTCCCACATATGTAATCAAAATCTTGCTGCATTACTGAAACATCCTTTTCCATAGCTTTGATTTTTTCTTGTAATTTTTTTAATGTCACCACGTCAATATCTTCATACTGTTGAGACTCAAATATATTGTCCTGAAAATTATAGAATACAGACTAAATAAATTGTTTTCTTTATGTAATAAAGCAAATTATTTCTTAAATTACTATTTATTATACATATTATAGAATTCTTGAATTGCATCTATGTTATTTGATTTAAAACAAAACGATAAATTATTTAAATTTATGTATATATGTTTGTATATCTATAAAATTCGCTTCAATGTTATGATAATATCCACGAACTATTCATACAAATAATATAAGTTATAGAAAACTATTAAATGTATTTCAAGCTTATTGAGAAAATTAGTTTTGAAAATAATGATTAACCATTACTTATTATCGGTATTGTAATGTAAATGTAGCTCGTTATTTATTACCGACTTAAAATAATACATAATGTCATTAATGTAATACCTTATTATAAACAAAAAATAATTCCTTACTGTTACTCAAACATAAAAATGTTGTCATAATTTTTTTACCTTTTTTAACGCTGTTAAAGTTTAAGAAATGTAAAATTTGCATGCATTAAATTTATATTTTTAAATAAATTTTATGTTAATACTAAATCAATGTAACTTTTATAAAAACATTGTTATAAATATAAGACAAACATTAACAAATAATATAATTGATGTCATCATCAATATAAAAACTTAAATAAATAAAACTTTACCCAAAATGTGTGATCAATCTCGCTCATCGTGATAAGAGAAGTTTCTTGTATTCAACCGACGCGATGGATTTCTAACAACGAGTGTCCCTTGCACGCAGTTTGAACATACGAATGTTCAGTAGAACTACAAAAATAAACATATCATTACATGACCTGACATTTGAGATTATTACTAAAAAGAACCGTCTTTTTTGGATTTGAAATAAATTTTATAATATAACAAATCTTATATAAAGTGCGATAATTCTTATATTAATTTAAATATATTATAATGAAAGAAATATTTGTTCTAGCAGGTAATAACGATTATAATTCAGGAATTATTACAATGAAATAAATACTTATTCCAATAACAATTAATGATAATTAGTAAAAATAAAAATAAATATAGGTGTTTGTATATGCGCGTTTTTAAATGTGCAGTGCGAATATAAATATGAAATGTTTGTGTAACGTATGTGTATATATAAAATTTATTTCATTTTATAACAACATTTTCAGAGAATAAAATTGTTTTAATTTATTACGTTAACAATTAATATGATATTATCGTAAAAACAAAAACTAATTACTTTTGGACATTAATTTACTTACAATAAAAATTAATTCATCACATTATTAAAAAGGTTTATTTAACAAAATTCTTTAAAATCTATTTCGTACATAATACAATCTCTTAATAATTATAAGTGTCAAATCATATTTAAAAATTTATTATAATGATCTTAATTATTGATAATAAGTATAATAATATATAAATATTATAGAAATACGTATTTATTTTTTTACCAGACAGAAATTTTTCAAAACTTTTATTAAGATAAAGTTAAATCATTTATTTAAGTACAAATAAAGATTGCAGTATTTTATCAATGAGTTTTTTTTTAATTTCTTAATCTCTACATTGGAACTTTTTAATTTTATTGATAAAAAAGCCTTATTATTAAAGACATCTTATTGACATCGAATTAACATTGTAATTTTCGTTAAATTCAAATTTTGCAAATACATAAGTTCAGGATACTTTAACTAAAATAGAATTATAGATAAAATCAGATAAAATTTGTTGCAATTAATTCTGATTATCGCTCAACTTTCGCATTATATGAATAATTAAATATTAAGATTCTCTTTTTCAAGTATTGCATATAATATATATATATATAAATATTTAAAATAAAAATTAAAGTAATATTATTTATTTATATATTCTAAAATCTTCGCTGTGTTAAAATTTATAATTTTCAATGCTAAATATTTTTATGATTAATTTGGCATTTAAATGCTTTTAAAAATTTGTGTATTTTTAAAAATAATTTAGAACCTTTATTAAATATAGTACATTCTGCTTTTATATATGTATTAATGTTTATACATATGTTTTATTTATACAAATTAAAGGTTCTAAATCATTTTTAAAAATACACAAATTTTTAAAAGCATTTAAATGCCAAATTAATCATAAAAATATTTACCATTGAAAATTATAAATTTTAACACAGCAAAAATTTTAGAATATATAAATAAATAATATTACTTTAATTTTTATTTTAAATATTTTAGTTGTTAAACTATTTTGTGTTAAAAATTTTTTAAAAGCTTAAACGAAAACTTAAATAAATGGCTATCAAAATTATATTAGTAGAGCTAAGTTCTATTACAGATAAAGGCATAAAAACATCAGAATACTCGTGTTAGATATGCTAAAAATACAAGCAGTACCATTATGAATGAAATAAAGCACTTGAGCGATATCAAAATGAATACATATATGATTTATAGTTAGATATTTTAATTTAATACGCTTCCTAGCATTTAAATAAAATTATAGAGTTTGTTAAAATAATTTTTTGATATATAATAAATTGTGAGTGATTACATGCAAAAACATTTACAAATACGTTCTATTTATTGTTCTAATTATCAAAACAATGAGTGATAGCCTTTGGTTTATTGCGTTAATGAGTAATAATAAGTCATGACGCCTTCAGTTTCTTCATTTTGCCGTTTTCTCGATAAGTCATTTATATAAACTCAACAATTAGTGAAATGTTATTTCATACATGTTTGCCATATTGTTCAAAAATCCTCTCTGTAGAGAAATCTGACTATTTATGTCAAAAATTTCGTTAGTCATATACATTTGCTGATTCAAGAAAGAGTCAGTCTTAGTAATCTTTTCAATTGTATCACAAAATCTTTTGCGAAACATTTCGAAGAAAAAAAGTATTTCCCTCATCTTTTCCAGATGCATCATTGCGATGAACGCAAGATATTCGTTCTCCTTCTTCAGCTCGTTTCTGGCGTGATTAGTTTTCGTAGGGTCATATGCTTCCGTATGCATAACAATCGTCACATTTTCATTTGACATAGCATATTTGTTGCAATGTATTAGAAGTTGTTCATAAATTTTATTAAATTCTGCTTCAAAGACCACTGCAAATAACCGAAGGTTTTCATTGTCCTTCTTCAGATCGCATTTTTCATCGTTGTTCTTCGGCACTTTATTGGTCTTCTTAATGTCATCATCTCTCAAAGTTTGATATTCGTTGTTAATTGCCCTATTGTAATCATCATTGCAATACCTTTCAAGTTCAACATAAAGTCTATTAATCTCTTCCTGATGCATCATCGCGATGTACTGAAGATATTCATTGGTCTTCCACAACATATTTAAATTATTAGCGTTGCTGGACATTTTGGATGTTCCGGGGTTATTCGTTTCCACATTTGTTTCCATATTCGTTGCCTTTCGTTCTATCTGAAGGTTAAATTCCATTACTTGTCCACTCAGACCTAAAAACTTTTTTAATTCTTCAATTCTCTCCATGATGAAAGCTTTATATATAATGAGATCTTCTTCTTCATTTGGCATATTGTACATGGCGCAATACGATTCAAATTGAATAAAGATTCTTTTAATTTCTTCCTGGCGTATTGTTTTGACAAACTGAAGATATCTATTGTCCATCAGTAGCTTGTACTTTTCATAATCGATTTCACACGGTTTCACTTTCGTTCTCATTTCTTCTCTCTCAATCTTAAACTTCAGCACTTCGTTCTCACGATGCAAAAGATTGTTGATGAGATTAATTACATTAGTGAAATATTCTATTTCCATAGCGACCCGCACATTAGATTCAGTCTTATAATGTCTGTTACTATAATTTGATATTTGATTTTTAATTCTTAAAACCTCATCCTGGTATATTATTTCAACAAACTGATGATATTTGTTCATCAGCTCATTTTTTTCATTGTCGATCTCACTCGGCGTACTGTCAGTCACTTCTTCTCTCTCCAACTGTTTTCTGCTAGTTGTGCTTCCTATATTATTTTGAAAATCTTTCGATGTATCTTCTTCTGGTTTTTCCTTTATAGGTGTCCCAAAAATCTTCTTGCATATTTTCTTAAAAACTTGCTGCATTATTGAAAACTCCTTTTTCATATCTGTGACTTTATTTTGTAATTGTGATAATATTTCCCCGTCAATATTTTCATACCGTTGACTTTCGAATATTTTGTCCTAAAAATTATAAAATACAAATTAAATAGATTGCTTCTTTTATGTAGCAGAACAAATTATTTCTTAAATTTCTTGTTATTATACATATTATATAGAATTCTCGAATAGAATCGAAGTAATTTGATTTAAAACAAAACGATAAATTATTTAATATATGAATGTTAGTATATCTATACAAAAATCGCTTTGATATTATAATAATATCTATGAACTTTTCATACAAATAATGTAAATTATAGAAATATAATAAATGTATTTCAAGCTTGAGGAAATTAGTACTAAAAATAATGGTTAACCATTACTTATCATCGTTTTAAAATATAGCTCGTTATCATTATTTGTTACCGACTTAGAATAATGTATAATATCAATGTTATCGTTATACCTAATCAATTTCAAAAAATAAGTCATTACTGATTTCAACTTTAATTTCTTCTACGCAAGTTCTAAAATAAATGTTTTGGTGAATAAAGAATTTCGACCTCGTTATAAGAAACTGTTAGATTTCTATCAGTAGTATCTTAATTATTGCAAAATATATTTTATTCTATGACTATTCACCACAACAAATTTCATGTTACGTGTACAGAATTCAGTCGACAAAACATTTGTTTTCGACATTATTTCTTAGACACAAGACAAATATTTTGCGGCGACTTACAATTAATAAAATTTGTATCATTTATATATTCTTTTTCGCTAATTATAAGATCGTGCTTTATTATAATACTAAATTTCTTATATAAATTCGTAAATAATAATACTATATATGCACATCTAATCGCAATATGTCTCAACATCCTTTCTTTATGCTATTCTCGATTATTTAATAGAAAATTTGTTTCAAAAAATATTATTTAACTTATTTTCTTACTTATTTCTATTATTTACTTTCTAAAATACATTTTCAATTTAATAAAAAAAGATATTTATTGTAGTTTTATAAGGATCTAGAGAGATTGTATATTAATTAAATGATTAAAACTTTAGCCAAAACTTGTGATTAATCTCGCTCATCGTGATAAGAGAAGTTTCTTGTATTCAACCGACGCGACGGATTTCTAACAACGAGTGTTCTTTGCACGCAATTTGAATATATACGAATGTTCAGTAGAACGACAAAAATAAATATGTGGCATCACAATACTTGTGATCTAACAATTTTGAGACTATTACTAAAAACAACCGCTTTTTTCAAGTTCAAAATAAATGTTATCATATGCCGAAACTTATGTAAAGTTGTGATAATTCTTATATTAATTTAAATATATAAATGAAATAAATCTATCTATCTATCTATCTATGTATCTATCTATATAAATAAAATAAATATTTGTTCTAGCAGGTAATAACGATTAAATAAATGAGAGACTATTATACACACAAAGCATTTAAAGCTATATATTAAACTGTGAGTTTTATAATATGCGTAACGAGAATAAACATCTCGTGTGCTTCAGAAATTAAGAAACTAATGTTTAGATCGTTGATTAAACTCTTTTCGAGTGAACATCTCTGTTATTAATGTTTTGATAACTTTTCGACATAACAATGTCTCGAAATTCATTACTCATCAGTAGTATAGTAGATTAACATTTAAATTGCAACGCGTTACATGTTGTATCTTTTCGTATTTAACTTATGACAGTGTTTACCATCATTATTTCTTTATAGGTAGTTGTATAACTTTGACTTTAATTTCATCTACTTAATTTCTAAAATAAATATTTTGATCAGCGAAATAATTTCGATCTCGTTATAAAAAAAAACATTAAAAATATCCACCAGCAATATAACTTAATAATTTCAAGATATATTTTATTTGACTAACCATCACAAATTTCTACATTTTACGTATGGATAATTCAATCGACGAAATATTTATATTTTACATTATTTCTTAAACACACGACGTATTTTTTGCTGCGACTTACAATTTATATAATTTTTTTTACACCAATTATAAGACCCATGCTTTATCAGAATATTAAATTTTTTGCAAATTCATAAATCTTATTAATATATGCACATTCAATTGCAATTTGTCTCAACATTCTTTTTTTATTCACACCTTTTTTCATGTTTTAATAAAAAATTTTTGGGGAAAAAATTGTTCGAATAAAATTTTTTGACTTTCTATTATTTCTATACTGTAAAATCCTTCCTCATTTTATTAATAGAAGCTACAGAGTGTAGGTTTATTAGGATCTAAGGATATTTAAATTAAACGAATAAATATTTACCCAAAATTCGTGTTCAATCCCGCTCATTGTGATAGTGGAAGTTTCTTGTATCAATCGACGGATTATAACAACAAATGTCCTTTGAACACAGTTTCAATGCTCGGCGACGAATGCTCAGCAGAGTGCCAAAAATAGAAACACGTGGTGATTTTCACTCGTGATGGACAACTCAGTGAGAAATGATTGGCCGAATAGTCATCGATTCGATATCGATTCGACGAGTTTGACATCGATTCGACAACGAATCGACGTCGATTCGATCATCATTTCTTACTAAGAACTAGCGACCCGACAATCAAAATCATATACTAAAGACATTTATTTTAAATTAAAAATAAATTGTATAATATATTGAAATTCATGTAAATTTGCGATAATGTGTATACTAATTTAAATATATAAATGAGATAAATATTTGTTCTAATAGGTATAAATGCGAGACTTATTAAAATGAAAGAAATACTCATTCCAACTACAGTTAATAATAATTAATAAAATTAAAAATAAATACAGGTATTTGTATATGCGCGTTTGTTCAATGTAAATGTAAATAAAATGTTTGTGTAACATATTTATATAAATTAATTAATTTTGTAATCACATTTTGAGAGAATAAAACGGTTTTAATTTATTGTGTTCACAAATATGATAATATTGTAAAATCATAGAATTATTTTTAGACATTAATTTGTGTTTACCATAAAAATAAATTATTCGCGCATTATTAAACAAGATTTATTTATCAAGACTCTTTAAAATATATTTCTTAAATTATAAGCACTTACTTATTAATTATAAGCGGCAAATCATTTTTTACAGTTATTATAATAATTTTAGTTATTTATAATAAGTATACAACAATAATATAGAAATATAGAAATATATAGTTAATTTTTAACCAGAGTAGTTTTTCAAAACCTTTGATTAAGATATAGTTAAATCATTTGGCGTTATTTATGTGTGTACAAATAAGGATTGCAGTATTTCATCAATAAATTTATTATATTCAAATATCTTAATTTCTATATAAACTAGAGCTCTTTAATCTTATTGATAAGAAAAACCTTATTGCTAGAGTCTGTATTGACATCAAATTACTGTTGTAATCTTTGTTAAATTCAATAAATTTTCCAAGTACATAAGTTGAGAATAATTTAACCAAAGTAGAATTATAAATAAAATCAGATAAAATTTGTTGCAATTAATTCTTTCGCTCGATTTTCGCATTATATGAGTAATTAAACATTAAGCTCCTTTTTTCAAGTATCAACTATAATATTGCATTTATACAAAAATTAATTTATTAATATATATAGTAATACATTCTGCTTTTATATATGTGTGAATGTTTGTACATATATTTTTATTTATACATTTTAAAGATTTTCAATCATTTTTAAAAATAGACAAATTTTTAAAAACATTTAAATTCCAAATTAATTACAAAAATATTTGTATAGCATTGAAAATTATAAATTTTGGCACAACAAAGATTTTAGAATATATAAATAAATAATATTACTTTAATTTTTATTTTAAATATTTTAATTGTTAAACTATTTCGTGTTAAAAATTTTTGAAAACTTAAACGAAAATAAATGGCTATCAAAATTATATGAGCAGAGTTAAGTTCTATTACAGATAAAAGCATAAAAACTTTAGAATAATTGTGTTAGATATGCTAAAAATACAATCAGCAGCAGCAAAATATGAATCAAATTAGTACATTGAGCGATACAAAGTGAATACATACATGCTTCATGATAGGATATTTTAATTTAACACGTTTTCTGACATCTAAATTAAAGATATAGAATTTGTTAAGATAAATTTTTTTATATATAATAAATTGTGAATAATTACAGATTGTGAATATTTCCCAAAATATTTATAATTACGTTCTGTTTATTGCTATAATTATTAAAGCAATGAATGATAGCATTTGATTTGTTACGTTAATGAGTAATAAGTCATCTCGCTTTCAGTTTCTATATTTTGCCGTTTTCTCGGTAAGTCATTTATATAAACTCAACAATTAGCGCAATTTTATTTGATACGACTCCGCCATCTTGTTCAATAACAACCTCTGTATACATATCTGGCAATTTATGTCAGAAATTTCCTTAGTCACATACACTTGCTGCTGCAAGAAAGAGTCAGCCTGAGTAATATTTTCAACTGCATCAAAGAATCTAATGCAAAATGTGTCCATGAGAAAAAAAATTTCCCTAATTTTTTCCAGATGCATCATTGCGACAAACGCGAGATATTCGTTGTCCTTCTTCAGCTCGTTTTCTTCGTCATCAGTTTTCGTAGGGTCATATGCTTCCGTATGCATAACAATCGTCACGTTGTCATTTGGCGCCTCGTATTTGCTGTAATACATTTGAAGTTGATCATAAATTTTAAAAAAGTCTTCTTTAAACACCACTGCAAAAGACCGAAGATTTTCGTTGTCCCTCTTCAGCTCTTCTTCAGTGTTACTCAGCACGTTATTGGTCTCCTCAACGTTATGTTCCACATCGAATCTATCCATATCGAAATAATATTCGTAATGAATTGCCCGATCGTAATCATCGTTGCAATAGCTTTCAAGTTCAGCGCAAAGTCTATTAATCGCTCTCTGATGCGCCTTTACGATGTACCAAAGATAATCATTGTTCTTCAGCAACTTATTCTTTAAATTATCAGCGTTGCTGGGCATATTGGATGTTCCGCCGTTATTCGTTTCTATATTCGTTGCCTCTCGCTCTATCTGAAGGTTAAAGTCCATTACTCGTCCACTCAGATTTAAAATATTTTTTATTTGTTCAATTCTCTGCATGATGAAATCTTCATACTTAATGAGATCTACTTCTTCATCTGGCATATTGTATTTGTCGCAATACGTTTGGAGTTGAACAAAAATTCTTTTAATTTCTTCCTGGCGTATCATTTCGACAAAGTGAAGATAATTGTTGTCTATCAGTAGCTTGCACTTTTCATGATCGATTTCACGCGACGTATTAATCAACTCGACGTCAAACGTTCTCACTTTTGTTCTAATTTCTTCCCTGTGAATCTTCAACTTCAGCACTTTGTCCTCACGTTGCAAAAGATTGTTGATCAGACTAATTATATTAGTGAAATATTCTGTTTGCATAGCGATCTGTACTTCTATTTGCATGTAACGATATCTCTTCCAATAATCTAATATTTGATTCCTAATTCTTATAATCTCATCCTGGTACATTATCTCGTCAAACTGAAGATATTTGTTCATCAGCTCATTCTTTTCATTGTCGATCTCACTCGGCCTACTGTCACTCATTTGTTCTTTATCCAGTTGTTCTCTGCGTAGTCTATAATTATCGGTTACGTTAACCTTGGCAACATCTTTAGTGTTTTGTTGTGTGGCAATACTCGTTCTTGCTAAATTATTTTGATCTTCTTCCGATGTAGCTTCTTCTGGTTCTTTCTCTTTTATAGGTGTCCCGGAAATCTTGTTACACATTTCCTCAAATATTTGCTGCATTCCTAACATGTCAATTTGTATATTTTTGACTTTGGTTTGTAATTTTTCTAATGTAACCACGTCGATATTTTGATACTGTTGATGCTCGAATATATCGTCCTGAAAATCATTGAATACAAATTAAATAGATTGCTTTCTTTATGTAATAGTGTAAATTATTTTTTAAATTTCTTGTTATTATACATATATAAAATTCTCGAATAGAATCTATGTTGATTTAAAACAAAATATTGTATAATTTCATTTATACATATATGTTATATCTATAAAATTCACTTTAATGTCATGATAATATCTATAAATTATTCATACAAATAATGTAAATTATAAAAATTTAATAAATATATTTCGAGGTAGAACAAATTAGTTTTGAAAATAATCTTTAACCATTACTTATTATTATTGATTTTAAAATGTACCTCGTTATCTTTATTTGTTATCAACTTAAAATAATGTAATGTCTCATAAATGTTATCATTATACATTATTATCAATTTTAAAAAATAATTCGTTGTTGTTACTCAAAGAAAAAAATATCGTTAAAATTTTTGTTACTTTTTTAACGCTGTTACAAATAAAATTAGAAAGCATAAAATTTATATTTTTAAATAAATTTGTATGTTAAAATATATTAAATAAATATAATTTTTATAAAAATATTACTATTAGAATAAGACATTTAAAAAACAATATTATTAATATCATCATCAATATAAAATCTATAATATTTTTATCTCTTGATATTTTAATAGAGAAAATTACTTCCAGAAATAAATAAATTTCATTTTTGGATTCATTATTTCATTCTTAAACACACGACGCGTATATTTTGCTGCAACTTACAATTTATATAATTTTTTTACAATTATAAGACTCATGCTTTATCAGAATATTAAATTTTTTGGAAATTCATAAATCTTAATATATGTACATTTAATCGCAATTTGTTTCAACATCCTTTCTTTTGTCTCACGCCTTTTTCATGTTTTAATAAACAAATTTTTGGGGAAAAAATTTGTTCGAATATAATTTTCTGACTTTCTATTATTTATATACTCTAAAATCCTTTTTCAATTTAATAATATCCAACGAGAAGAATCGACGTCGATTCGTCGTCGTGTCAAATTAACTGAATTAATGTCGAATCGATGTCGATTCGACCGATCATTTCTCGCTGGTTAGAAAATATAAAATGTAGTTTTATTAGGATCTGAGGGGATATTGTTAATAAAACTAATAAATCTTTACCCATAATTCGTGATTAATCTCGTTCTCGTTCATAGTGGAAGTTTTAGTATTCAGCCAACAAATTCCTAAGAACGATAATGTCCTTTACACACAGTTTCAATGTGACGAATATTTGGCAAAGTAGGAAAAATATAAACACGTGGTGATTCTTTTCGTTCGAGACTAGCGTCTCGACAATCAAGATCATGTACTAAAGACACCCGCCTATTTTAAACTCAATAAATTGTATAATATATATAGAAATTCATGTCCCTTTGCGATAATTTGTATTCTAATTTAAATATATAAACGAGATAAATATTTGTTTTAACCCGGGTAATAACGATAAAATAAATGAGACACTATTAGAATGAAATAAATTCTCATTCTTTAACTACAGTTAATAATAATTAGTAAAATTAAAAATATATATAAATACAGGTGTTGTTATATACGCGTTTGTAAATGTTCAATGCAAATATAAATATAAAATGTTTGTGTAACATATATATATATATATTATTTTAATTTTATAATCATATTTTGAGAGAATAAAATTATTTTAATTTATTGTGTTACAATTAATATGATAATAATTTAAAAACAAATTAGATTATTTTTTTATATTAATTTGGCTTTCAATAAAAATTAATTTATTGCCTTATTGAAAAAAGTTTATTTATTAAAGCTCTTTAAAATGTATTTCTTAAATAGTAAGCAATCTCTTAATTATTAATTATAAGACAACTTATTTTCTTAAAGAATTATTATAATAAATTTTATTATTTATAATATGTATAAAATAATAATATATCAATATTATAAAAACATATAGTTTTTTTCATTAGACAGAGTAAGTTTTAAAACGTTTAATCAGTAATATATGAATGATCAGTAATTATATGAATAAATTATATATGTTATTTTTTGTGTATGAAAAACATTGACGTTTGTTATAAATTTATTTAATGGCTGAGAAATCAATACAAACAAAAATAATATATCGAGAAAATATACAAAAAATTATTTTTTATTAACTATTACTAAATGTCTTTACTTCTATATTATAACTTTATTAATACGAAATGTCTTATTGTGTTAAAATCATTAACCATATCAAATTATTATTGTAATCTTCATTAAGTTCAAACTGAGAACAAAAGTTAAGGATAATTTAATTATTAAAAATAAGGCACAGCGTTAGTTAAAGTCAGTTGTATAGTACATGCTGTTTAAATGTATACATATTTATATATCAGTGCATATATATATACATATATATATATGCCATGTTTTAAATCATTTTCGAAAAATAGACTAGAATCGTTTTAAGAAAATTTAAATGGCAACTTAATTATAAAAATATTTAACATCGATAATTAGATGTTGTGGCACAATAAAGATATCAGAATACAATATAGATAATAATAAGTAATAATATTATATCAATTTTCATTCAAGATATTTTAACTGCTAAATAATTTTGTGTTAAAATTTTCTGGACACTTATTGAAAAATAAATAATTATTGAAATAATTGATTATCAAAATCTATGATCAGAATAAAATTAAGTTCTACTACAGATATATGTATAAAAAGAATAATTTATAATAATTGTGTTAAATATGCTAAAAGAATCAGTATTTCTATATGGCTTATTGAGCGATGTCAAAATAAACACATATATGCTTTACGATTAGTTACTACAATTTAGCTAGCATGCTTTGTGATATCTAAATTAAAGATAAAATCTGTTCAGATAATCCTTTCGATATATAATAAATTGTGGATGATTACACGCAAGAATATCTACATTAACAAATATTTTTTAAGTTTCGTTATTTTGTCATTTTCTAGTCACTTATACATATACATATATGTTCAAAATTTAGCGCGCTTAATCCTTACTTTTTATTATACCAATTTTTCACATGTTACTATTAGTTCCAATTCCTTATGCAATTTAGGAATATGGGCATTTATTGATGACAAATCGTTAATCACAAATATAATCTGCTTCATGAAATTGTCATACGCAGCAATATTCTCAATTATTTCACTGAATCTATTGCGATACATTTGAAAGAAAAAACATATTTCATTAATCTTCTCCAGATGCATCATCGCGATGAACGCAAGATATTCGTTGTCCCTCATCAGCTCATCTTTTTTGTCGTGTGTTTTCATAGAATACGGCTTCGTATGCATAACAATCGTCACGTTTTTATTTTTCATATCGTATTTGTCCCTATACATTTGAAGTTGATCATAAATTTGAATAAATTCTTTTTGATACATTATTCTAACGGACCGAAGATCTTCATTGTTCTTCCTCAGCTCATTCTTGTCATCAATTTTCCTCAGCATCTTCACATTTTCAATAGCCTCATAATATTTGTTGCAAAACATTTGGAGTTGTATATAAATTCTATCAATCTCTTCCTGATGCTTTTTCGCGATGTACCGAAGATATCCGTTGTTCTTCATCAACGTATTCTTTACATTATCGCTCCCGACGTCATCCCTGTCCATATTCATTGCCTCTCGCTCTATCTGGAGATCGAAGTCTATTGCTTCCAGCTTTAACATGCTTTTTATTATTACAATTCTCTGCACGATGAAATTTTTATGCATAGCGATCTTCACTTCTTCATTTGGCATATTGTAAATGTCGCGATACATTTGAAGTTGAACAACAATTCTATTAATCTCTTTCTGACGTATCGTCTCGGTAAACCGAAGATATTTATTGTCTATCATTAGTTTGCTCTTTTCATAATCGACTTTACACGACATATTGTTTTTCTTTTTTGTTGTCATTAGTTGTCTATCAAGCTTGATATTCAGCACTTTATCTTCCAACTCCAAAAATTGGTTCATCAAATTAATTATATACAAGAAGTATTCTATTTGCACAGCGAACTGCACTTTACGTCTTTTGGAATAGTGTCTTCTCCAATAATTCATTTGTTGACGCATAATTCTTTTAATTTCATCCTGATACATTAGCTCGACGAACTGGAGATACTTATCATCTCTTATCAGCTCGCTCTTTTCGTCGTCTGTAATTTTTTCTTGTAATTCTTCCGAAAACTTGATGTTCTCCTCAGCCTCGGCATCATTTTTAGTGTTTCGTTGTGTAGCAGTTGTACATGCTATATTATTTTGAACTTCTTCCGATATATCTTCCGTCGATTTCTTTTGTTCTATTATTTGCTGGAAACTGAAGTCATATGTTTTCTTAAATTTGTGCTGTATTTTTAAGATTTCATCTTGCATTCCTTTTGTACATTCAATTAAATTTAATATTGTATTATGGTTAATATTTTCATATGTTTGACTTGCGAATAAGTTATCCTGAAAAACATAGAATTCAAATTAAATTGATGATTTTCTTTATGTAGTAGACAAAATTTTATATTTCTTATTATACTATAGAATTCTCTAATAGAATCTATTTTCTTAATTTATTTTATTTATTGATTTTTTTTAATGATAATATGTGAACTATTTACACGGGTGATAAAGATTATAAGAAAATGTAATAATAAATGTATTTCAAAATTGGGAAGGTTATTTTCAAAAATAGTTTGTTAACAGTTACTTATAAATTATAAAATATTTGTTGTTATTGTCATGTTGTTACCGATTTAAAAAAATATAACTGTTATTAAGTGTTATCATTATTTATTATCGATTTCAAAAAATATCTTGTTACTACTACTCAAAAAAGGAGTTTCTCAAATTTAAAAAAGTTGTTACATTTTTTAAAAACATTAGAAGGCCAAAATATGTATAAAACACATTAAATTTACATTAAATTTACATTAAATTTACATTTTTAAATTAATTTTTTTTTAAATATAACATATAATTTATATCACTATTAATGTATAAAAAATAAAAAACAATATAATTATATATTTTATATCAGTATTGATGTAAATTATTTAATTATTTTAATAATTTTAATAATTAGTTTGTATCTTGCTTTTCTATAATATAGAAAAAAGTTTCAAATATAAATATAAATGTAAATATAAAATATAAATGCACATGTAAAGAAAAAGCTTCCGAAGCAAATTGCAGTGAATACGTGCATGTATTAATAATTATTTTACAATTAAAACATTAAACTGTGGGTCTTATATTTGTAATCTGTTATTGTAAAATCTTGTATATGTATACTCTAAAATCCATTTTAAATTTAATAATTAATATAAATAAATGTTTGATAATTTAATGTATTATGAAAGGACAGCGAGGAATTGAATATATATTAATTAAAAATTTAAAAAATAAAACTTTACCCAAAATTCATGATTAATCTCGCTCATCGTGATAAGTGGAAGCTTCTTGTATTTAGCTGACGGATCCCTAACAACGAGTGTCCTTTACACACAGTTTTGATACACAAATGTTCAATATAGAGCAGCAAACATCAATACGTGGTGATTACACTAAGCGACCCAACAGCTGTTTTGACATCTAATTTTAAAATTTACAAACATAGCGGTATGTTTTGTGATCTCTTCCTATGGAAAAAATTAATCATACAGAAACAAGTTCCGAAAAAATCATTTTATAATGATATTTTTGTACAGACGCTTAAATACTCGTTTAACAATTTATTACGGCCGACCCTGTGTTTGATGCCAAAAAATACGAGTAGGGTTGCATACACTTAGATTATTTCCGACAGAAAAAAAATTATTTATTAATAAACAGACCCCGGAATAATTCAAGATATTTACATACACTTATTGTATATGTCGCGATACATTTGAAATTGAACACTAATTCTATTAATCTCTCGACGATGTATTCCTGAGACAAACTGAAGATATTTATTTTCTATCACTATGTTATCAATAATCTTGCTCTCTTCATCGATCTTACACGACGTATATATTAGTCATCTCGACGCCAACCGTTTCACTTCTGCTGTCATGTGCTCTCTCATGAGCTTAATATTCAGCACTTTGTCTTCATAGTCGAAAAGTTTTCTCATCAGACTAACCAGATGCATGGAGTATTCTATTTGCAAAGCGATCCGCATTTCGTCTCTTATGAAACATACAGTGTATCTTGCCGTGCTTTCTAAATTGATCGGTAACTTTTCTAATTTCATCTTGATATATTATCTCGAGGCACACAAGATGTTTATTATCCCTCATCAGCTTTATCATGCTATTTTTTTCATCGTCGATTTTATTTGTCGTATTATCAGTCATTCGTTATTTCGTTAAATCCGTCTTTTTCAATTCTTCTTTCACTTCTTCCTTTATTTGTTCCGAAAATTTAATGTTCTTTAATTTTTTGTTCTATGACTCTCTGAAAATTGTATATTTTCTCAAATTCTTGTGGTATTACTAAGAAATTGTTTTTCGTATATTCGATATATTCGATAAAATGTAATGATGTATTCTGGGCAATACTTTCTTCGTTTAATATTCGCATAACTCTGTCTTAAAAATGATAGAATTTAAACTAAATAAATTGCTTTTTTTATGTAGAGAACATTTTTATTACATTCTTTTTTATTTTAGAATCTTTGTTATTATATATAGAATTTTCTAATAACTAATAGAATATATTTTATTATATGTAAAGCAAAATAATAATATGTCTAATTTATGTTACACATTCATAATAAAACTAATAATAAATATATTTCAAAATTAAGGAGATTATATTCAAACCGTATTCTGGGCAATACTTTCTTCGTATTCATTAACCGTTATTTATTATCGTTTTTTTTTCTTTATCATAATTCACTATAAAATTGTTTCTTCTTGGCGGACTTTTAATTTTATGATTTACAAATTCTAACGTAATATACGAATTTATGAGTTAAAGTTATTTTCGATCATGCACAATAATTTACAAGAATATTATTATTTTATTTAACATAAAACTCGTTAAATTATGTCGACATTGTTTATTATTTTTTAATAGAATTTAATAATTTTATATGTCTTTATTTACAGAAATCGTACCGCGATTCAAAAAGTAACAATAAAAATAACTATTGCATTTGTTAATGATTATTTAAAAAATGTGTCAAAGTTTTTTTATAAAAATTAGAATACCATCATTATTATAGTTATCAAGAAAAGAGATTGTTATAACTGTAATAATGAGTAATTTTATAATTATTACATCGTTCCCTGAGTCTTATCTTATTTCTATTATATATATATTCTATTTTTTCAATTTAATGATAAATAAAATGTAGTTTTATGAAGAAAGAATGAGCAGGTGAAATAATTAAACAAATAAAATCTTATTCAAAAACCGCGAGTTTCACTTATTGTAATAGTGGTAAATTCTTGTAACAGATTCAACCAATGGATTTCTAAACGAGTGTCTTTTACACGTTGCAACACACTAATGTTCAGCACAGCAGTAAAAATAAACACACATTGTAACAGCAACACTAGCGACCCAATAATATTGAAACCATTACTAAAGATAGTCGCTTATTTTAAATTTAATATTTATTTTATAATAACAAAAACTCACGCTAATTTGCGATAATTCTTAGACTAATTTAAATATATTAATGAGATAAATATTTGTTCTAATCGCAGATAACGCTTAGATACTAGTATGTATCTTCTATTAATTTTAATTAATACACTGGAAAAATAATCTTGTTATATTAAGAAAAATTCTGTTTGAAAATGGACGAAACAAAATTATTGGTTAAATCTACCAGAATTCCTTTTGCATCTTGTTTGCACATTAAATCAGTTGGTGCAAACAAGATACTTGTTGTACTAAAAGAAATTCTGGTAGATTTAACCAGTAATTCTGTTTCGTCCATTTTTGAACAAAATTTTTGTTAATGCAACAAAATTTTTTTTCCAATGTAAAGATAATCACATCAATCAATTATAAATCTCGTTAAAGATATGTGAAGTCCATGAGTTACAATAAATATTTTGTTTATTTTCTTATCTGTAATCGAAATTTTTGTAAGATGTCTATTTTTTAAATAACAGAATAAATCGCGATTCGATTATTTTACTGCGCGTTCTCCATCGGAATTATATTTAGATCTTCGATAAATCAAACGATAAAGCATCGAACGAAATATATTTGTCTCTAAATAAATATTTCCGAAACATTTTGCGTATTATAGTATATATATATATATATATATATATATGTATATTTCTAGAAATGTTAAATGGTACATGCGCATTTTAAAATATACATTAATTATAACATCGATATGCACTTAAAAATAATGGATCAATATTGCAGAAATTGGAAAATATTTTTGTAAATACTCATTATGTGCCGAACGAAATGCTAGGAAAACATTACCCAAATGCGATGTCGCAGTTGTTCGTAAAATATTGAGTAAATTATAAAATATTAAGCGGCGCAGAAGTTGTGCGCCTGCTTTTTTTACGACAAAAGTTTTGATTAAAATAAACGTAATAAAAGTAAAAGAAATATTCAGTCTCCATCTAAGGAAAGCAATAACAAGTGAAAGTATCTTGACAATAAAGAAAAAAAAATCCCCTCTAAAATGACGCACATCACAGATTTGCATCACAGTCACCATTTTTTGACAAAGAACAAAGATCAATGAGAAAGTCAAAATATTTGGGTTGACCAAAATAATTTGTATTAAAAATATTAAAATTATTATATACACACACATATACTTATGTATTATTCTCTTGATCGATCAATCGAATAAATCAAATTTTTCTCAGAAATCTCAAAGTATAATATTACCCCTATTTTATAATGTCGATTATTTTATTTTATTTATAAATGGAAGAAAAAAATCTCTTTAGTATAGAATTATGACTATAAATTATATTAACAAAACAATAAAAATACGTGCAAATAAAGACGTGTTTTATCAATTTTTGACAAATAAAAGAGAGTTTAAATCAAAATATGAATGATTTTAATAATTTAATACACCCAAATTTAATATGCTCCTATTAAAGAAAATTGTAATTGTAACATTCTTCTTGAGTTCACAATAATATGTAAAAAGACAAAATAGTGGCAAGTGAGTATTTTTCAATATACGAAAGTTTGGTCACGAGTAATTACACATGATTTTATTCGTTAAATATTATTTTAATATCAAACGTGAAAGATCTTAGTCTAAATATTATATATTATTAGTAACTATATTTTTTGTTGATCATGATCGCGTTTCTTTATTATTATTTTTCACTAAGACTATTTTTCGCGATTATTTAATATAAAATAATAAAAAAACATAATATTTCCCCTTATATTTTTTTAATATTTATGTAGCGCATATCATAAATTTAACTTATTATATTTATTGTATTTGCATTTGTCATTATAATTTATTAAAAAAATGGTTTTTCCATAAGAACTATTCGACAAAATTTGTGCAGATATAATCAGACAAACCTCTCTATATATATTTTATATACCTGTATTTTTATAAATATATTTGTTTAATTTTAACTTAAATTGCGATGAGTGTCACGCAAAATAAATTCCATTTAATGCGAGAGATGTTTGGCATTATATAATTTCTTACAGGTTTTATCTTAATGTGTAAAATTAGAAAATGTATTCTTAATATATAAAAGAAATTCAAACCGTTTCAAGATTTAAAGTTTATCTCCTTTTATGAATAATTTATACAAGCTTTATCATAATATTTTTAGTATTATAAAGATGTTATATCAAATATATTATATCGCGCTATAAATGAGAGTTTACTATTTAAATAAAATCGCATTAGAATCGAATAAGTGACAAATTACTCACTTTAAGTTGCCTGCCACTTTCGTCTTTCCTGCTTTTTTCTCTCTCATATTCATATTCATTCTTCATAGCACCTCACTCACTTTTTCAGTCATAAAAACACTTGCAAAAACACGGTTAAACACAATCGAGCACGCACTAATAACTAGAATATGGTATTTTATAATCATGTTTTATTCGCTTTAACAAATTTAATATTTTTCACGCAATACTGTATTAATTAAAGAATTTAACATATTTTATATGTTAAGTTTCTATCACGTAATATAAGTTGCGTATGTTATTATCGTGGCGAGAAGAAAGAGAGCGCGTGTCAGTGTTTACAACGCGATTTCGAGACTACGAGACGATTTTGACCGAACTCAGGTATGCGATGACGCTTCGAAGCCGGAATGAAGAATGGGGATAGGAGCACGTATCAGTATGCTTGACAAAAATTGAATAAACGCAGATGACATAAGGCACAATAGTGAAAAGAGAAAATATTAGGAATAAATATTAAATATTAAAAATTTTAAAATAAAAATTATTTTCAAATAATAAAATCGAAAAGAGTCTAAGATGTAAAAATACAAATTCGGATATAAAGAGCTAGTAAAGGAAAATAAACTAATAAGAGCACTTTATACTTGAATTTATATTTGTATATCAGAGTTTTTTTTATTGCGCTCGAAACTATGCTACAGAACTATAGAACTCGTCGAAAACTATAAATTTTATTGTTTAAATATTGAAAAAATCGAAGTGATATGTTAACTTTCAAACACAGTTAGCACATCATTTAACATTTTCCAAATTTGAACAATGAAATTTTATAGGTTTCGACGAGATCTATAGTTCTGCAGCATATATCCGACCGTAGGTTGCTACTAAATATATATTTAATCAAAAAAACTAAAAGTATTTTCGAATATATGATATGCTGGCGGTATTTCGAGCATTTTCTTTATTGTAAAATAATTCTCGTACAGTCCGGAGCACGTACATTATTATCCAAACAGTTCTGTCCATCAAAATATTATGGAAATTTTTTCGACAATTATGTAATCCTCAAAACTCATGGATAAATTAAATCATCGCTTTAAACGACTGCAACTAATTAAAAAATGAAAGATCCTAAGTATTTTTAGGGGTCACAATAAAGAACGTAATCACATCGAGAACTTATAAAACGAGAAAAACATGGAAAGTTTTTTTTGGTTGAATCATTATGTAGATATATGTAAACTTCAAAGATATAGTCATGTGATATGAATTAAATAAACCATATACGCAATTTTTCTAACTAAATTCTAATGTACAGCCAAGTAGAATCAATCAACATGAATGAATGAATTACAAAATGATTAGATTAAATTGTTGCATAATCATTAATATGTTTTTATAAAATGTATTAAATTAAATATATTTTTTATTTTAAATTTATTGCATTTATATTTTTAATATTATATTGCAAAAATATTTTCTTATAAACTGAAATATTCATCCTAATTAATTAAAGTTGTAATTCATCCATTTTGAGGTAACGAAACTATTTATACTCTACAGTCTACAATCTACATTCTACAATCAAATATACATATATGAAATCGTTACCTCGGGAAATAATAATTTCACTCACCGATCGATGCGTAGCAGCGGAGTTGACTGCACAGAAGCTACGTTGATCTGTAACATAGAAATAAAATATAAATTAAAACAATGCTATAAATATATCGTAAGAGGTCCCAAGACATACCGCTATGCTTGTGATTTTTGGAATTAAACGTCAAAATGGCCATAATGAATTTTGTACGGATATATTTGCGGATATATGTAAATATCTTGTTGAACGGAATTCTTCCGGGCCTTGTTTATTGAAATATCACGATGAAAAGATATTTACGGATTTTGTTTCCGTACGAATAATTTTTTTTCTATCGTAAGAAAATATATATTTAAAAAATTTTCCCATTAAATGTATTCATTAAATTTTATATACAAAGCATGCAACAATCAGTAGATAATCAATTGTATAATTATAAATAACTTTATAAATTTATAAATATTTTACTTTATTTAATTATTATTTAAGTTATAATTTATAATTTAATTTATTACTAATTTTATTTTACAAATTGTGTAAAAATTATTTTGTCTTAATGCAAACTTTTATCATAAGTATTTCTCTTTAATTCTCTTTTATTTAAATCATGAAAATAGTTTTAAATATATATAAGTATGCAATAAATGACAAAATAATTTTAAATATATGCAATGTCTGACAAATATTATATAATATTATATATATATATATATATATACACTCACCCCAAAGTTGCTCCGCCGGCGCCTGATGCCTCTCACTCAGGCCTGCTCCTCCTCTCAGGTTGATTAGCATTTTCCGTTGATTATCAAAGTTTTTGATTTAAACGCACGATACTTTATTCGTTACACTCCCGCACTTAATACGCGCGATACTTTATTCGGCACTCCCGCACTGAAACGTGACGCGATTATACTTTTGCGGAAGCCGAATGTATCTGAAATACTTCCGCTGTGTCGGTGTGTCGCTCAATACGTAATTTGATTACGGTGTCAGACACACCGTATGCGTTTCATTAATAATACTATTATAATGTCAATAGTCCTCCTTTTTAATGAATATTAAAAATATTGAGTATATAATTATACGTCGGCTAAAATTCGATAATTAATTTTAATCTATCATTTATCTATATATGATTTGCAATTAATGCAATGCATCTACTTCCGCTGAATTACACAATATCAAAAGTAAATAAAGAAACGCGTGTCAACATTAGAAGTTTAAAATTTTTAAATATTATCGTAAATAATTGTGTAAATTTTTTAACATTATTCTTTTTATTTTTCTCTTATCGCGATAAAATATCGGAAAATATATTTTAAAGAACACGTTATTTTGTTTCAACTAATGTAAAATTAAGTAATCAATCAATATAAATGAATGGATTACATTGTTAGTATAAAAATTATTTTATTATTATAAAATTAAAAGATTATTAGTATAAAAATAAATAACTGAACACAGTTATGCAGTATGAGGAACTAATCATCAATTTTTCGATATCAAAACTTTTATTGTAAATTATACCTGATATATATTCAGGCATAATTTGCAATAAATATCTCGAAATCAAAAAATTTGGTGATTGGTTCCATAATGCATAATTGCGTTTCAATTATGATTATATAATCAATTATACGTATAACAATTTTTGATTACACACGCAACTCGAATCATAATGTGTGTTTTATAAAATAAATTAAATTAAATATACTAAATTAAATATATTAAAATAAATTATATGTACTATATATATTTATAATGTTTCTTGTTATTTTTTTTAATTAAAATATTCTCAATTTTTTATAATCCATTCATTTATTCGAGGTAACGAAACTATCTACAATCTACATTCTACAATCTAAATCTACATCTACACAAATGAATCTCTACAAAACCGTTACCTCGCAATAAATAATAATTTATCACTTATCATTCGTTGTAAAACAGAGGAGTTGACTGCTATGGTAATCTGTAACATACAAATAAAAGCTAAACTGTAGCAACTGCCTATATAGTAATTAATATTTTAGATAATTATTACTGTGTGCATTGAATTTCTATTGCAATTTAATTTTATATTTTGTGATACGTACAATATTATAAGTAAATATACATATATATATATATATACATAAAATTAAAGAATTTTATAAATAATTTAATAAAACAATAAATAAATAATTATATCTGTAATTTATAAATTAAGTCAAAACAGTGTTAAATAAATGATTATTATGTGCATAGAATTGTATACTCGATGTGTATAATAATAAGAGTACAAATATATATATTTATATATAATTATATATAATTTAAAAAATCTTGATTGAAAATCAAATAAATAATAAATACTTACTTCAGAGTTGCTCCGTTTGACGCCCGATGCCTTTCCCAGGCCTCCTCCTCCTCTCAGTTTTTAGTAACAAATCTGTAACAAATTATTTCCAAATTAATTTAACATAAACTTTTATTATTTATAAAAATATTGCTATTATTATTAATTTATTTTTAAAATAAATAATTAATAAATAATTTACATAGAATATAGAAACATATAATAGATATAATTTTACAATTATTTTATTGCATTTATTGTTATTGCAAATTTAAATGCAAACTTTTATGTATTATATAATAATTATCAAGAAAATATCCCTTATAGAAATATATCATTAGTAAGTCCAATTAATCACTTATTTTGAGTACTTAAATTACTGTTAGTGATACATTTCTATAAGAGATTTTAAATGGGTTTAGTTCGTTTCTAATATATATATACCGTCTTATATTTTATTCACACATTTCATATAATTTTCCCCGCAAATCCATTTACTCATAATAAAATAGAAAATATTTTAAACTCACCGATGCACGGGCGATACGCAGCAGCGGGGTTATATAGCGTAGTATGCAGCATTGAACTGTAAAATGCATAAATAATATATTTATTTAGTATAAGCTAAAACAAGTGTCCAAACTATATTTAATATCTCGTAAAGTGCGTTCACATTATTGCGCGCATTAAATTTTTCTTCTTTGAATTTTTCATTAAATTAACAACAAATAAATTATTCACCTTAAAGTTGCTCTTCCATCGCCTGAATATGCCGCCTCGAATTTTCGTCTCCATTCTTATTTCATCGTTGTCTCTGTTTTGTGGCACTCACTAAAGTACTCACTAAAACAAATTAATTATAATTAAAGTGATTAACGAACGAAGGCACTTCTGACTTTAATGGCGGGCGATGTGCGATTGATTCTGACTTCTGGCGGGAAAAAACGCGGGAAAAGCGCGCTAAGCTCGATTCTCACGGTCTCTTGCGATATCTCTAGATACTAACATCGCGCGCCATCTGACTATCAAATATAATAGCTACAATATATATATATATATACATATACTCTGCGATTAAACATGTATTTATTTTTATGCTACTTTACTTCACTTTTGTAATAGAAAATTATTAATAATTATGAATACAGATTACAAAAAGTTATGAAAAATAGGAATCAACAAATTATTATAATATGAAATATATATATATACAGTGTTGAGTTATTATAAAATATACACAAATATATTTATTATTTATTTTGAGTATATATAGGTTAAAACAAGTATTTCCAAACTATATTTCATATCTTGTAAAGTTTTGTGATTGCTGGCGTTAAATTCCCCCTTCTTGAAATTTTTATAAATATTTTTTTATGATAAAAGTTACAAATAATATAATAAATAAAATACCTAATGCGATTGCTTCTTCGTGTGATATATCGTCCCGGATTTTTTTCTCTATTGCTCTTATATCACCGTTGTCTCTCTTTCCATGGCGTTCACTAACGAGAACAATTTGTTACAATTAGCATATTCCTATAAATAATTAATTGTGATTATGCACACATTAATTAATTATTAATGAACTTACTTTAATGATGAATGCGCGGTACTCGAAAAAAAAGAGAGAAAGCACGCCAAACTATAATCACGCTCTCTTGCGGTAATTTTGGAAACTAACTTCTCAAATTTAGTTGATAAAATAGAAATTAAAATTATCAAATGATTTCCTGTTATTTTGAATTTTATATATAATATATATGTATAAACACCGACGAGATATACTACCTTTTCATTGGTATAAATAAAAAATAATATATGAATATATATATATATATATATATATATATAAATAATTATATTAATATATTAATATAGAATATATTAATAATATTATATTAAATAAAATATATAGGCTTGAATTTTATGTGTATAAAAAATAAATAATATAAAAAAAATAAATTATAATTTTGTAATTTTTTCTTTAATTTTTATATTTTTAATTTTTTATATACAATAATATATATTTTTTTAAATTTTTAGCATGGAAACACCAAGCTGTAATTTCATCGGTAATTAAAAAATGAATCTGTACATTCATATATAATTTTAAGCTTTTAAAATGAATGTAGATGGCAAGAGATGAATGAGAACGTTCCGGATTCTCGAGAATATTTTCAAATCCCGCGAAAAATGCCGGGATAGCAGCTAGCTGTCCCAGTAGTTTTCTCCACCACGTTACACAATCGCAATAATCGTGTTTCGGCCTACAACATGGCCGCGAGGAGATTTTCTCGTAAGCGAGAATTTCGAGGAATTTAGAGAAACGTACGACACAATAAGCCGAGGAATTTCATCCGAGCAACGTCATCCGGGAATTAGGGTAAGTCGACTACGTTTATTCGTGACATAACGAAAAATATCAACGATAACATCGGAGTTTAAAGACCTCGAGCCGATGATGATGATTTAATCGAGCGCGTGTCCAGGATCGCTCGATTCGTCTTTCTCGTCGCCGGACGCTTCGCGATTTACGAGCGCGTTTATTTTCGCCGAAGACGCGAAGCCGCGTGAAAAAAATAAAAGGGAAAAGCCTTTCGCTCGTCTCATAACCTAATCTGATTGTTTCGTGATGACCCGGATACGTTTTTTCTCTATTTTCATCGATGGGCAAGCGACAGAGAGTCAGAAATGTGACACTTCGTGCTGTCACGTGGGAAGCGCGAAGTGACACTCGATCTGTCAAATTTGGCAAAGTTAAAGAAGACTCTTACTTAACTTTGCTCCCTCTTACACTTGTTTTTTTTCCTTTTCGTTTACGAAAATCGGTTCAGTTTCTGTGGTACATTGTGGTTTTTCTGGTTAGTGGAACTGGTTCTGTTTTCTCTCTCTCTTTTCTGAGAGGAATTCTGAGATTATTCTTGTGCGATGTAAAAAAGCATTTGGTAAGTAGCTGGAGAATTTATTTACATATACTCCAGCAAAATAGTAGAAGATAGTACATAATACTGTCATGCGATCGCATAATAGATGATTGAAAAGAAAATAAACGCTTTATTTCTATTCTGTATGTAAAAATGCTGTAAGTTTTCTTTCTATACGTGCACGTATACATCTGAAAAAGATTCTATAACTGTGATTATATTGTAAGCGCACAATACAATGTGTGCTGGTATGATCATTTTTTTTAGTATTATATATTATTTGTGTACACCCGTTAGAATTTCGTGTAAAATCTATTTTGAAACAGATTTACAAAACTTATTCAAAGTATTGAATTTCTTAATATACTTTGTGCCACATGTGTATTTCATATGCGCATATATTGAATGCAAACTCAGTTTGATTATACACACTTTAGAATCTAGAGTTAAGTATAAGAAATGTTTCTATTTTTTAATTAATAATAATTAAATGATCGTGTTATATATATTGAAGTATACGCAATATAAATGTTTTGATGAAATTAAATATTTGCACATACAGCAATGACATGGTAAGTAAGTACGGCTAATTCAAATTTTCCATCAAATTACAATATAATTTATAATATTAAATTGCTACACTAGGAATTACCAGGAGTTGCTACTACAGCATCAACTGATGACAATAAATGGAATTACATTCATCGATAAATTTATTTGTCTGTGAATGTGATTCGCTTACATTTATTACATTGTGTAACTTTCTTCTAACACTGCTTTCAAAGCAATCTAAAATTATTTTCTCAATCTTAGAATTTCCGTTGTAAGTGAAATGCAACTGCTATCTTGTGCCAATCTTGTCATACTTATAAATATATATTTATATTCATCATTGTTATCATTTTCTTGGCCTTCACGATATTTCAATATTTTCAGAAAGCTTTGTGGAGGCTCTTCGCCCGAAAATTACGGCCGTATCATGCAGAACTTTGATGATCTTGATATAGAGGGACGTAATCCTTCTCATTTGTCAGAAGAGGATAAGGAAAAGGTAAAGAAACAGAAAAATAACAGCGATGCAGGAAGATGATAGTGAGCAAGTGATCAGAAATTATTATAAATTGTGCATGCATTAATTGCAAAACAAATATAACTTGTCAGATATTATGTGCAATGATGCACATCCTTTGTTGTCCAATTATTCAAAGAGGATCGTTTTTACACGTGTTAATACAGGTTTTAACATAAGGTTTTTACTCAAAAAACACGTTATTATGGACATTTTTGAGCCTCTCGTCTTAAGCAAGCGTCCTTTGCTCGCCTTACGAGTCGTTTATGTTCCCTAGGATGAGTATGATCGCAAACGTGTAATGCGATGCAGCGTTACCGCCGAAGATGGTGCACTGAGACCAGTCTACTCCGAGACCGAAGATGGTGATATATGGTGTCATATCTGTAACGTCGCCCTGTTTGGAGCGCACAAGTTGATAAGTCATAATCTGTGTAATCGTCACAAGATGAAGCTGGACGAGTGGCCGTATCCGGTGATGCTCTGGTCGAAGCGACCCCAGGACGCGGCCAAGAACACGGTCGCCCCGGTGCAGTCCACGACCATCGGCGACACTCTGGCGCCTGGCGAGCCGGTACCGCCCGGCATGGAGGATCAGATAACGCGGATAACGTCAATACAAATCAGCCTGGACCGGCATCAGAGCTCGCCGCTCGTCGGCCTCGAGTACCTCCTAGAACTGGTGGACAACGATTCTTGCGAACCGAGTTACACGTGTGTTTTGTGCGACAAACGCGGCGATCCGCGTACAGTAATGGCTCACATTACCAGTTACAATCATCGGATCACGTATCTCAACAGACACTTTCCAACTATATCGCGAGCGATCACCGAGTTACCGCGTACCCCGAACTATAAGCGCGGGGCCAACGAAATATCGGTGTTAGTGGCGAAGAGAATCGAAGAGAAGTTTGGAAGAATGAAGCCGCAACTGATCGACAAGGTTCAGTTCGAAAAGAATAAGATGCAGTATATCAAGAGGGTTTATCAGGATGTACATTTTAGGTAAGTCCGAACATTACACCTATTATTATTATTGTTATTATTATTTAATAATAATTTATTATGATTATTATTATTAATTATATTGAATCATCTACCTTCTCGGTTTTTAACTATTAAAGGTTTTCCTTTAATAATAACTTTCTCTCTCTTGCTTGTCTTGACTTTATAAAAATCAATGTAGCTGTTTCCTGTATACAGGGAAACGCCAGAGTGTACGTTTATGGAAGTTTATGATGTGCGATGGGTGACAAATTTTGATGAAAAATTGGCAGAAATAAATGGTAATAATGTTAGAAAGAAGGGTGAGTACACGGATATGCATATACATTTGATATATTTATACTATATATAAGATATGTGTATTGTATAAATACACGGATAAATATACGGATAAAACTATTACAATTGCATCTTTTAAATCAATGATTTTTTTATCAAGATGCCATTATTGCTGATGAGAAGATTGATGACAAATGTAAAAAGGAAGATAAGAAAAAGGAAAAATCTCCTAAAAAATTAGAAACTACAAAAGGAGAAACTACGAAATCGTAAGTAAAATCATGGTGATAAAGTAAATATGATTGATAATGGAAAAATAAGCATTACTTTTATGGATCTTTCTAAAAACATTTTTTTTATCTGAACAATAGTTAAGTTTTATATCAAAGAGCTTTTACATTACTTATATTTCCATTATTATTATTGTTCCATAGTATTTATATAAATATCAAAAAGTGATGATATATTTGATGTAATATATTTTTATATTATAAATATTATATTTAATTATATTTTAATATTTAATATTGATATTTTAATTATATTTTTATATTTGTAATATATTTTTATAATATATAATATTTTTATTACATACACTTTTTTATAATACCGTTATATCTCTCTAGGATTGTACTTTTCGATTTGAAACTGATAATCCTTCCTATTTTAGGGGTTTCAAAATGCGTATATTTAACAAGGACAAGATAAACCTTCGGAAGACTTCGCCGAAGCCGGAGGAGACCGCGAAAAAGTCGCCCAAACGTCCGTCAGACGATACAAAATCATTGTCGTCGCTCTCGAGCATATCCAGCAGTCCGTCTCCGTCTCGCTCGAGGTCTCGTTCGCCGAGTCGAGGCAGAAAGAGGAGCTCCGTCGAGAGAAGCAGCGGCAGGTATCGCAGCGGCTCGCGATACTCGCGCGAGCGCGCCCGCGGGCGATCGCGATCGCGATCCCGGTCGCGCTCGCTGCAGCCGCTCCGGGAACGCGACAAGTGGGACAAGTATCGGGAGCAGATCAGACGCGCCGAGGAGACCCTGGATCGCGCCCTGAAGTTTCACGAGAAGAATCCGGAGAAACATCCGTCCTATCCAGACGAGTGGAAAAAGTTTTGGAACAGGCGTTACAAGGAGCTTCAGGCCGAGGGCAACGATCCGAGCAAGCACGACTTCAAACCGGAGTGGATCGAGTTCTGGAACAAGAGGATGCGCGAGATACACAACGAGCAGCTGCAACAACGAAAGGAAGAGATCAGGAAGAGGCTGGAGCTGCCCGAGGACAAACCTCCGGAGAAATGGATACCACCCAGACGGGAGCGAGAACGTTCCCCGGCGAAACGTAGCAGACATCGGCTGGAGAGCGATGACGAGGTGGAGTACGTTGGTACGAAGATGGTCAAACCCGAGTATTACGATCGTCACGAGCTCCGAGAACGAGAGTACATGTATTCCACGTATAGCCGTGGCAGAGGAAGCGTGTACAGCCACAGTTATCCGCGAACGGCGTCCCGTTCTAGACCAATATACTACGCGACCCCGTATCCGGTGAAGGAGAAGTCTCCCACTCCGCCTGTCGCGGAGGAAAGCTTGTCGGAGGATTTCGAGGTGGTTAGTCTACTGCGTTTGTTGACGGCGCTCGAGGGTCAGCTGGGTTCTCTCGGTCCTAAGATAGTGTCGCTTTTGTCGAAAGCCTTGGCAGCCGAGAAAGCGAAGCCAAACTCCGCCGAGGAGCTCCTATATGACGAGGAAGTGAGCGTTCTGTTCGAGACTGTGAAGGAGAAGCTGAAGGGTCAACTATTCGCTGGGATGGTGGAAAAGATGGCGATTACCGCCACCAAAACTGCGATACAAAACATCGCCAAGTTGCTGCACAAAGCCTCTGAGGGCAAGAAGAAACTCCTCCTCGAAGAGGAGGAGAAGAAGAAGAACAAGGAACGAGAACTCTTGGAGGCGTCGAAACCCGCAGCAACGTCTAGCTACGTCAACAGAACCATGTACACGAGACCAGTTGAGATTCTTGCACCGTCCATCAAATCTGAACCGGTCAGTGTCCCGGGGATCGGTACCATCGATAAGGTCGCCATTGCTCAGCAGATCGCTACCGCTCTCGTTGCACAGGGTAGAACGAATGTCTCTCAGGAAGAGCTGGAGACCCTCATCAACGCTGTGATAGGCATGGCCGAAGCGTCCAAGCATTCCGACAAACCCGTCACCACTGCTGACTTCGTCAAGGGTCTGACCAGCAGTTCCGGTAACGTCGGAGTCGTCGCCGCCGCTGCTGCTCCTCCTCCTCAAGTAGCGGAACCCCCGAAACCGATCGCGATCGTCCCCAACGAGCCTTCCTCAAAGATGGAGGATTTGTCGGAGCTGGATCTGAAGGTGAAGCTGCAAAACTTCAAGGATCTGAACACGCAGGAGCAACACGGTCTCATCAACTTCTGAAAAACTCGAAGCGAGCGATCCGAGCAGGGTGGAGAAATTGCGAAACTTCGTCAACCTCGGCGTGGTGTCGACGTCGTCGAATAAGGCGAAGTCGCCAAGTCCGGAGATCGTCGAGGCCACGATTGCCAAGGGCAGGCAAAGGAGCATCTCCCCGTTTTCCATTCGCAAGGGAACCCAGAATCCGACCGATGACGAGGACAAGTGGAAACCCAAGGTGGACATGTTTGCGAATGACGAGGAGGAGGAACAGCAGCAGCAGCAAGCGAAGAAGGATAACGATCAAGACAAGATGAAGACGAAGTTGGACTTGTCCGACGACGACGATGATTATACGTACGAGGATATCTACAAGGCGGCGAATAAGAACGTGAACGAGAACGAGAAGGCCAAGAAGTCTCGCCAGGTCTTCTCCAAATCCCCCAATTCCTGGTCACGCTCGCGATCCCGATCGCGATCGCGATCGCCGCCGCCCAGGCAGAAGGAAATCACAAAGACGAGCGACCCGAACGCGATCCTGAACGAGACGAAACGTCTGATCGCGAACATCATGTGCGAGCTGCCCAACAAGTACGTCCCCAAGACGCACAATATCGAGACGATCGAGCCGATGGCGAATCCTCCGGTCGAGCAGATACTTCCGACAACTGCGGGAAGCTTTTACAACCAGAGTTTCGGTCAATCGCGACCGCAGGGACAGCCATTGACGGCCTATCCCAACGTCTCCGGTCAGCAACAGTTCGCCAACTATCAGCAACCGCAGCAACAAATGTTTCAACCTAGTAATTCGGGTTACATGGACAATGGTTACAATTATCAGGGTTACAACATGGCTAATCAGGGCCAGTACGCTGGACCGTCCAATCAATATCCTCAACAGACTTACGGCGCCTATGTCCCACCTCAAACCAGCCATCAGCAACCCAACTACGTTCAGCAGCCGCAGGCGCAGCAGTACGACGCTTACATGCAGCAACCGAGATTCTACTGAGTGCAGTGTCGAGTGTCTCGTCCTCGTTCCGTATTTCGCAGATTTTATTCGTGTCTCGTCGTCATCTATCGCGAACTCGGACGACGACGACATTTCCCAATCTCTTATGCTCTCTTTTTCTCCTTTTTTATTATCTGTGCGGGTACTCACAAATGTATCTTTCAATGAAATGATTAGATCGATCCTATTTCGAAAATTAATAATTATATTTTCTCTTTCTTCCTCTCTTATATGCGAAATTGTAAAAAATTGCTCCGCACTTCTTTATATCGAATTTGATAAAATATATCCATATATTTTCGACGTAGGAATAAAATTGTTATATCTACTGGTGTGCTATTTTTGCGAATGGGATTGAATCTCGTTTCGTTGTATGGATACATGTAAGAGAGCGCGAAAAATATATATATATGTATATATATAATTTTATATACAGTATCCCAAAAGTCCTGCAATAGTCAAATATCTCAAAAACAAAGGTTTTTGAAGAAATGTTTCAAATAAAAGTTGCAAGATTTTAAGTGACGCTTTAATTAATAATAGTGTAACTACGTGTAAAATAACTTTGTAAACATATAACATTTTTTAATTAGGAAACCTATTTTTAATTGCACATTTTTATAACTTATCTCTGGAGAGCTTTTCAAAACATTATAATATAGTATTTTTTTATTTAGTGGTTTTCGAATTGTAATGCTTGAAGTTTCCAGTATTTTGACAAAATACAAAATATCATGTAAAATATTTAATTTTTGATAATTTATATTATCTCATCTCACAATTCTCATTCTCTATACTTTACTTAATACTTTATACATAAAATAATTAGAGAAATTATAATATTATAATATTATAAATTATAATTTCGCAACATACTTTTTCTTCAAAATAATTATGCGTTTTCTTTGCACAAATTGATTGGTCTCATTTATGCTGTGCATAAAAGTATTAAGATAATTATTGAAAATTAAATGTTTTGCAAGATATTTCGTATTTTATGTCAAAATACTGATCTTTCAAGCCTCAAAAAATATGGAAAGAAACTTTATTGTAGTGTTCTGAAAAGCTCTTAAGATAAACTACATTAATATGTAATAAAAAATAGGGGCTTTGATTTAAAAAGGTCAAAGTGAATTTTACGTGACCTTAACAATGTTATTTATAGTCACACTATTATTATTTAAAGCCCTACAACTTTTTATTTAAAACATTGTTTCGAAAAGCCTTTGTTTTCGAGATATTTAACTGTTGCAGGACTTTGGAACACTGTATATATATATATATATATATACACACGAGATCTTTTTGTACGTTCATACATCATCGAGCAAAGTTTGTTTCCAAATGTACGATCCTCTTCTTGTATCCTCTTTGTATACGCGTGAGGGTGTGTATGTATGTATGTGTGTGTGTGTGTGTATGTGTGTGCACAGTGAAAGACTATCGTGTATGTTAATTGACTGAATGTTTTATGTTGCCTTCGAGTGAACTATATATGAACGAGAAGTGAACGTGTCATGTACGAGCAGAGAAAAGTAAGTGACATGAAATAATCTATCCGCGTTTAATTTTTATCCGATATATAAACTCAATTTCTCACCGTTTGTAATATACTTGAAAAAGACGAATGATTATCGTCTCGCTTTTGTGTGTTTATTGATATGTGTATAGAGAATGAGAATTGCGAGATATTTCAATACAATCTTGGGATCGTGATGATTAGAATCATTTTAAGTCGTTTCTAAAAAAAAAAAAATAAAAAAAATAAAGAAAATGTCACACGATGATATTCAAAATATTTGACGTTTACGGAGTAAGATGCAATTCTTTAATAAATACAATACAAGAGTATCACATTTTTTGTATAATATACTTTCTCTCTTAATTTAAGGTAACGCCTGCTTCGAAAATGTATATATTCGTGTTCTTGTAGTAACACGAATAATCATAAAATAATAAAATAAATAAAAATAAAAAAAATTTTATATCGTTAAATATCATTCGTTTTAAAATAATAAATTCTTATGACGAAGAGAGATCGGGAAAGAGAGATTTAAACTGAAGATCTATCTTATAATGTATTATTGTAACAATTATATGTATGTTTACACATTGCACAGTGACTAGAGAATTATAAAGACACATTCCTTGTCCATCGTACTTCAAGATCGCCGCGAAGAAATTAAATAAAGCACACGAGAAATTGCGATTCATACAATATGTACATACCTTCACGGAAAAAAATATTAATTATCATAGCTACATTTTAGCTGCCCTATACTAACTAATATTTCAATCTATAGTTCAATAGGAAATTCGCCGTTAAATTATAGTTAAAAATATTACTTAAAATTTTTAAATATCATGGTTAAATTATTGTATTATAATTAAATTTTAGAGATATAATATTAGAAACATTAAAATTTAGCTATAGTAGCTAATATTTTTAAGCTACAACTTAATAGAGAATTAAGACTCCTGGATCCTCGCCGTGACTATGTTAGATTGTGACGTCAAAAGCGAGAAAGCACGTGCTGAATTATTCTTAGATGCCATTTTTAAATAATAAATCTCTTTATTTCGAAATGGCATATAAGAAGAATTTTTATTTAAAATTATTATTTTAATCGCAATTAGTTTAGCGTGTGTTTTCTCGCCTCTGACAATTCCAACATGAAGACCCTTAAATTATAGTTAAAAATATTAGTTATACCATGGAGCTAAAATTTCGATATGACAATTAAATTTCAGATGCAACTTCAGGGCCACCTAAAATTCAGCTATGGTAACTGATTTTTTTAATCCGTGATTTCTTTTTCGACTAAAATAAAAGAGAAGCGTGCGTACTCGCGCACGGGGTCTTTCCAATTATTTCGGTACGAGGCCTCTCGTTTTGGGGTAAACCGGCGCCGGGATCTGTTGCATCTTGGTGACGCTCTTCGGCCTGACCCTGGCGGCGGACTGCATGCGCGTCCTGGTCCTCAGCCTCGTACTCGACGCGTCGACGTCTATGTCGCCCTCGTCGCGCAGAGCCTCCTCGAGGACGGCCTGGATCGTCGGCGCAATCACGGGTCCCTGATAATCCAGCGTCGTCCGCGCCGGCATGTCGAGGTCCAGGTTGAGAATGTTATCGCCGGCGTAACGACACCCGCGTCCCATCGCGAGGGCGATCCTCGCGTACTCCGAGACGGGTCTGCGCGCACCCGGCACGGAAGTGGGTCGCTTGATGACGTCCACGCTGGATGGTTCCGGATCTTTCATCATCCAGCAGTCCTCCTCCTCGTCCAGGTGGATCCTAGATAGGATCTTGGTCTTCTCCTCCTCGGGGATAAAATTCTCGATTATGAGGTACTTGAGCTTCAGCTCCTTCATCAGTTCGTGCTGCTCCTGCTCCAGGTCCCGTCTGTCCCGGTTGTAGTCGCTGGTCACGTCCTCCAGCTCCTGCTTCAGGGCCTGCAGCTTGGTGAAGCACTTTCGTAACTTCCTGGACTTGACGTCCACCTCCTGCTGCAACGTGGTGTACGTCTCCCTAACGCCGACCATCGTCACCTCCTCGTCCTCCAGCTTCTGCTGCATCTCGACCTCCCGCCTCTTGCGTTCCGCAATCTCGGCCGCCTTCTGCTCCAGCGCCCTCTGCTGTTCGTTTGTGTGATCGATGATGTTCTTGCCGCCGCAGAGCATCTTGCTTTCCAGGTCCTTTATTCTCTGAACGAGAGTCTCGGCCTCCTGTTTCTCGGCCCTCAACTGCTCCGCTATGAGCTTCTTGTCGGTCTCGGCCGTCTTATTGTCCTCGCCGCGACTATTATCGTCCTCGGAGTCCGAATCCATCGCGTCATCCTCCTTCTTTCTTTTCGACTTTTTCTTCCTCCGCTGCGTTCCGCCCTTCTGCGCGAGTTTCTCCCGCAATCGACCTATCTCCTCCTGATATTGCCTCAATAAAGCATCCTTCGGATCTTCGTTTATCCTAGGCTTGTTCTTGATGTTCTTGGCACGACTGGCGTACCGTAAAGTCGTCAGGGTTTCGTCATAGTTGTAGCTAGCCGGCCCGATGTTGGCGACCATAATCGTCTTCGAGTTCCCACCCAGGGAATCTTGCAGCAGTCTCGTCAGTTTCGAGTCTCGATACGGCACGTGGGTGGTTTTACCGTCCACCAGGGCCGAGATGACGTTCCCCAGAGCCGACAGGCTCAAATTGATCTTACTCGCCTCCTTCAGTCTCTCCCCCGACGAACCAGTCTTGCTCTGTCTCTCGCTACCTGCGAGATCGACCAGATTCAGGCGTCCGACCCTGATGCCACCGCAATCGCCGATGGTACCCATCTCGATCGTGATGAGGAAGATCGCGTGCGACCGCGAACTGTGCTCGTTCATGTTCGTCGCGCCGATGGTCCTGTTCTGATTACCCACGTTCATCAGATGCTGTATCTCCGTCGCGCTTTTACAAACGGCGGTCGACAGATCCTTGACGTACACCCCGATGTCCGGCTTCTCCTTCAGCTCGAAGCGCAGACTCTGATCCGGATGCAGCAGGTCGCGTATCTCCTCCTGATAGATCTCCAGGTAGCTGGCCCTCACCAGGTACTGCATGTTCTCGGAACGACCGATGTGATTGAATATGTGCTCGAAGGAGCGTGGGATGACGCCGCGCCTCTCGTGATCCGCCTTCGAGCCCTCCATCGTGTACGTCTTCCCGGTGCCCGTTTGCCCGTAGGCGAAAATAGTGCCGTTGAAGCCGTCGAGCACCGAGGATACCAGCGGCCTCACAGTCTCCTCGTACAGCTCCTGCTGGGTGGAGCTCCAGTCGTACACCGCGTCGAAGGTGAACACCTTCACGGTCTCGCTGCTGGGATCGTCCCGAGGATGTCGCACCTCGACGACGCCCCTGGACGGGATCACGTCGACGACCCGGCTGTAGCTGCGGGCGATCTCCCGCTCGTCCATGGGCCGGCATCGCACGACGACCTTCACGCACTGGGTAGCTATCGCTTCCGTGTTCGAGCTTGATTTCATGGTGCTCTTCTTCTTCCAGGTCCTCTGCTGGTTGTCAGGTTTCTCCATCCCGCCGGTGAAGAGGATTTCTGCGGCGCGGCCCTCGTCTGCAATGCAAGAGTGGATTTCATTTTACGCCTCATCTAGATGCACCCTGGACACGCTGATATAATCAACTTTTATATTAGAATTTTTATTATATTTAAATTTGTTGTATTAATAGATCGTCTTATGTGTTAATCGTTTGTCTTAAGAATATTGAAAAAAAGTATCTTGTATATAAATAATATTTATATATATATATTATAAATACTTTTTATATAATAAAAATATAACAGAAAATATATAGAAATATATAAGAAAAATATAAAATATCACAAGTATTTATAATATATAAAATTTATAATATTTTTATATATTATAAATACTTGTGATATTTTATATTTTTTTCTTATATATTTCTATATATTTTCTTGTTATATTTTTTACTACATTTTAATTATATTTATTATATTTATATATTATATAATAATATTTATTATGTTATATTTTAATAATTATTCTTTATTAGAAAGCTCATGTGATAAAATAATTATTAATTATATATGTCTTAAGAATACAAATTTTGTAAAGAAGACTGACAATAAGATTTGAGATAAATATTTTTCTACGTGAATCATCTATTAAGTCTTTTTTAGTATATATGAATTTCGAATGTGCGAAAAATTAAACTTTTGCAAATGTGTATATTTATATGTTGAAACTTATTCTCTCATTATAAAAATGCAAATAAAAGTAGTCTACATATAAAATATTTTATTCAATTTACAACATAAATTTGCGTATCCCATTTTCCTCAAATTAATTTTCGCAATTTATCAACTTTTAAATCGATTGTTTTTATATAGCAAAAATTATGTCATCTTTTAAACATGAGATCAGATCTTTTAAACAAATTTTCACCACTTTTATGAGATCACAGACATTTTTGCAACTGATTAGCAGTTTTGTCTTTAAATACGATAGAAATCAGAGTGGAAAAAAAAGAAATAGAAACTATGAAATTGCAAGCAATAAACAATTAAGGAAATTAAAAAATTTTTACATTTATATTATCAATAGAAAAATGCATTTAAATAACATTATTTTATTCTTAATCAAACCACTTCAGAATATAATTTTTTTATTATTTTTGTGAAGCTTTACGTTGCTATGTTCGAACGACACAGATCAATAAAAAGCACGCAAAAATGTACATTCCATGACTTTTATACAATATTAATCGTATATTGATCGTATTTGATAGGCTTTTAAATCTTACAATAATACTTTTCAATCTTTTTCTCTCATAAAAAAGTGAAAGTAAAATCATCATTACTCTATCAATTAAAAGTGGAAGCCTATTAGAGCCTCGACAAAATTGCAAATATTTATTGTTTCATTTTAAATGCATTGAAATACATTGCAATAACTGCATTGAAATTAAATAATTAAGCATCGCACACACCTGAAAATTAGACATTAATTTTATCTTCTATTATGAAATGTTTTGTCGATAAAATTATATATGTATACAGAATTAGTCTCCATAAGAAAATAAGAAAAATATACATATATTCATTACATCATATATCTGTATTTTTTTAATTTTTTGTGATATCCATTGAAGTAATTTAGATTGCATCGATATTAATGCAATGCATTTTTTTCCATTACATCAAGAAATAAATATACGTACGTGCGTGCAAAGAGGGAAACCCAACGAGAGAGAGAGAGGATAACAGAGTAGACTCTCGCTTTAAGACTCGGCGTTTCTCTGCGAGAAACGTAATGTAAGACGAACCAAAGAAATCTCGCGGGGTAGGAGAAGAGGGGATGGGAAGAAGTGAGAACGATTCATTACCGTTTCTACGAGTCGTTCTTCGCCGCAACGTATCGGTATTGATCCATTGTTTAGCCCAAGAATTCGCTGTCAACGGAACCGCCGTCGTGTCGCTCTCGCATATTGATTCTCGCGCGAGGAAACCGTCTCTCTCTCTTGCGATTCGCACCTTCGAATATATACGTTTAGCCGATATGTTTTATTCGGCTATGACATTCACTCGCGGCGCCTTCGACGTTTGACAGGAGGAAGAACGCGCTTTGACGTTAAACGTCAAACGTGCGCGCGAGCACCACGTCTGGCTGGTCTGTCACTGCGACGCCGGGGACGCCAAATCAATATCTCGTTACGTCATCGAATGTCTGAGACGAGACGAGAGAGTCGCCTTTTCTTCGTGTTCCGCCCGGTCGGTAAAACAGAATCCACCGGACGCGATGACAGAAAGAGAGGGAGATATAAAAAAACTATTGGCAAAAGTTTGCAGATAAAAATTCTCGCGTAATATATATCTGATATTTGTATATAAAATCTGTATTTAAAAGTAAAAATAATAAAATTAAATTTAAAAAATTAAACATGTTTAAAATGTTATTTTGTTCGCTCATCTTTGACATTTATTTCATTATATAAAATTATTTATTGTATATGTATATTATTATATATATATTTTATTTAGTATATATATTTATTTTATATATATATATATATAATATTTTATATTATATTATAATTTGAATTATATTTTATATTATATTATTTTTATTGCATTAAAATCAATTTATTTTGTCTTGAGGAAGTGACGTCACATACGCAGTGATGACTTTCGATACTTGCGTTGCGTGCATCTTCGTCACATGCAGGTGATGCCAGTCATCTGATTTTCGTTGAAAGAATAGTCAGTATCGCAATATTTGTAATAATTTACTTCCGTACGTCTTATAATTGAAATCAATGACAAGAAATCAACATTTTTATATATAAAGTCTCCATTTACTGGTAAGATGTCATCTCGATTAATTGTAAGTCAACTCTATGTACATGATAGGTTAATTGTATCGAAATCTGTATTTTTCATGTAATTAGAAAGATAATTTACACACGTATTTTGATAAGATATAAAACAAAACTTCTCTAATTAAAAAAATACAATTTTTTAAAATATCTATTATTTTAACATTAAATTATATTAAGAAATTCTTTAGATTAAAATTACTGAATAAATACTTTTAATTAATTGATGTATCTAGATTTTTTCACACTTTATTATTGTAATTCTATTTGTATTTACAAAAATATATTTCTACATTAATTCTTTATAATTTTGCAATAATATATTATTTTTCACATTTTTATTATTTAATTAATTGCTCCCAGAATTGTGTCATTGCAGATTTTATGATAGACATTAATTATTTCAACAAGATAAGGGAAAGAAAGATTAGTGGAAAAAGCATTAATTTAAACAAACATATTTAAATTGCAACTATGAAGCAAAAAGTTACATCCTTTCTGTTTTCTGTTTCAGGTAACATGAGACTGTGGGTTGTGGTGGCGCACATTGTATTAGTGGCTACTAATCTATGGGTGACAGCGCACTTCCAGGAAGAAATACCCGAGGATAATGAATTTGCTGAATTTGAAGATTTTGAGGAGGAGAAGCCTCCAAGTTTACCCGTTGAACGTGTATCAGAATCTATACAGGAGGAAGATCAGGATTTTGAGGAGGACGAGGTCTTAGTGACAGATGGAGACAGTGAATTCGATCACTTCCAGGATGAGGAGGAGTTTGAAGGACTGGACGTTACTGGAAGCAACGCTGGTCCAAAGACAGATGAACCCTCCACGTTAACCATTACAAAGGTCCCGTTACATCTACGAGACAGATGGGACAGTTTTTACTTAGAGATACTGATGATCACCGGATTATTGGTATACTTTATAAATTACATAGTTGGACGTTCGAAGAATGCTCGTATAGCCGAGCAATGGTTGATAGAGCATAAGCAACTCTTGCTGGACAATTTCTCTCTAGTGGGTCATTCGAGTAAATCAGATAACGCCAACGATAATGATTTGATGAAGGAAAGCGAATCCCAGTACAGCTTGTATTGCTCAGGACGTGTCGGCTGTGACTCGATGCTCATCGAGTTGAAATTAATCAAGAGGCAGGATCTGGTTGCCGTATTAGCTCAACTAGTGCGTCCACAAAACGATCAGGCTCATATACACATAGAACTCTCGAAGGACGAGATAGATAATTTTGTTTTAGCAGTTGCTACAAAGCGAACAGCGGTGCACTTGGTGCGCGACATGGCTGACATCAGCGTCTATTGCCCAGAGAAACGACCTGGGGAAAAGTTCGGTCTTCCAGCAGGCTTCTACGTGATGTCTGAGATCGCAGAAACGACGTCGGCTATCTTGGACACGAAGGTTCTGCAAACCTTCTCTAAATTTGCCTCTTACATAGATTACATTCATATAAGCGACCAGTTCAGCGGACGCAAACAACAAGAGTGAGTAAAAATATGTCGACTATATTAAGTGTATTAATTAAAACGTACTTAATATACGATGACAATTTAATTAAATGCAAAAAAATGAATGCGTAGAACTGGTTGCGCATTATTTACCTCTGACATTAAATTATAATCTTAAATAATATTAATGATACTAATATATGTAATCTTATTTTAGAGACACTAGTCAATTAACGATGCCGGAAGTAAAGAGGGTATTATTGATGGGTCTGAACATAAGTCTCAAAGGTCGCACGTGTAACGCAGAGACCCAGGAGAGACTCAAACTCTTACTACAACTTGCTTTTTATTTAATCGATAAACTGCGACGTTTTAAGTTGTCCAAAGAGGTTTGTGCTTCCTTGTTGTATAGTAGAAAATATTCAAAAATGAGAAATATATACAATAATAAATACATGCAATATTCCTGAAAAATATTATAATGGAAGTAAAATTCTATTTATATACAGGGTAAAAATAAGGCGGATAAAAACAGACTCAAAGTGGAGGAGGCCTTTCTGAAGACGACGCACGCTGCAAGGGCCGAAGCTGCGGCGCAAAGACGGGAAGAACGTCGAAGAGCCGAGAAGGAGAGAATTCTCCAGGAAGAGGATCCCGATAAACAAAGGAAATGGGAGGAGAAGGAACAACGAAGACTGGCGAAGAAACGTGCCCCCAGAATGAAGCAACTCAAGGTGAAAGCTTTGTGACAAGGTTACGATCAAAATTAATAAAAGCGAGTCGTAGATTCTACAGAATCATGAAATTCACTACCGCTGAAATACTCGCAGAGAGAGAGAATTTTGTTAAAAGATTGTACTTCGTCCAAATTATCTACAAATTATGCTAAACTTATATATCTCTTCATTCCCGATTCGCGTATTCATTCTCAGACACAAAGTATCGAACTTATTGAAGAAAGTACAAACGACTGTGAATGCGAATATCTCCTGCGAATTGTAAGTTTGTTGTGTGACGTATACTTTTTTTGCTCTACTGCCAGCTTGTATACTTAAATATCATAGAGATATATATATATATAATATTTCTCCTGTTGAAACAAAAATCGTAATAAAAAAATTTAGCGTTTACTATATACATATTAAAAATAATATCCGATATCTTTTTTGACGCTACATACCAACAAATTGATACGATAGCAATGAAATTGTTTCCTTTTAATGCTAACTTTCAAGTAATATTTGTATCAAACAGAAATCTACTATAATATTTCAAAAACGTTTTTCTCTATATTCGAGATAAACATATTCATTTAATTAATATACAATATTATTATTCAATATTTATTAATATTATTATTTAATAATTAATATCTCAATGATATCATTACGTAATGATTCAAATATATCTATCATTTTTTTTTTAATGTTATAAATCCATCACACAAATATGGAGAGAAAGTATATTGTATGTAAAATCGGACTTGAACTTATCCTAGAGTGCATAAAGTGGGAATATATATATATATTATTTATTGTATATAATATATGATAATTAAACGTCTGTTTTCCAAATAACGTGCCACAGTGTTTAGCTTAAATATGTATAATTGCGACTACAATAGGTCAGTAATAGAAATATATACCTTAAAAATTTAATCGTTAATAATAGCCTCGACTTTTTCCACGTTAGTTTTAAAAATTCTTATCAATACTGAACAATTTTTAAACGATATTAACTCACCGGATGAATATATATGCATATATATATGAATAATAATAATGTATATGGAGTGAGAAGCGTTAGTAGAGATCTAAAGTCTACCATGTTGCGCATTTGTACTCTTAAGCAGGAGGTGCGATATTATAGAAAATCTAGAAAGCTTCCGCGGAATCGCGCAGGAGTTTCGTATTACTCTGAATGACAGTTTTGGAGAACAGAAAGTTGCTGTCGGAGACGAAGTCCGCTATAACAATATTCAATCCGCCGCGGCCGGGTCTCTTCTGATTTATCCAGGAGAGAATCGCCTTTTGACAGAGGGGCACCAGGTCCCTCTGCAGGGTACCGCACAGATGTTTCACGACGTAGGGCGTGTCCGGCGTCAACAGGCACTGCGACACGAACGCGATGTCCAGGGATCTGCTCTGCAGTTCGATGTTCAGGAAGTCGAGCAGCTCGTCCACCCGGACGGTGTTGGGCCACACGGTTCTCCAGAGCCCGGACGGCCATAGATTCGCGTAATTGTGCGCATAGACGTTCCTGTAAATCGCGAAGGCCTGGTATTTCCTGGTGACGAGCCAGCGCAGCGTGATGTGATCGAATCTGGAGGAGACCGGGCACAACTTCCCGCGGAAGATCTCGTATATCCTGTCGATGAGACGGTGATGATCGTCGTCGGTGAAGGCGTAGAAGTGCTGGAAGTCCAGAATGACGATCTCGTTCGCGTGCGAGGTCAGCCAGTCAGCGACGTCCAGAAGAGGCCGGCTGACCTCGGAACCGTACAGGCCGTGGAGGAAGTAAACGTCCTTGCTCCCGGGTTTCGTAGCGACGCGCAGATCCAGATATCGAATTCCGCCGTTCAGCTGTCGCTTGATATCGTCGTGTTGTGTAATGGACCAATTTAGAATAATGGGCTTGGCAACGAAGGAACAGTAGCGGCCGAGTGTGCGAATGAAGGTCGGCTCGTCCGGCCCCACGTCATTGCGTTTCTCGATCGTATAAGTCATGGTGTCGTGAGAACCTGTGGAAAGTAAAATCCATTGTTCGTATACTGGACGCTAAATATAGTCATTCATTTATTCATGTTAAAAAGGAGAAAAAGAATTAGATTGAAAATTAAAAAATTACAAAATTATATATCAAATTTTTATAATTCTTTTCTTGCACATTTTTTTGAACTTATCTTATTAGTTACATCTTTAAACAATTTTTGTTAAAAAAATAAATTAAAAAATTAGACATGAAACTTGTATATAATTCATGAAATTCTCTTTTATATTTTTTTCGCACTTCCTTTTATTACCATATTAATTTACTATGCAGTGTTTTTACAAATTTAAAAAACTTCTCTTATAAAATTATGAAATAAAATGAAAATTTGAAGCTTTGGGAGTCTTTAATTTTTGTGAAAAAGATAGATTGTAAATTAATTAAAGGAGTATACATGAAGTTTGCATAATTAATGAATTCTTTCTTTACATATTTGTCGAATTTATTCCTTTATTCCCAAAAGCATTAATTTGCTGTACAAAATATTTACAAATTTTAACAAATCTGATTCTCATAAAACATTACAAAGTAAAATTAAAAAAATTTGGATTTTACTCTTGAAATCTTTCAAAAATTAATGCCACGTTGTTCTAAATAAGAAAACGAGACAAATAATTAAATAATTTATAGATCAACATAGAAGACTCCAAACTCCAAAACATTTGAAAAAAATTCGACATTATTTTTGTAGCAAATATAATTGAATAAACAAAAATTATATTTTAATTATATACCCAGATAGCCATAGTAATTATTATAACATCATTTTGATGGCAAATGATGCATTTTGACATCAAAATGATGTCATAATAATTACTGTGGATATCTGGGTATAAATATCTTCTATTTTTTAATTGTTTTCTCAAATAAAAATATATGTATGTATATATTGCTTAAATATATAATAAAATATAAAAATATAAAAATGAACAAATGTTTCAAATATAAAAATTATACTTGAACAATTAATCAATTTTTCCAAATTACAACTACATAATTCAAACATACCGGGTATTGCCAGGTGTATTATAGGTATATCTTTGAGTGGCGCCGGAAATCGTGTCATCCAAAACTCCAGATCGTCATTCAAAATAACGCCCGCCTCGACGGTTTGATTTCTGGTGATGTTTTCACTTTCCATGATGATAATTATATCACATTTTATTATTACGACGTATACATAACAACACGTGACGGATTCGAATCTCGCAAATCTTTGAATCACCAAGCACGATCACGTTAGAATGCAGGTGTCAGACGCGTATGACGTTAGTTTGCATGCATCAATGTCAGCACATATTCATGCATATATACTTTCCTACCCGATGACCTTTGCCCCTGGACCAGATACAGCTGACATTAGGATCAGCTGATCGAGCGAGTAGGCTGTAAATACAGCTGTAAATGCAGCTCCAGATCGAACAACATCGAAACTGCCAAGAATATTCCCTTTATGTGCTATTTATTATCAGGGAGATACAATCTCTCTTGAATAATCACTAGCGTGAGAGCGTGAGATTGTTCTTTTCTGAACGAGAATCTGCGCATGTGCAGAATTTTAACACCTGACAGATTTACAACACTTCATGGAAATAATTTGAAATGTTTAATATAGTTGGATGTCGATTAAAAACGCTTTTTTTATATTCTTCGGGATGAAGATGAAGAGAGAGTTCCGTTGTTTTAGTTTCACACAGATTCAATTTTGTCCACCTAAAATTAAATCGTGTAATTCAATATTATTTTATGTATCATTCTTTTAAAAACTTCTACTAATCATTTATTTTATATATCTATTCTTAAAACTTTTACTAATCATTTGTTTTATATTTTTTATCCATTCACTTCTACTAATCAGAAAATATTCTATTCAAAAAATATAGAACTATTTCTAGTTTTACTTTAAATAGCAGTTTCTGAATAAGTTTTAAAAGAATGATATAAAATGCATGGAAAATTAATCTTTTTTTTTAAATATTTTTAAATAACTAATAAATGTAATTTTTAATTAATGAGAATATCATATATATATATATATATATATATATATATATATGTATAATCTCACAATTAAAAGCATTTCAAAAGATGTAGAAATTAATGTTTATAATTGTTGCAAAAATATCTCTTAAAAATGCCAATATTCAATTATGGCAATTTATTAATTATTGCAAAAATATCTAAAAAAATGGCAACGTTCGAATAGAATATTTTCCATACATTTTACATCAAAACAATATAAAATTATTCCACGCTGTAAGGTGTGTCATATAATTAGAAGTTGTATTCTACTTCACCTATGAATCATCATCGTCGATTACATCAGATGAAATATTACTCTTTTCCAGGATATTCTGCAGCGAATAAATAATCTGCTGTTTCTGATCGGCGCCACACGAAGTACAAATATCGCTCGTGCAAGCGTCCTCTTGTAACTGGCATCAAATTAATTAAATTAATTTTTTTCACTTTAGATACAAAGAGACAAGATTTACCTGTAACGCTTCCAGAACGCATCGTTTGGCTTCATTCAGAATCTTGTTCAATTTCTCGAATTCCTCGCACTTGTTCCGCACTTCCGCCAGGACCTCCTCCTTGGCTCTTTTCGTTTCCTGCAAACATTCCTCCAAGATCATCGCTTTCTGCTCCGAAACCACACAGATCGCCCTGTACTCGTTCATCAGTCGTTCAAAATTGTTTAATCTGGTATTCTCTCGTTGAATTCGTCCGTATTCGAGGGTGGTGTTCACGTGGTCCTGGACAAGTTTGTGTATCGCGCGCTTCCGTTTTATTGCGTCGTTCAGGGCGATTCTCGCCTCGTTTTCGAACAATTCGCATTGCAGTCTGAGCATACGATCGTTTTCCTGACACTCGGCGCTCTTCGCCTCCAGGTCCTCGCAGACCCTCAGCATCGCGTTCAGCTCGTGATTCAGCGCGATGTTCCTCCTGACCGTGTTATGCATCATGTCCGCGATGCGAATGTTCGTCGCCTCCTTAAACTCCTGAGCAAGCTGCTTCAATCGTTCCTCCATCTCCTTTTGCATCCTGCAAACGACGTAAAAGATTATTTCAAAAATCGCGAAGTTTCTCTTCAGGAAAGAACGGACATTTATTTTTCTCTTATTATTATAATGAAATTATTAGGTAACATTAATCATTTTTCTTGTGTATGACATTTTTTTTCACATTAGAAGACTATATTATTCTAACATTAGAAAGAAACCTTGTTTAAATTCAAAAATTCTAATTTTGATGAAACATTACATGAGGGATTCTTTCATCTCTTAGAATAATTTTTGGACCACCTAAAATTTTCTAATTCATCTATCCCCTCTACATATATATATGTAAAATCCCTTCCTAAAAAAGGTATGTTAAGTCTTATAATACTTTAAACCTGATTAATATTTTTGACAGTTATCAGCTGATTTCTGTCAAAAAATATTATTTATAGAGAATAAGATATTATATAACATATTATTTACAACATATTACTGTTTTAATTTTTATAACATATATAGTATTTTAAAATCGAATTAGAAAACTTACACTATTAATATTTTTTACAGAAATCAGCTAATTTCTGTCAAAACATATTAATCGAGTTTAAACCAACTTTATATTATTTTTAGAAAAATATATCAATCTGTTTAATATAAAGTTTCATTAAAACCAGATTTTCGAATTTACAAGGTTCCCTTTTTTATTAATTAATATTAGACCAACAAGTTATTTACTTAGCCTTCGAGATGATAACTGATTTCTCCGTTTCGTAGAGCGTCCTTTTGTGAGATTCCTCCTGTTTCGCGATTTGCTCCTCCTGTACCTCAAACTTGTGCATCAAATCCAAGCGGGCTAATCTCCAGTCTTCCAAGGCGTTCAGCTTCCCGGCTGATGAAAGAAAATAAAACATGCGTAAAAATGTATTTTCAATTTTTCCATTAATTTATATTCCATCTACGACTATTTTATTATTACCTGCAAGTTTCACCTCCGCGCTCAAGTTACTCTCCATAGTACGATATTCGAGCTCCATCACGCTCTCTTTCTTCTTGAACTCGGCCTGTTCCTGTTTCCTCAATTCCTCCAGGGCCACCAAACGTTCGCTGAGCTCCCGAGCCTCCTCTATCTTTCCCTCCAGGTTCCGTTTCAAGTGCGCCACGACGTCGGATCGATCCTCCTTCAATTGCTCAAACTTCTTGGTGATGACCTTCACCTCGTGTTCTAGCTCCTCGTTTCGACTTCGCAACCTTAAAATCATGAGAAAAAAATGATTAAATGTACAATTTGTATATAACTATAATAAGACACGTCAATCCTTCTGGTACAAACCGTGACAATTGCTTATTGTTGTCTAGAATTTGCTGTTCGTAGGACAACGTTTCTCGTTCGTTCACACATTTTTTCCGCACCTTCTTCTCCTTCTCTCCACGTTTCTTCTTTCTGAGCATCCTGATATCATTATCCAGTAATTACATGTCCGTGTAGATACATAAATGCTTGTCAAATTTTTTACTATCACTGTATTGTTAAACTATGTCAAAAAAAACATATTGTCAAATAGAAATTTAAAGATCAAGTCGGAGAAGCTTTCAAATTCGATCACAACTGAACTGAACATTATTTCCACATCAAGCATCGAAACTTCCGATTTGCTACGTCTCCATTTGTGTGTTGCCATAGTAAAGCTAATGAATCAAATATATCTTGTATAGGAAAGAGTATAGTAGTAGTATATAAAAACATACGAGATTATATACGTAAATATACACGAATAAACATATAATGATTAATTAATAAGATATCGATTAAAATAATACAATTCTTATACAACAATTAGAAACTATTACAAAATAAGGAAATAATTAACAAAATATCAACTAATATAAATAATAAATAAGTATATTTTTGTATGCAGGATATTCCACAAATTAATATATTTTTATTATATAATATATATTTGATTATAATATTATATTATATATTATATATTTTTTATTATAATATATATTTTTTAAATATATATTATATTTTTAATTTTTTCTACTCTCAATTCAACAACAAAGAAATAAATTTGTATTTTAGTTTTAATCTTCCCTAGCAATATATAGTAAAGTTGATCGCAAGTTTTAGTATATCCTGCATACATAATGTAATAGAACTAGAATCTAACTAAGTTGTAAAATAAGAATAAGTAATAATATCGTCACTTAACATATATATATATATATATATTAATATCACTAAGTTTCACTTAGTTTCACAAATTAATCTTCTCGCAATCACAATCGTTTGTATAACACTATCGCTGCAATATCAAGATTATAACATTCTTTGGCAATAAAACAATTTTATTAGATAAATAATCAACAATTTTTTAATTCGTATTTTATATTACAGCAATGTTTTCGTAATATCTTAATATGTATATTGTGTGTAATCTAAGATAATTACAAATATGTGTCGTGAACCATAAGTGATAATAAATTGTAATAATATAAAACAATCACAAAATATTGCTGTAAAGAAACCTTTCAATAGTATATCTCTGTATGTATGAAAACAATATAATATATATATATGTGTATATATATATATATATATATGAAGTAAATTTATTTGTGAATTTAAGAATTGTTATATTTTTAAATGGAAAATTAATTGTTTCATAAACTTATTAATTTATAAATAATATTTCTATGCACACGACATACATTGAGCGTAGTAATGGAACTTGATAAACTAGGAACTAAGCTCAGAGTCCTCATATTAATTGATTAAACAAGAGAATTATAGAGCTAAGCAAAATAAAAATCACCAATTATGCCAAAGGCAGCGTTATATGACTCTCGATATAACTTATAAGTAAATTATTTCTAATAATTTAAGTGTTAGAAATAAATTACTATACACACATTTAAAACATTAAAGTATTGAATATTCTATCTGCATCATCGGAAAGACGAATCACATTATCAAAAATGATTTTTCTCAAATACGAATCTCTTATAAAATTCCTTCCAAGCTTAAACCTAGAAAAATCTATGTATATTTATATATATATATTCTTTTTAATATGTATACGAGATATAATGAATGAAAGTACAAAATTTAGTTAACAGGAGGTCTCGGTGGGGGAGGTGGCTGTGGTCTGCGGAAGTATATAATAAGACTGAGCATTCCTGTAAGAAATCCGATAAGATATAGATCCCAGTTCTGTCCGAGCAATTGATCCCACTTATCTAATTGATCGACCAAACTGAATTCCTGCATGTAATCGAGGCCGAATAGGAAGGAAAGTTTGATTAGGGCTAGCGCTACAGGTATTCGCGCATCAGGACTAGCATCCGCGGCTAAATCGTAACATCTCTTAGCTAAGTGGCGATCCTTCGCCAAGCCTAGACCACGTTCGTGCATATATCCTAAATTGAACATGGCTTGAGCGTTGTGCTGTTGTTCGGACGCCGAACGGTAGTGACCTGCGGCGGCTTCGTAATCGACTTTCGTTCCTCTGCCATAGTAATGTGCATCGCCGAGTTTCACCTGAAAACAGGAACTTGTTTGAAGGAAACAAAATGTTGAAAGTGTCCAAATTTTACCCTCGTGTGCATCTTTACGCTTTTATAATAAAAAATATATATATTTAAATAAATATTATAAAATATTTTAAAAAAATATATATATACATATACATATATATATTATAATAATATATAATATATATAATATGTAATAAATAAATAATAGTATATCTTAAAACAATATATAATAAAATAAATTTAATAAAATATACCTGTGCCGCAGAGTATCCTTGCGCGGCGGCTCGCGCCCATAACGCCAAAGCTCTAACTAAACCTTCCTCTTCCGTCAAAACATCGGTCTCTCCTCTATCCAAAATAAAGGCTGCGTTACTCTGCGCGACTTCGTAGCCCATTTCAGAAAATAGAGCATAATTCAGGAACGCCTCGTTCACTCTGCCGTCTCTGTAATCGTTATGCGCCACCATCAATTGATCGCTCCATTTTCCTCTTTCGGCAACATTTTTCATTAATTCCACAGCTGTCGGGCAACTCCTCATCATTCCAGTACCGGTGGCGTGCATCTGAGCCAGATTATAATACGCTAGCACATGACCAGATTGACTAGCTAAGTTGAAATATTTATTTGCCATTTTATAATCTCGTCTGACGCCTGTACCACCTGAAATATTTCAATTCAAACATTACTTATGTGACTCAGCGATGAATGATTATCTTATATAATTGGCAGAATGACATGTGATATGATTAAAATATAAAAATAAAATATAAATATAAAATTACTTAAATGACAGATTACTTAGGTGCAAATTGCAAAAGATACTTACTAAAATACATATTGCCCAACTGCAGCTGTCCATCAACCCAGCCTTGCTCCGCAGCTTGACTGAAATATTGCAATGCTTTAGCAGTATTTCTCTCCACTCCCATTCCGTATAAGTACATCAGACCCAATCCACTTTGACCTACTGGATTGCCTAATTCTGCAGCTTTCTTGAAATATTTATATGCTGTTTCATTGTCTTGCTTGACAATTTCACTTCCTTCCAAATAAATCTGTAAATACATATAATTTCATAATAAAGAAATTATTAGTATTATAACTATATAACTATATATTAACTATTAACTATATTTTACAGCAATATCGATAAAATAAATGTTACACAGAGTAGTATCGGTACGCAATTTTATACACGTAGCAAACAATTTGATGTCAGAATTCCATACCTTTCCAAGAAAAGCCATTGCGACTGGATTACCAGCATCGGCAGCATGTTGGAAATATTGTACTGCTCTTTCGTGATCTAAAGGAACTCCTCTACCTCCTTGATAATGAAGCTGACCTAATCCGACCTGCGCCTGAGTGTCACCCTTCTTGGCTAACAACTGATAATATTCTATTAAATCCTGATCAAAGATTCCGGAACTGTATCCCGGATTTTCGTGTTCGTCCAACAATCGAACACGTTGGACCACCGGACCACCACTCAATGACACTTCTTCCGCGACTTTCTTCGCTACCTTGCGATAAAAGTCCAGAGCACGCTCGCAGGACGCGGGTGTTGTCACTCCCGCCCAATGACGATATCCCATAACCATCTGAGCCCGAGTATCTCCTCCAAGAGCAGCGAAAGTATAATGAAGTAAAGCCTTTCCTTGAGACGCATTCACGCCACCGATGCCAGTTGCGTATAAAAATCCCATTCCCTGCATATACAGAGATACGCAATTATTATTTATTTATTTTTAAACTTTTCAAAGCTCAATATTATTGTTCACCGCAATGTATACACACCATATGAGCAGAGGGCAATCCAGTGTCTGCCAGCTCCTTGAATATTTCAAATATACTAGGTATGTCATCAATGGACACTCGCAGAGACGCAGGACCCAGACGAGATCCAAGTAGCCTTGCCCACGCTAATATGGCTCTGGCTTCTTTATGCCCCATCTTTGCAGCTTCGATAAGCAACTCGTAACCCTCAGACTTGTTGGCACGCATAGCATTTAAGATATTCTGTGCATTCTTGAACAACTGCTCCGCTGAAAAAGATCATTTTATTAATATACATTATTTATTTATATATTAATATTATTTATATTATATTATTATTTATATATTAATATTATATATATATATATATTTTTTATTATTCTATTCTATTATTAATAAGTTGTTCTGAAGAACCGATAGATAAAGACTGCAAAGTACATCTGTCAACGACAAATCCAAGAAACCCAAATCTAGCTACAATAACTACACTCACCTGCTTGTTGCTCCGCGGACAAGGGTTCCTGGATCTCCTCCTCAAGCATGTCGAACAGTTCCTGGTTCTCCCAAGACTCCATATCCTCGTCATCCAGCTGCCTCCCATTGAGAACCACAGGCTCCGTGTCCTTGGTCTCCGCAATCATGGTCTTCATCCACACGCTCCTGGTCCCTGGGCTCTCCAGGGTCTCCTTGCCAGGTGGGCTCTCGCTCTTACCCTCCTCCTTCCCCTGTTTGCCGATCTTTTCGTAAATCGGATCGGAAGCCGGCACCAGTTTCAGGATGGTGTCCCTCAGGGCGCTCAGCTCCCGCAGCTGCTCGAAGGCATTCTCCATATCCTCGGCGGCGACCTCGTCGTCCGTCTCCTCGTTGGTGCTCGAGGACGACGAGGACTTTCGCGAGATGTCGCCGCGCTTCTTCGACGCGCCGTGCTCCGGCTCCGACCGGGCGACTGACAGCGTCAGCAGGAGCAGCACCGCCAGGGAGACGACGGTCCCCCGTTGGCTGGGCTTCATCACGGATTCTTTTTTCTCTCTTCTCCTTCGCAACCTCGCGACTTCTCACGTCACCGAGCGCCGAGTGCCAGTGACCTTAAGCGTGCTCATCGCACCCCAAGACAGGCACGCGAGTGACACAAGCGAAGGCAGATTGATCGCACATACGTGGACATCCGCGAGGGAACAGTCTCGCCAATTACGTCATTAGGACACGTCAATACACATCTTCCGCTCGTATCAACAAAAACAAGGCAGTCGCGTGCGCGAAGAGAGAAAGATATATATATATATATATATTATTTATGTAGGGAGAGGGAAGAGAGATAAACAGATTTCTCGACGTTCGAGATCCCGATCTGTCGAGCGAACCTTGTGTTATGTTGTCTGTTACAACACGCGGGAAAACGCTCGCCGAATCAGCTGTTCGCGCCGAGAGTTGCGACCGCCATGATAAATCGCTCGCATGCGTATCATTTAATATATATAGTATATATATACAGGGTGTCCGGTAACTAACGGACCAACGATTACAAGTGGATTCTTTGGTCGATTTGGGAACGATTTTTCCTCAGCGAAAATGTCGAAAAAGGTCATCATTTTTTACAACTGTCCAATATTTGTCATTATGTATCTTTATAACTAAGTCTCAAATTAAAATTTTATTATAGTAAACTCTACATGAAATTAACTGAAGAATGTAATTATGTTAGACTTTTAACTCCAAAACGTTTAGTTTTCAAAAAACCCATTTTTTTCAATCGCTTATAACTCGAAAATTATTGACTTCTCAACATTTTTGCTAAGGAAAAATCGTCTCCAAATTGGCCAGAGAATCCGCCCTTAATCATTGGTCCGTTAGTTACCGGACACCCTGTATATATATATATATATATAGTATATATATATATGGTGTAACGTTTGTGTTTATGCCGCGAAACCTGTTGGGAAATAAAAAATAAAAATAATCTACCTTGTGTTGAAATGTCAAAAATTATTCGAACATAAAATGCTTGCCACAAAAATTGTGAAAATATATATTAAAATAAAAAGAGAGAAAAAGAAAGGGGAGAATAGTGTTTTCTCTCTCTTCTCAGAAAAAAGGCACGGAATTTGTAGGTTAAGTGCGCAAAAGTTATTGGATAAATTCTTTTTTCCGAGATGTTGCGAGAAAATAATATAGAAAAATTCGAGAAATTTGTGTTTTTTTTTTTTTCCCGATTTGTTTTATTCCAATCTTCTCTCGATTGCCATGTTTCATATGTATTATAGATGTATCGAATATATAAATTCTCTCTGATAAAACACTCGAAAAATTTAGATATATCTATGTACAACAATCGAGTTACTCAAATATCGATAGAATATATCGATTAATCGAATTCGCAATCGAGATAAATCGACAGCAACAATATAGCGAATATCCGAAACCTGACTGCGAGTAGTGCGAATTATTCTGATTATTGCAAATTAATTATACATTATTTAAAGTATTTTTTAATCGTGATAAATCTTTATTTATAAGTATAAAACCATCTCAATTTATTGCTGAACCTGTAACAAGAATTATATTTCTTTCGTACGTGAGTAATTTTTATTATTTTTACAATTTATTAGTACACAAAAATATAGAAGGTTATATTTATATTAGAATCTTCTATATTGATCTCAATTAATTAAAACGATACAATTATTATTTATGAAAGAGAAAATTAGTATCATTAAAAGTGGATTTTGAAAAAAAAATTGAAAAGGAATTGAAAAGAATTTAAAGTAATTAAATATAAATTATCAGCATATTTTATTTAATAGTTTCCCATAAAAATGTATATTTCACCTCATATCTAAATGATTGTCCTTGCAAATAATGGAAATAAGTTTAACATATTAGATATTTAAATTTTAAAACTCTTTCAAAATGCGCATAAATTAAATGTGCAAATATTTCTAATCAGACGCGACTAATAATAGTTGTTTTCAGCATAATTATCTTAGAATTTATATTTGCTAATTTATCAGGACAACGATTTTTAATTCTGGCTCGTTTAAATTTAAAACAGTTGATAATATATATAACTAAACATACATACATTTATTTTATCAATTTTGTTAATTGTTGATGCGAGCTAGAAAATTATAATCAAAATTGGGACAGCTATAGAGAGGTCTCTTATATATTTATAATAATAAAATTATAAATCTCAAATTAGTGATGATAAAATTTTGCAAAGCGATCTATATATATTTATATACTTCAGAAACAGTAAAAAAATAAATATATATGTATATTTACAAATTTTTTTGTAGTAAATTTATTTCAATTTAAGTTGTGACTTTTATTACAATTTTTCTATTAGAATATCTTTATTCATAATTATAAAAATTTCAAAAGTAATCGGTGATGATTAATAAATAGATAGATCGGTGATACAGAAAGACATTCTAATAAAAAAATTGTAATAAAAATTATAATTTAAATCACAAGATACTTACTACGAAAAATGACGAATTTTAAATATACACATATTTGATATTTAAGAAGTTCATTGACCTTCTCTCTCTTCTTAATTGCGGATAAATTTACTCACTCTTGGAGTATAATGAGACAAAGTTCACTGTGCGAGGCGTGATATACTACCGTTATTTTATCTAATCGGCAGTATTAAAAAACGTATCAATTAATATATTTTTAGGTGTACATATTTTTAGGCTACATGACAAAAATAATAGCGAAAGAATATTATAACAGAAAGAGTATTTGTTTTGTTTGTGCAATAAACTTTTACAAGATAATTTCTAAACATTCTCTATAAAAATTCTTTCTGTATATATAATAAAATTTTTATTATTATCATTATTTATTAAAAATTTCTGTCAGGAAAAATGAATAAATATTATGAAAAATTACTTAGAATACTTATAAAATTATATATTTGATATAATTATACCTCTATGATTCATTCTCTGATTATACATATATATTCCTATAGGATTTACATATTAAATTATGATAAAAACAGAACAAACTAAATTTTAAATAATTGTTTTATGGTTAAAAATATTTTTTATTTTTTATAAATTTATATAAATTTAAATAAAAATACTTAAAAAAATTTTTAACAGTATTCATATTTTTGTTATAATCAAATTTCTTATATAAAGGATAAATGATCCTATAAATAATACGAGCAACACAATTCAGAATGTCAAAACATATTTGTTGAAAATAGCAAGATAAGACTTTAGAAGAAATAAAATCTCTTTGTGAAATTTATTGCAAGATAGGAAGAATAGTGATTAGAATAGGAATACAAGATAAGTTTTTTTCTTCTTTTTACTTTATTGCGTCTTCTCGATTTTAGGAAGTATCAAAATCCTTGAACTCTATCTGTGTTTACAGGAAAATTGTTTATGGTATGAGTTCGTACTACTTCATTGTCCGTCACTTTATCGTCCACTCACAGACATCGTGCAACTACATCTCGTTTCCTCCTCGCGCAAAAAACTAAAGCTGTTTCACACTGCCAAAATGTGCAGCATTATTAACTTCATACATTTCTTATCAATATTAAGTAAGTGCTAATTTGGCAAAATGGTATAATACATATAGACAGAGAGGAAGAGAAATATATGTGAAATTTAAATTCAAATATAAAGAAAAAACATATCTAATCAATTTGACACATATATGTATATGTATAATGTTTATGAATTTAATCTCATTTTTTTATTGTTAGTTTTTTTACAGTAATCATCATGCATGTATTTTATCATTTTATCGAAGCTCGAGCGAAGTTGAACTAGTCTTTCTTCTTCTTTTTTGGAAGATTTCTATAATATATTGATATATAATACATATACGATATCATATGTCTTTTATTATTTATTATATAATTTTTTTATACAATTGATTATATACTGTCTAGATTAAAATTTATGTTTCATTTTTTTGTCTTAAACAGAATTTTAAACTCGCCAAAACAAATATAATACATTTCATTATACCTTATATTATGTTACATGAAACAATGATAAAAAAGAACAATAATATATTAAGAATGACGAGTGAAAAATATATTAATGCATTGCAATCTATTTTATAAATTAATCATCTTTTTCTCTCTTTCTCACTATTCGTTTCAGACTTTATAGACTTTCTCTGGTGAGAAAATATATGTTAATATTGAATACAAGGTTTAATCTTATTAGGGATTTTACCTTGTGCTTATTGTTGCTAATTGCCGATCAATCTCATTATTTTTTCTACATATATTCTTTCCAGTTTCATCGTGATGTCAAAGAATTCTCACGATGTGACCACGAGTAATTATTTAAAATAATATGTAAAAGAATATCCATAAAATAAAAATATACAAAATATAAAATAATATATAAAAATATAAAATAATTATATTAAAAAATACTCATCTCTCTTCAAAAAAGGATATCATTCAATTTTTTACAAAAAAATAGAATAAAGATAAAATTTTTTGGTATATTATTTTATATTTGTATATATTCTTTATTTTATACATTTGATATATTATTATATATAATAAAACCTATTATATATATGTATATGTAAATGCATATATACATTCATATCTTATTTTATGGATATCCTTCTTTATTTACATATATTATTTTAAATAATTATTTGTGGTCGTTCAAGATACTAACAAGCAAAGCTCGTAAAATAAAATGAAATGTATATATAATAATATATAAAAAATATTAAAAATACTTATCTCTCTTCTAAAAAGGGGTTTCACATTTAAAATTTCTTTTACAAAAAAAGATACAATTTAATGCGCATCAAAATAATAATATAAGCGAAGTTCATAAAATAAACTAATATAACACACTTAACATATCTTTTACAAAAAAATGTAATAAAACTAATAAAAAGTGAAGCTTATATAAATATCTGGCGCCGACAAATCTTGAAGAAATCTTTCCTGTAAACACATATACAAGGTTGACAAGTTTTGTTAAATTCAACATATATCACAATGTGTCTCAAATAATCCACAGAAATTTTGTGTTTAACATAATATGGATATGTTAAATAGACACAAATATTGTGCTACTATTTTAACACAAAATAAATATAAAACTTCAAATAATTGTAAAATGAATTTTGTGTAAAATTAACATAATTTTAATATAAAAATTAACAATAAGAAACATGTTAATTTTAGATTTTATCATCCCTACTTATATTTATAAAATAGAAAATCAACATTTTTTTCTGTAAATGTTAACAAAAATCTTGTCACTATAATAAAGCAGAACATATTTAAATTGTGTAAAATTAAAAATAGATGCACACTGTATATTATTTCTACATTTTTTCAATTCTTTTAATAATTTAACATTTAAGTTTTATTTAAGTTAACAAAAATTTTAAAAACGAGGACCGTTTTTAACAAGAACCCGGGAAGAAATTTTTTTATATATGAATATTATAAGGGTTCATATATTAATTTATATAATTATGTATATAAAAGCAGTTTCATCTAATTATATATATATGGACATATATATTCATATATAATTTTGCGATTATAATTTAATATATATTATACAATTATAATTTTATATTGTTACGTGCAAAAATTGTTTCCCGGGAAAAGCAATTTTTTCGTGTGCACACACCTATAGATCAAGCGTAACTCGGCCTTAAGGTTTCAGCTGCATAATGGTTAACTCCGGCGTGGCGGGACGAGAGAGGTCAGACTCGACGGGAAGAGGAGGAAGAGAGAGAGAGAAACGAGCGCGCGAGATGGGTTGTGTGCAGTTGTGCATCGTATGGAGAGGGCAAGCACTCCAGTTGGTGGGAGAGACGCCGCCGCTGCTGGTTTGCTCGCAGGGTTAGCAGCCCCGATAAATACGGGCCTGAAACGGTACCGAGAGTCTTGCCGAGAACCCTGTCTCGGAATCACTTATTCGCGTTCGCGGTGTCGACGAGGTCCGTCGACTCTCCACTGACAGAGAGAGAGAGAGAGCGAGAGACGCTCGCTTGCACCAGCTGCGTCAGGACGAGTGGAGGAAGAAGGCACTCAAAGAGGCGGAAGGACGACGCCTCCGTCAGACGGCGGACTTTGGAATTTCGTGAGAAATCTTCGATATATATATATATATATCCGCGATTACTTTTTCCCGCATTTCCTTCCCTTTGACATGTGACTGTATATGACAGGAAGCGCCACGAAGCGAGGAACAAAATTCTAGAGCGTGGTTCCATTGTCTCCCCTCTCTCGCTCTCTCCCTCCAGAGAGGAATTTTTCCGCCGATGATAATCGTCGAACAAGGAAGAGAGAGGTTTAGCTCGCTTCTGACACGTGCTACCCTCGAGGAATCGATAACAGGACGCCGGCCGCCAAAACACACGTTTATATCGTTAATGTTACGTTATTATTGAGGAACGGGTGGTGTGCGGGAGGGAGGTGAGCATCCGCATGCAGATAACACAGGGGATTATCGTGGACCTCTCCCACGCGAGCGCCGCCTGATCGGCGAGAGAAGACGGATATAAAGGTGACGAGCGCGCGAAGGCAGCCCTTGGTCTCTCCCACTTTGACAGCTGTCAAAATAAGCCCGCGCGATGGTCGAGGGCAAGCATTATCGGCACACAATGGAGGACAGCGGGGTCCCGGGGAACTCGAGCGCCGTCCTCGAGGAGATCTTCTACGTGACCTCCCGGAGGAACACCTACTACAAGGTCCGACTGACGGAGAAGGGCCTGAGCCTCCACAAGGAGCACAACGGCACCGCGAAGACCGAGACCATCGCCCTCGGCGACATCATCGGGTGCAGGTGCATGCGCTCGAAGCGCAGGAACACCGGAAGCTGCGCCTGTCGTCCGGGCGCGTCCAAGTCCCAGCTGAAGTTGGTCGAGTCCGCGGAGATCCATCAGCAGCAGCAGCTGCAGCAGTACGACGAGCACGACACCTCGGCCTATTTGTACATATACGCCTACACCCTGAAGAAGATGCGGATGAAGGGCGCGATGAGACGCGAGCGGATGACCATCACCCTGCGCTTCCGCAGTTTTGACAAGTACGAGGACAACCTGCGCGAGGCGAGCAGGTGGCGGCTCGCGATCAAGTGCCTCGTCGTCAACGTGCCGGTGCCCAAGAACCTCATGAGCCCCAGCCACGGCAACCTGGAGACCCTCATCGGGGGTGAGTCATTTTCGCAACATTTTTTTTTTTTTTTTTTTTTTAATATTTGCACTTTTTCTATCAATCCTTTTGTTCATTTTTCTGTCTTTCTCTGGTACATTTTTATGTGAATTATTATTGTTAGAAAATATTAAATATTGATTTATTATATATTATTATAATATTAAATTTTTATAACATATAATAATAAATATAAAATATATAAAATATTGTTATATATTATATTATATTGTACATATATTATTAAATTGCAATACTTGTAATTATTATTATAAAAATTAATCTTTCTGTCAATATTAATTATAATAATTATTACCAATATTGAGAGGATTTATTTTTATAATAATAATAATTTAAAAATGGAATAGAAAATGAGCAAAAGAGTTGATTTTATTAGAATAATAATTTTCTAACGATTTAATTCAATTTAATCAATATTAATTACAATTTTTATAAAAATGTTACCCTTCTGTCAATAATTTTTAAAAATTCAATCCCATCAATTTAATAATTATTTAATTTTTCACCTATCGATCGATGTATGGGAACCAACATATCGAGCATCGAACATTTTTGTATCATGTTACATTTTGAGAAAGTTTTTTCGACCAGAGAAAAATACATGTTTAAGGGCCAACTTCTCAAAAGGTTTTATCTGACAGATAGCATATTTTCGTCTGTTTTCAGATAAGTTTAAAAAAAAGAGACAAAGATATGCTACTTGTCAAACTTATCAAGAGTTGGAACAACCGACCCTAATATTTCAAAATTGTCTGCACATTTGTCACATTGACAAAAAGACGTGAACTCAAATCGTGGCGAACAAATCGAAGTGACAATTGAGGATTCTGTTAGTTTAATTACTTACGTCACATGGTAAAGGAACACTTTGTTATTTCAATCGATATCTCTCTGTTAGTTTCTTCGTCCATTCCTTCAAAACGACGTACTCGAGGTGTACAAAAACAATATCAATATCCTTTGGTAAACAAAAGGTCTGGAAAAACGTAAACACTCTTCGAACTGTCTGAATCAGTCGAATTTCACTGAGCAAGTTCGTGCTCGAAATATATTAATAGCACAATTAGCTAATGTTTTGTGTCTATATATCAATATTTCATTAATGTATATATTAAGTAATATGTCCGTTAATTTTCTTCTTATCATCTGTCAAACATTCTAATTTTACGAAACACTATGAATTTAATTTTATTTTCTTTGATACATTATGAAATAATCGTATCATTATGACTTCGTATTATTAGGAATTTTATCAATTATTAGATACATTAATGAGTATTATCAACTAAAATTACTATAGAAGAATTCCCGAATGTAGTACGAGATTGCAAAATCTTCGATTGTTTTGTCTGGAGAATTTACGATTTTTTTATCATATCGAAAAACAATAAATATAATCAGATATGTTATAAATATATTCTCCTGTTGAACAATTATAGAGCATTTCTTGCAACGAAACGTTTCTAAATGCAAAAATAATAACTTATATATAAACTAAAAATTTGTTATATAAATTTCTCAACAAAAAGTTTAATCTAAAGAATTAGTAATATCCTTTCCGTTCTTCGTCAAACTTATAAAAATTGCAAATTTGTGCTATAATATTGATGATTTTGTGTTTTGCGATAAATGACTAAACAGATATAAAAATGCATTATTCTAATGAAAAACAATTTCTTTATATTTTCCTTATTCTGAATAGAGCAGAAAGCAATATTAATAATTTTATTAATAAAATATTTCATTAATCTTTATTATAAAAAGTTTTTAACATAATTTAAAAATATTTTTAATATATTCTTTTTATATTGAGAAATAAATAAGACTTGGAATTTTCTTTTGAATCTTTAGTCTTTTGCTTCATCAAACACCCGGGCAGATGCACATAATTACCGAATATATAATGACTATCGATTTCATGCTCTTCCTTATCTGTACGTTAGTATAATAATCTTTTGCATGCAAATAGAGATGTTATCGCTTTTAGCGGAGGACTATAACGTATTTAGGAACAAAATACATTCGACCTGCTAGAATTTCCGGAAATCGCCTTCCGTCTTTCCTTTTTCTTACATAACTACGTAATTATGTAATCTCTCGTAATCTACGTAATCTCATAAATTGTAACAATGAAGATATATATGTATATAAGAAACACGTGCGCGCGTTTGACATTTCTCATATTATAAAGTCAAACGCGTCCTATCTACACATGCGAGTATCATATCATATTTTATTTATTCAGAAACTTCATAAAGAGAGAAGAATATTGGAAACATATATATTATATTCAATGTAGGATGAACCTGATATTATTTTTATTTATAGAGGAAGATATAATGTGAAATGTCGTTTATAATTCTATCTGATTACATTTATTGTCTTTTAATATGATAAAAAAACGTACACTGAAAAAAATGTCATTAAGTTAATAAATATTTAAGTTAATAAATATTTAAGTTAATAAATATTTATTTCAATACTGCCTAATAAATTATTTATTTGAAACAAATAAATATTTATCTGTTTTGAAAAGGATTTTCTTATATTAAAGAAACATTTTTCACATCAAATCAATATTCTTAGTTTCAAATAAATGATTCATTAGGCAATATTGAAATATTTATTCGAATTAAATAAATTTTTTTTCAACGGGATAATGTATGAAATTTAGAATATTATTATATTTATTATGCAATAATTAACGAACTTTAAGAAGCAAAAATTTTGATTCACGAGAAGTTCACGTGAATTATTTGGAATTCCATAAATAAACGGACTTATCATTTATTTTAGTACATTCTCTTTTTATACCGCGTGCAAAGATTAATTATTAAAAGTAAAATTACATCAACAGGAAACAAAGTTCATTTAGATAACGTTAAATTAAATTTTTAATTTTAATTTAACTCTTCGACTTATATATAACTTTTGTTTTTTATAAAAAGATTATTATTTCAACTGCACTGCAAAAAAATTGTTAACTTGACTAAATCCTTCAACTAAATTATTATTTTGTTAATTCATTAACATTAGAAATACTTCAATTATATTAAATCTAACAAAAAGTATATTTGACTTACAATCAACAAAATAACAATTTAGTTGAATCAGATTAACAATTTTTCCTCAGTGTGGTTTACATGCATATACATGTATTATAATGTTTAAAATTTGCTTATTAATGCCCTAATTGTTATACGAGAAGCAAACGTGAATATAAATTGTATTATATGATACTCTCTTCTGCTGCATCATAATTAATCGTGTAGCATTTTTGATCGAGATGCGAAAACTTGCACGCAAAATATGTAGTTCAATCGGTTCTTATTAAAGGTATGTAAACCTTTCTCCGCGATTACGATATACCTTACATTGATTTCTACAGCGATTCTTTCTAGCATAGCTGCGTTTAGCCGCGCGAAACAATAATATATGGTTTACATAAGTTCTTACAGAGTCAAATGACTTCGAGTTTTACTGACAATGAGAGCGCTCGTTCGTGAGCTTGTTACAATAATATTATACATCGCGAAGTTGTACGTGCGTTGTGCAAAAATCGTGTCGCAATCGACGCGACTGATGTTTTTACACAACGTTGATTTCTGTTTTTGTATGTTAATTCCCTCTGCTCTGATGGCAGCCTAGAAATTTCGACATCTCGTTGAAATCACGACTTTCCGTCTAACAGTCATCGTACAAAAATAAAATAAATGTAAAAGGAGAAAAAAAAGACCGAGAGTCCAATATATATATACACGTTCGCGAGTTCTCGAGCGACAATAATAATCCATTGCGAGAATAACACGTGTAGATATGACAATGGTGACAAAGTCCGGTGTCTTTCTAATAAGCCTCATCGTATACACAATACGATCGTTAAAAAAAAAACTCAATGGTCAATTTGTCCAGTCGAGGAATGGGAAGCAGCGCGTACGTAAAACTCATCAATCAAGATGGATATATGTTTATCGCGGGGACAGATAATGCCGACTTGATGTATTCATTGGTTCAGCATCCGCAATAAATAAACGTGTACAATCGTTAAAAATAAACGTCGGAATGATTATAGAAACAAGAACAAAACAAATTGCATAATGCGGTTGCGGGCGCGCTTTACATACATTACATACATTACATTAGACGCAAACCGCAGGCATACCATTTTTTTTTTTTCAAACACGTATTTGGTTTATCATTTTTTGTAACATATATATGTTACATTATAATTATTATGTTATATATTATATAATAAAATTATATAATATCAATTTTATTAAATTATATTATATTATAATAATATTATAATGTATAATATATATATATTATAATTATTTTTTATATTATAATTAAATATATTATATATTTAGATTAAATATTATATAATATATTTTATGTTATAATTAAAATATGTATATTTTATATTATATTTTATATTATCACTATATTTATACACAAATATATTTTATATATGTATATAATTTTCATTTATATATATGACCATACATATATACATTTTTGAAATTCTATATGTATTTGTGTATAACGTAATTGTGTATAATATAAAATATATGTAAAACTTCGCACGTACGGCAAATTAATTTATCTCCTCTCGCTTTCTTTTATAAGAACGATAATTATTTTATCTTGTTTTGAATAAGTTGTTTAATTACAAATAATATTTTTTGCTTCGCTCTTCTTAATCGATTTTTTTATTGCGCGTTTAATTCTTCCTAATTATGCAATGTCGCCGGCATCAAAAGTAAAATATTAGTTTGTCATCCGCTTTATTTGAGTGACGCAAAGCGGAAATAATTGCGAGTTCTGCGATGCGCTCTTACATAAGCATTTATTTTTTTTTCCAGTGAAACCGATATAAAAGTTTGAAAACAATAGATGAGAGGAGGAATTGAATCGCTCGGAGCGATTTAGCTCGCTGACTGAAGATTTTCCAAGAGATTCTCTCTTTCGCGGTTCTGACACGCACTTCTAATGTACGTTTTTCAGAAAGCGATGTACGTTTATCCGTAACGGATGGATTTCTCTTAGGAACAACATAATCGCGCTAATTTCAGTAGTCTCAGGTGTTCGAAAGTAGAAAGGCTCATTAGGCAAAACGTGAAATTATATCGTTCACGCTCAACGATTTTACAGAGTTGCAATATAATCGCGATACACAGAGTTTTTGTGATCCAATTCAAGAAATGCGTTAAGATAACTCATCTGTTTGTCATTTTTCTGTCAAAACAAAATCAAATATTCACAACTGTCAATCTTATCGAAAAAGAATCGTGCTTTATCAAATTATTATGTAATTGTATTGTCATCAAACCGCATTCGTCACCTTGTAAAGTATTATTTGAAATGTTTGTGTGAAACTTTTGGGGTAAAATAATTCTCGTTTCAAAATGGCAGAGAGAGCTTTTCTATTTTATTTTCACTATCAATGTAATAATAACCATTTTACAATCGCGTAGATTTTCTGATAACGTTGGAAAATATCAGGTGCATCAGAGAACTAATCTTCAGATAATTCACATTTAATCAGTTTAATCAGTCTATTAATATATCAGCTTATATTTATCTTGCAGCACAAAATGACAAATAATTCGGATAAAAATAAGTAAAGAAAAGAGAAAATTAATATAACAAAAAAAAAAGAAAATTAATATTGTGCAATAAAAATGTTTAAATTAAAAATTTTATTTTTTATTTTTTAATATGGACCTACTCTAATTTGTTATTAATGCGCGCCTTTTGTATTTTCTAATAAATACATATTGTAATACGTTGATTATCGTATACTAAATTCGAATTATGCAAACGTTAAGCTTGCGTTTGTTATTAGGAATTATATAAAGGTGTGCGCACTTTCGATGCAAATCTCCGGTAATACAATTAAAACCGAGCAAGTATTTTCGTAAATTAAAACCGCTGTTTATCCAGATTCTAAAAATATACGTTTGTAAAATCAATATTGTTGCATTTGAGAATACATTCCTCATTTCGATGCGACACAATTGAAAATATACAGAAAATCTCGGGTTGTTTTGTGCAAATTTTGATTTTAAAAATAACTGGTATTCTGATTAGAAATAATTTTTTTTTCTGTATTCCTTAAAGTTAAAAATGAAAACACATAAGTACATATTTTGAATACAGAATTAAAAAAACAAAATTTTATGTGCTAATTATTCTAGTAAATGCAATATATGTGCTTCTAAATAACTTCTTGATCTCAATACTTCCTGCCTTATTATCACGTTATAATGACGTAAATCATAAATAATAGATCAATCATTAATTGTGCATAAAACAGGGAACGGTCTTGTATATGTTTGCCCACGTATCATCATTTATGAAAATGTAATTCATTAAGTAAATGTTAGTCATTAAATGTGCACTGACTAGACAAATACAGATTAAATTTTACGTAATGATACGTGCTGATTAATACATCGTTAAGGCTATCATTAAATTATAACGTCAAAAGAATGAGAAATTGCAGGAATGTATATTTCCTGCAAAATACGTCGAAATAAATATTTTGGTTCATATATCTCTCATATTTAATAATATAAATTAATAAGGTACACCGAAGATATCTATTATTCGTGAATTGATAAATAGCTGCAAATCTTGATCAATTTATTTACTTTTGCTAGAAATGCAAAATAAAGCTGAATTATACATATTGGATAATATGAATAAATAAATCAAAGAAGAAAATAATTTTTTTTATCAATCATGAGTGTGATGAAACGTACGAAAGAAATTTATTTCTTAAAAAAAAACAATTCGTAATTTGTCATTTTTGACGTCATTTCTTTTACGGGGAGACATCGGAGTCTTAATACGAGATTGATCTATATATGTATATTTTTTTCTTCGATTAATCTCTTTTCATTTCACGTATCGCGTGTCGTCTAGACATGTGATAAATGTTTACGCCCGTCCCGTATAAACTTAAACGAGAGAGGCGAATGCTACTGCGCATTATGCAATCGTGATCAAACTGTTATTTATTTCTTATTCTTGAATTAATGTGTGTACTCAACAAGCGGATAACAAATTTCTCCCAATATATATAGCTTCTAAAAAAAAAAAAAAAATATTTATGCGCGATTTTGCATTTCTTCCTCTTCCCGGAATTGATTGACGTCAAAATAAAAAATCAAACGAAAATGATTTATATAATTTCCGTCGATGAGCGATTCTCCTTACCTTACTTATTTATGTTTCAGCGTGTCCTGGCGAGAATCGGAAACTTCTGGTCTTGCTGAATCCGAAGTCTGGACCCGGCAGGGGCAGAGAAACCTTCCAGAAGAGGATCCACCCGATCCTTTCGGAGGCGGAGAGGTCCTATGACATTCATATCACCAAGTGTCCCAATTACGCCCGCGAATTTGTACGCACGAGGGATATCTATCAATGGTGCGGCTTACTGATGGTCGGCGGTGACGGGATCGTCTTTGAAGTGGTGAACGGACTCTTCCAGAGGCCGGACTGGGAGAAGGCTTTGCGCGAATTGCCCCTCGGAGTGATACCATGCGGTTCCGGCAACGGATTAGCAAAGTCCATCGCTTATGCTAAAGAGTAGGTCCTTCTTACGAAAAAAAAAAATATTAGTTACCGTAGCTAAATTTTAGACGTCTTTAGGTACGCCTGAAATTTTAGCTATAATGTATGCAGGGTGTATTACTCTTGGGAAAAAGCTTGAAACCTGATATTCTCAGAGAATTTTGTAAAAAGTTGTCTTTTCGTTCATTTTATGCGATTTTTTGATTGACAATCTATTTTTAATATCAAGATTTTATATATTATATATATTCTTATTTTTTGGTCTTATATTTTTATTTGTATCAGGGAATTTTGAGAAAACTTTTTTACAAAAGTTGAGTAGACACCCTGTATATAGCCATACATATAATCTAAATTTTAGCTATATAATAATTAATATTTTTAAGCTAGTTTTTAGTAAAGAATTCCCCGTTAAATTATAATTAAAAATATTAAAATATGTGATATAATAAAAGGCCAACTTAACGAGCTTATATTCTATTAATTGAAAAATTTATTTATTAATTTACGTCATACTATACAAAAGTTAAGATAAACGTTTCGACTGTACGACAGTCTTTTTCAATATCCTAATAATATGTTAAAAAATTAATTTAGTCATATCGACCTTATTATAAATACAACAATTATGAGATTATATGACGAACGCAGTACAAAATTCATGTTTGTTGGCATGAGTTAGAGCGTCAGATGCTGTTATATTATGTAACGACATTTTTTGTCACGAACATAACACTTTTTTTTATAAAATTATTTCTTTTTACTTAACATAATCACAATGTGTACTTTTTTAAAAAACAAATCGATATCTGTGATAAATAAATTTTTCAATTAATAGAATATAAGCTCGTTAAGTTGGCCTTTTATTATATCACATATTTTAATTGTATACGAGCCGAAGTTTAATTTATAAAATATATATATTTAAAAATATTAGTTATTACAGCTAAAATTAGGAATATCTAAACTTTAGCTGTAATAAATATTTTTTTCCAAGTACGTTCTTTTCGAATCTTGTGTCGCGTTGCTTATCGTCTTTTTTTTAATTACACGTGAACGAATAAATAAATGTTTTCGATCGAAATATTCTTGAAGTATAGTATCGCATTATGTGACATACGTGTTGTGTGTAAGCTATTTTTCACTATCGGTTTTATTCTACGAACGATTATACCAAACGTGATATCAGTAAAAGCCTTGAAGAAAAGTTTACGATAAAGGATTGTGAAAAGGCGAATAATTACATAGCTCAAAAAAGAAACTTATCTTTGAATATCAAAAAAGAGAATGAATTTTCATAGTTTTTTCGACGTTGAATATTTCATATAACGCTTTCATATAACGAATTTTTGCCTGCGAATTATTCTATCACGTTACAATTTTTGAGAAGTTTGTAGTTAAAGTAATTAAATTTTTTTCAATTTTAATTACGAATTTCTCAAAATAACGACGTGATGAAACAATTAGTGACTGAAATTATATTCAGTATAAAAATTGAATAAAAGAAAATTATTCTCTTTCTCTTGTGTGCACATACATATATTTATTGTACATACATTTCTTCTTTTTAATTAAAATGTTATCGTCATTTACTGTTTGTTTCGCGCAATAATGACGTAATTAAACTAATCATATCTGAAAATTTTTTATTATTTAATCTACACCTCTACTTTTACCTCCGTATTAATATCGATAAACCTATGTCATGTTAAGAATAAAATTGATGATTTGCAGAGAACCATACGATCGCAATCCCTTGCTTATCAGCGCGTTATCGGCGGTCAAGAGCAAAAGAACACCGATGGACCTCGTACGCGTAGAGACTAGAAGTCAGATCCTCTTCTCGTTTCTATCGGTTGGCTGGGGTCTACTGGCTGACATCGACATCGAGAGCGAACGACTGCGCGCTATCGGGGGCCAAAGATTCACCGTGTGGAGCGTAGCTCGCCTAATAGGTCTAAGGACATACAAGGGCAAGGTGTCGTATCTACCCTGCAGCAAGGTTCCCCCGTTGGAAAATGGCAAGATATACTGCAAAGACTATCCCGCGGAGACTATATTGTCGCATTCGAGAAGTTACGGCGACGAATTGGACAGGTAATAGCCGTATACGCAATGAGCCTCGTATCACAATTATACAGTAATTATGCTAATGACGACACAGATAATTGCGCATATCAATGTGACCTTTTAAGAACGATGCTTCAAAGACGGTCTCCGTGCGGCGCGTGTAATACACGGAAATTCCATCATCTCTTTTGAAACTCGGTATATTTCACATATATCTGGGGAGACATAAAACAGGAAACTTGAAGTGTTTGAGGAAAATCTTACACGCCGAGCGTTTTAATTTTTTTGCTTCTTATTACAGTCGTACTCAAACACGTGTTTTTTAAATGTACTTTGATCCATTATAACAAGTAGAACAAAGTTGTAGTCTTATGATATGTATTCTAACAGAATGTCACATGCGTATTTCAATTATTTCGGATATTAATATATCAGTCATTTTTTACTTACATTCTCTTTCTAAGGATATTGTTAATGACCTAGAACACGCATGTTAGTTTGACGTCATTCTGCTACTTGGAGACTTTATAAAATATATCTTAAATGCAAGAATAATGATATGAATATATATTATCCGTGTCGTCTGTCTCTTACTTAATAACTATCCACTTGCGACATATGTAAGACATATGTCTGATATGATATATATGTATGTATAAAGGTATTGTGCCACGCCAGAATCGAAGAGCTATTACGATGCTTTCGGTGAATCATCGGACGAGTTGAACGGCGATAACGATGTGATAACCGAGAATTTAGCTCTCGAAACACAAATCGAGAGAAGGAACAGACTAGGCAGCTTTTATTCCGCAATATCGGCGAAGTCGACCTACTTTAGCACAGGCTCGGCTAATTCGAGTTATCAGAGCGTCGACGAGAATGATAGCGCGGAGATTGGTACGTTGTTAATCGAACACGCTTCTAACGAATGTCTTATGTATATGATCCGTGCCAAATGATAAATCTCGTATTACAGGTATAGAGAACATCTGTAAGAACCAAGTTATGTACGGACCGCCGTCTACACTTCCAGCGCTTACTACGCAACTCTCAGATGCCTGGACGACGGTGCAAGGTAAAATTACATTCTAGAGGAAAAATGTATAATCATATATAATTATATATAATTATATGTAAAATATGTTCATATATTTCGAAGTATATGTCCACATGTTTCCTTTTTCTTATATATTTTCTGTCCGTCTTTATAAATAGAAAAAATAATAAGAAACATTAAAAGAATAATTTTGCACTGTTTTTCTTCTTTTCTTTTTTTAGAAAAAAAATTAGATATTGAAAAAAAAATACGCATATATATTTTCTTTTTAAAAAATTTACGGACAGAAATTAAACGAAAGAATAAAAACATATTTTACATATAATTCTATAATCATTTATGCATAGACTTTTCCGGGATAATTATTCAAATTACACATATTGACCTTACAAATAATGTGTGTGATTTTAAATTTAAAACAATTTCCATTTTTTAAAACTTAAAATAAGTTTCTTTGAATTTTTAAACATGTGTTTAACTAGATATTTACGAAAATATTAAAAAAATATACATAAAAAAATATTTCAATTTTAATATCTGTAATTTATAAAGCTTTCGCGCGAGACAGACAAGTTCAATGACGGATATTTGTTGTAATTGTCATATAATATGGTGCAACGGTTGCCGCGCTAATGCATCACTTATTAACCCTTTAACTCCAGTTAAATTCGTAGCAACGTCACACGTACCACTCAATAAAGTGCCGAATGCAATGGATCACTATTGAAAAAATATTTTTCACATAACGTAGCACACACTTCTCAGTTATGATATGCATTCTTGTATGACGCATTGAAAAGAGTTTTATGTTGCTGTTTTTATAATGACGCGCGAGAATTGACATGCGCGCGTTAAGATGTAACATACATTAATATAAAAAAAATAAAATTTTATATATATATATAGATTATATAATTATATATTAATATATACAATAAATATATATATTAAATATAATATTATAAATATATATAATGACTGAAATAAATAAAATAAATATTTTGTTTCAAAAATTTCAGGAGAATTTGTGATGGTACACGCGGCCTATCAAACGCATTTGGGACAGGATTATTTTTTTGCGCCGCGTGCTAGACTGGCAGATGGAGTTATTTGGCTTTTAATAGTTAAAGCCGGCATTACACGGTCTAATTTGGTACAAGTAAGTAGTTACACTCAAAAATAGCGTAAGGCGTAAAAAAATTATGCAGAACTTACAATCTGTGTTCGTTCATTAGTTCTTACTAGGTCTGAGTAGCGGAACTCACGTGACTTGTCCTGGCGTTGATATGATCCCGGTGAAAGCATTCCGGATAGAACCTATGGAAGGAACGAGTGGACACATTACTGTGGATGGCGAAGAAGTTGATTATGGACCGTTGCAAGCCGAGATATTTCCTTCCTTAGCATCGGTGATGACACCCTGACATAAATAGTTTATAATTATGTATATCTACATAGCGGTGATATGTCGGCAACAAAATCAAATCTTTTTCGGGTATATAATTTATTAAAATGAGGGTTTTGTTCTTTAGACTCTAGCTTGAAGTAAATTAGTTACAACAGCATGTAACTAGATTGTCAATATGTATTAATAACAATATATCTATTTAGAGTTATACACTTTTAAATGGACAATCTATATGTAGGATATTTAAAATGAATAATCTTCCCCGAAAATATGTGCTCACAAAAGAAAAGTTCTTTTTGCTATCTTCATAATGAAGATGCAGGGTTAAAATAAATATTTATACATGTAAAATTATTTATATTAATCCCTAAGGGCTGAATGGGTTAAATGAGTCTGTTACATCCTAGTGGATACATTTAGCTATTTTGTAAAGTTTTCTATCAGTTTGTACAGTGTAATCTATACATGCAATGTAATGATATTGTTTGTGCTCACTATTGTAAATTATACTATATATAAGATATGTTGTGTGTTATTAGATAAAGTTAATTAATAACATTATTTTTTTATGAATTAAATTGTTCAACAATTTTATTCAATATGTTTTTCTTTCTCTCTCTTTTATTATACATTAAACAATTTAATGCATATTGTTTTTATTTAATAAAATAAATGCAATTTTTTATTTAATATATAAATAAAAGCGTATTCTAAGAGTCACAGTCAGATTGAAGCTATGTGCTTATCTCATGTCTTCGTTAAGTGTTTTAAGATATTTAGTAGGTGACTAATTGTACAACTATAAGTTATAAAATTATTATCAATAATATCCATATCATATTTAAAATGTTGCAAATGTTATCAAGATGATTTAATTATAAATTATATTAATTTCTTCTCTAATTGTTACGTTGTTTCCTGTACGATATTATTGTACATATTTGAATACAGTTAAAAGATTGAAAGAACTTTACGTCGGACTTTTCTTTATTGCATGACCACGAATATTAGTTCCTGAATTTTCATTATTTTTTATGTATGTACATACTTATTATACGATTTTATAGACTCTAAGTTCAAGAAACTAATAAATATTAAAATAATTTAATAAAAAATAATCGGCGTAATTTTTTTTGTATATAAAATGTCATTAATTCGAACGATCAGGTATGACTCTCTCGTGGCAAAAAAAAGCGGTTTGCTGTAAAAAAGGGTTTGAGAACCACTTTACTACATCAGAAAGAGCATTGTGTGTGTATCATGACCAAACGCATTCGAGAACTAGTAACACTTCATGCGTCACTAATCTCGGAGCCTCTCCCTGACCTGACCCACTCTCATGAATAATTGATGTAATTTGTAACAGTATAAATCTCCAAGTAATGAATGTGCTGGAGATGTAAATTTTTCTCGCGCCGACTGCTCGATCAATTTTTGTAAATGTCACAAAAGTTTACAAAAGTAAATTACACACATATGCATCTTCTGTTATTTCATAAGTAGTGGAAAATTTACTTTGCGAGCAGAGTTTATCGTCTATTCGTATTTCTTTAAATACTTTTCTCTATTTGTTTTGATAAAGAAGCGGGACATTTTCTCGGGACGACGAAATATTGCTTACCGTTGCATTAAAGTCTCATTCATTTATTATTCTTTCTCTTTACAGCAGCGATTCCGTCATCATCGGTTATTTGGGATAGACAACCGTCCTCTTTTCTTCTCGCTTTAAATTTTTTCTTTTTGTACGTGAATTCCCACATGCGCGATCGCTCGGGTTGATGAAAACAAATGAATAAAATATGAAAATGGGAAGAAATTTATATGCGGGTCAGTCTCTTTACGTAAGCTACAACGATGAATGAACGGATCTTTGATAAACGAGCGGGTCATGTGACGTCATCGCAGCAACAGCTGACACGCTCATCTCAATGACAGCTCGAAAAAAAAGACAAGATTCTAACGTTCTAAGATAATATTAAGTAAAATTATATGTATATACACATATACATTCCAAAATCATCGTCGCGTCTCAGATTTTTTTTCAATTTTGAAAATTAATGCTAAACAATAGAATTTTCTGTTTAATATTTTATTTCTCATTTTGACACATCGCTACTTGAATTTAATTCTACTCTGTAACTAAGTTGGAATTTTATAAGAGATATAAATATAAATTTATATATAATAAGATATATAAATTCATATAGTTTATATATTTATATAAATATACATAAATAAATTAAATAAATTTATATATTTAAAAAAAAATATATATATAGTATAAATATATAAATTTCTATAAGAGCTTACAAAATTAAAGAATTGCGAGAAAAATGAGAAAATTTTCATGAAAGATTAATTCGTCGAATCCAAAATTATTAGAAAAAAAATTATAAACTATAATCGAGCGACGATGGTTTTGGGACACATTTGGTGTCTACATATATATTATAGACATAAAAATACTCCGACTGTTTCCTTTTCGTTTCCTTCAACCTCCTTATTGATAATTACTTGCGCATCAAAATAATTAACTGCACATTTCGCAAGATAGACAATACATTTTATCGAAAAAAGTGTGTGTAATATACGTTTTTAATACTCACTGAAAATTCAACGCAAATGCATCACCTTGGTTGATAAAAATGTGACTCCTTTACGAAAATGACTCTTCAAACAGACTGGCAGTTTATTTCGGAGGAGATTCCTCTTCCACACAGAGAGAGAGAGATGATCATATGTACAATAATGCTGATATGATACGTCGACCGAATCTTCTATTCTTCTTCGAAGGACTGGAAGGGAAGAAACGAAAGGGCGTTCGGCAGGAGCGATGACACGATGTCGCAAAAATATTCGTACAAAGCGCAGGCGGTGTATTGTATATATACAGAGTCTATTATTGAATTAAAAATGGAAATGTACGCAGAGAAGAAACGTAAAAATTCGGAGATCTGTATTCGGAGATATAATATATGTATATCTATATATGTATAAGTGGAGTTTTCTATCACACATCAATTTTGGCGAAACGTTTACCTGAAGACGTTCGCCTGACGTAATAATAAAAAAAAAAAAAGAAGAAAAAATTGAAATTGCGCAAATACGATGTTCCGGCAGAGTTTTTCTTCTAATCAATTTCCGAGGATCGGGACACAAATCTCTCATTCCGCCTCTCTTTCTCTCTCGCCCTCGCGATGACAAATTATTAATTTCGTTCATTTATTATCGTTCTCGCTTCTCGTTATTCCACTTTAAGAGTTTAATATACAACACGCACGCACGACATATTTAAACATATGCATTCGCATTCACACTCTTGCTTACATTTTCAGGATGGATCATCATCCATCTCTCCCTACATAAAGATCCACATATTTTATTCCATTCTCGATTCTATTATCTAGCTGCAATCGTCGAGTCTTAATTATTAGACTACATAATTTCTACAAAAATTTAGAGACTGCGAGCGGTAGAATCTTTTTCATCAAATAATACATAAAGAGAGATTTCGCCAACATTATGTGTATATGTGTGTGTAGTTTTGTTGGCACGAAGACGTAGTCAATTGTGATCTTTCGTTGTACGCACAAAAAAGGAAAAAAATTATGAACACTTCCTACTTGAAAATGACTCTTAACATTCTACAAAAATATTGTCGAAAATATTTATATACTTAAGAATAAAAATTCTCATTACGAACACGTTGCTGGTACGAAATCTTGCGTAACGTGTATTTGTATACGCTACTTTTATTACTTATCAAACTAATAATCTTTTTTTATCACTATCATAAAAGCCGTATTCTTCTCTTTTTTCTTTCTTTCACAATCGAAAACGTAATCCTCTCAAGACAGAAATAAATTTCGATAAATACAATACTTTTTTCATCCAAATTAGAAGTATTTTCTCTATAATAAGCAACGAAAATGTTGACATATTCGGGCAACCAGCACTCGAATCATACAAAATATCGGCGAAAAAATTAAGGTTCCTGGCTCTTCATCGATCATGTTGGAATTATGACGTCAGAAAAGAGAAAACACATGCTAAAAATTCTTAGATGTCATTTCGAAACATCTTTTCATTCAAAAATAGCATCTAAGAATTTTCAGTGTGTGCTTTCTCGCACTCTCGCCTCTGACGTCACAATCTGACATAGCTGCAACAAAGATCCAGGAGCCTTGAAAGAACTACTAATAAATCCTTTCGTGCGTATACATTGACTCGGTATTATCTTTTAAAATAACAATCTTTAGCATTACACACAATCGATAACTTAAATTTTCCACTCTCTTCTCAATTTTGATCTCCAAAAAATTATACGCAAAATCTATCTCCTAATTATAATAATCTTGCTTCGCAATCCGGTCTTGTATTAAATCAGCTCGCAACTGATGAATATATTTCATAACAACGAGAGAATATCCTAAAAATTTACAAATAACAGTTTTTTTAATTTTTGCGCATTGCCTAAAACATTTTTTGTTATCTCTCAATTTTGGAAAATTTTCTTACCTCCTTTACAGAGGATCAAATCAGAGGGATTGAGATTATATCACATAAACATCTCTCTCTCCGAATTGAGGGTACAATAATGGACAAAGAGATAAATTCTCTTAAAACGCTCGCGATTACAGGTCGTCTCTTGACAATCAACGCGCCGGAGAACACTCTACATATGTGTATGTGTATACGAGTATATGTGTTGTGTGTACATGTGTCAAGAGATCGGAATTTTCACGTCTCATTGAAATCTCATACAAGAAAAACACTGAGCGTCATACAAACGGTATATAATTCTACGCCTTACTCTGGGGATGCATCTTGTGGGGTGTTCATACGTTAAAAAAGGGGTGTATTATGTATATGCGTATATATACAAATATATATATATATATACACATGATACTGGCAGTATAACTTTCGCCTTCTCTCTCTTTCTCTCTCTCTCGCAGACACACAAAATTCGCGCACCGATTCATTCTGACGTTACAATAGTTTCTTCACGACAAAACGGAGGACCGTCCTCATCCTTAGACTCGTAGAAATCATATGTGAGCTGTCTCTCTCTCTCTCGTACAAAATACTGCGATGTCGCGAAAGTCTCGTTGTTACAACATTTATCTCCTTGTAACGCATCATACTTTTTTCCTAGCAATCATCATCATCATCATAATCATCATCACATGCATCATCGCTCGCCGGATGTTTTCTCCTTTATTCTACTTAAGCATACGATACGAGAAAATGAACGGGATTCGTCAATGGAACTGTGCGCCCTTTCATACATCGCTTTGACATTACAAATCATAAATCAAAGTAAGATGACGTGGGAGAATTTAAGTAATTTTTTTAATTCACTGTACAGTTTTGCATAGTAGAGATGCAAAATATACTTTTATACATATTATTTGGAGTTCCTTACCACTCCCAAAACTGATTGAATTACGACTAATTCAGATTGATAAAATATATCAAACACTCCATCTTGTTTTTTTATTCCACGTTAATAAGTGCAGTGTGTAATGAAGTATCAACATGAGTGTCATCATAAAGTCCAAAGTTTATCAAAATTTATACAGCTATTTACTAATCTATATCGAAAATTCCGAAGAAGATCTTTGATATATTTTAATTAATCTGTACTATCAAACACAAGTGATACAAAGTTAGCTTGACTCATGTTGTAAGAAAAAGTTTACGCGATTTCTCACTCTTGATGTCATAATTCAATGCAGCTGCAGTAAAGAAGTTCTTACAAAGACAAGCAAATTTATACAAGACAGCTCTTAATCGCTCTAATCGCATATAAACAATACTTCAGAAAGTGTAGGACAAAAAAAATATTAGAAAGTATTAATTGGCTGCAATCAATATTAATTGACGATATCAGGAAGAGCGTTAATTAAGTAATTTTTCTTCTGCTATAAACAAAGTTTAGCATTTCGTCATCATACTTCACCATATTTTGTCGCTTTATCGCTTCGGATATATTCATATCAGTAGAACATGAAGATAAATGTAATTTAACTGATACATTTGCAAAAAAATGAATTGCAGCAAGTGCAACAGAATTTACAGTTCCTACAATTCATTAAATAAAGTATTAAGGCTCCTCGCAGACCAAGTATCGTCATAAGAAAAAAATCACGCAGAAAAAATACATTGAATATACATTTACAATTTTTTTCGCAATAATTGCTAAACTAAATATCTGCTGTTTTAATATCTCTCCCACGACATCTCTTACATTTCGAACGCGGAAAACGCAAGTTCATGCTACGCTTCACTTTCATTAGAGACTTATTAAACTCACATATACACGTATAAGGTTCGTCGAAACTTTTCATATGTATGGAATAATGTGAGCGACGATACTATATATAAACACGCGAATGAAAATGTCATTTTTAATTTTTTTTTTATATCATAGCGCGCAACGTTGTCTCTCAACGTCGTTTATTAAATAGGTATTATAACTTAGACGTTTGGCAGTGTCCATTTTCATTTTTTGTCTTCGTCCCCATATTACTTACATATCACTCTTATAAAGAGTATGCTGTGGTATGAATCGAAAAAGACGTTCCTAAAAAATCGATACTACATAAAGAACGTAATGATTTGCGTGAAGTAGAAATTTTCTTAAAATAATATCGATGTATAAACAATATATATATATATATATAAAATAAATTTACACGAAACATGATTCATCTGAGCCGAAATATTGACTTTTGTGCTTTTGTATAAGTTTTACAAAAATTATTTGCCTAAGGAATTTGGCGAAAGGAAGATTTTCAAAGTTTCTTTTATTTATGCTCGCTTTTTTATATATCTTACGGCTATATATAATAAAAAAGGCGTCAGATCTCTCATTTCATACCACAGTGACCTCGGATTGTTTAAGCCTCTTGCACGAAAATCAAAATGCAAAAAGTATCATTGCATTGCGTTTAAACATTTTTTTTTTAATAATTAGCAGATACGAAAAGAGAAAAGTATTTATATTTTAAAATATTGATTCAAGCACCCAAACTGTTTATGGACCTGTCACTAAAATATCGGGAAACACGCATTTATGAGACAAATATTAAATATCTCAGAATAATATTATCTATCCAGTGACTATAAACTAAAAATTAGTTTAATTAATTTTAAAAAATTCAATTGAGAATTGTCTAGTTATGTTAAAATGTAAAAAGATCATATTTAAAATACGATTACGATTTTTGTATATCGGACAGATTCTTCGTATAAAAGATATATCCGTAAATTCGTAAAACTATCATGCTAGTTTCCCGTTAATAAATGTCACAAACAAACACGTGTATCTGCAAAATAATCAAACATTATTACGAATCTCGCTAACAGAATTATTACAGACGGAAATCAAATGCTTCGTTAAATCCTCTAATAAGCTCTTTTGATTCGAAACTCTAATAATGGCTATACAATCGCAATGTCTACATTATATCGTTTAGAGAGTTTAGCTTCATAGATATTTTCTGATTAGAGTAAGTCATGACCATAGATTCTGTGCACAGTCTGAGGTACAAAAATGCTTCTTAATATAATAATCCCGGCAGGATTATCCAGAGTTGTATAAAATAATCTGTATCAAAAATTATCGTAAGAGAATTTGTGACACTGTTACATTTTTTTCTGTTTACTGTGTTTATCGTATCTAAACTGCGTGCTAAACGATCGTTTAGATATTAATATATATGTATAAACCTATTTTTATGTACAATTTTGCAATTTAGCATCTAATGATTCAATGCATAAACATTAGTTTCTTACAGTGCGCAATTACTACTTGATATAATGAGCTCACAATATTTGTGTGCCTGATAACACAGTTTTGAGTAATCGAAATTTATCGGCGTTATCCTATATAGCACAGACAACTTGGCCAATTTACTTACATATTTCGCCGAAGAAGTGCGTTAGTTCACTTGAATTAATTTTAAAAACGATACGAAAAAAAGATGTGTTTTTTCCTTCTTTTAATAGTCTTGTAATAGTGAGCAATGCTTAAGTCTGCACCTTCATCGTCTCAAGTACACCGCTTTGAGAATCTGATCTATACGAAAAGAAAGAACACTAAACAGTGATTGGCACAATTCTATTTGTTTTTAATTATCATTATTTCATTACGTAATAACCGAATTATAAAAATAATGTATGCAGAATATCTCCTTTTAATCGATCATCCCCCCAAATTTTTTATTTTTAATTGTACAACAAAATGTTTCAAACAAAAGTTTGATTTGAAAGGGGACAGAAGATGATACTACTAATTTTTTTTAAGGCACTTTTCAAAATTATTAAAAGATCAATTATGTTTTTTTTTAAATGAAACCACTATATTTTTTTTTCTATAAATCGATTCCTCGCAATATTCACTATAAAAAGTTATAAGGGTAAGATAGCCAAAAAGTGAATATGTTTATGTCAAATTTAAATGTAAAATATTTCAAACTATTAATTTTTGGCCATCTTACCCTTATAATTTTTTATACCAAAAATTACAAAGAATCGATTTATATAAAATATATATATATAGTAATATATTCCATTTAAGAATAACATAAATGACCTTTAAATGATTTTGAAAAGTACCGTTTAAAAAAAGTCTGCAGCACCATCTTCTGCCCCCTTCAAATCAAACAACTTTTGCTTGAAACATTTTATACGATCTAAAATGAAAAAGTTTTTGAGGGTGATCGATTAAAATGGGACATCCTGTATTTTTAACAATCACATGTGATAGATGAAATTTATCTATTGGAAAATTTTTGATTCGCATCGTATTGTCGTCTACTCGAAAAAGTAAAAATGTAATCCAAGACAATGAAGTTACAGAAGTCACAGAAACTACTTTCTCTCTCTACGAGTGTATTGAAAAATAACCTTCGCAGTATCATACGTCTGCTTTTGTTTTTTACTCTCTTTTATTATCACTAGCCGCTAATATTCTCGCTAGTATATTAGTTCAAGTGAGAGGAACGACAACTGTCTGTTGCAATTCACTTTTTCCTTTTGTTATGTCGTACTTGTGGTCTTATCCCTGGATATTCAGGGATAAGATCGGCCAATCTTCCTATAAGACGCGGACGTAAAGCAACACGGAACTTGATTTTCGCGCGGCTTACATCATCGAATCCCTCCCCGCAAGTCTACTATGCTACACTATTTACAACTGATAAGCAATACGTCTGACTGTTCTTGTAAATATCATTAAAACGAGCATTTTTCGCCTACTACTCATCGTTAAAATAAATGTGTGAATGATGAATGAAAAGGTATGTGTACATCAAGAATCAATACGGAACGTTTTTTTATAAATAAAAATAGATAAATAGATGAAATGCATAAAAACACATGCATCGAACGACTAAAAAGTCTGTCAGTCGTAAGAAAAAAAAATTATTGTTAAATTAAGACTCCTGGACGTCGACCCTCTTGGAATTGTGACGTCAGAGGCGAGGAAACACACGCTAAAAATTCTTAAATGCCATTTCGAAATAAGATATTCGGTGAAACAACACTTCAAATGAATTTAGCACACTCTTATCTCGAGAAAACTATCCCTTAATAATAATCAATCAACAGCTGTAAAATGACTGTAATATGAGTGACTCAGTCCGTCTTTGCACGTGCGCAGTCATGACAAAGTCTGATATCACGATTCATTTTACGGTTGTTGATTGATTCTCAAAAGAAAAGAATAGTTTTTGAAGTATTTTAAGAGTGTGCAAAAGCCATCTGAAATAATGTTCCATTGAAATATATTTTCATTTAAAAATGGCATCTAAGAATTTTCAGCGTGTGCTTTCTCGCATCTGACGTCACAATCTAACATAGCTGCGGCGAGAATCCAGGAGCCTTAATAATTCAATAAAACGTACGCGACGTATTTACATTTACAAGAACATTCACATATTCTACGCCGATAAATACATACATTTTGATGAAATGTACGTAATAAGTGGCAGTGCACGTGACGCAAAACAATTCATCACAATTATTTTGCTTGTAAAACACACCGAGAATTGATTACAGGATTCCGGCAGCTGGATCGGCCATCTTAATACACTTACTTGATGTAACTCTGAACTTAAAATTTGTATACGATTGCAATATATTTCGTAGTAAGCGGATTATTTATTTACCGTTAAGTATTGAGTCCCTCCCATTCGATGAGGTATTGTGTCTGACCGTTCGGCCCTATCCTCTTCGCTTTGATAACGAACTTTTCACCGGCAGCGATTCTGTTAGCCGCACCAAAGTAAATATTCACCGACGATTTCAAATCATCCAGAGATATGTCGGGCGCACTTTGCTTCACGGGCGAACACTTTGGAGATGAAGGCATGCTGCTCTTTCTTTGCGGTTGCGAATCGGGAGGAGGTGGCAATTTATCATTGCTCTGCCGCTGTCTCAACCTCCTACCGTTTAAGGCATAATCCACACAATTCCCAATTTGACTACTCGCACTGCTCGAGGCACCATTAAATGAACTTCTTAAATTCCTGGCAAATTCACTTTTAACTTCGTTATTACGAGCCGGCAGAATGGCCGCCGTTTTGCTGGCGGTGTGCTGAAATTGTTGCTGCAGCTGCTGCTGGGACGGACGTCCTCGTCGATGTTGCCTTCTGCGCTTCACCTGCCCATTTCTGTCCACGATAATATCCTTCTCGGATAGCTGCCTCTTGGCCGGACGCACCACCGGCGGTTGCGAGATCACAGGTGTCAGCGGTAGGGGTAAGGTGATGGGACACTGGTTGTAGGGTAACGGCGTGCTCGAGTTTCCTGATTAAGGCTGCAGGGCGTACCTACAAGATCGCTGAACGGATTGTTCTTCCCCTCGAAATCCTTGGGCGGTGGAATAAAGGAATCGAGGGTCCCTCGCGAGCTGGTCTCATCTCCGCTCGTATCCGCCGGCGTCGATGGTGGCATAGGATGCATCAGATCCACGGAACTAGGTACGGATAACTCGGACATGCCTGATGTTGTGGCTGGTGGTGTCGGCGGTCCGGAAACGGAAGTCGGAGGTGTCGGTGGTAGATCGGATGCTTCAGAACTTCGTGATTTGCTCTGCGTTACAGAGAAAAGAAAATATTAATAACACTATGTATAACTTTAGCATTATTAGAGTGTCTATTCAGATTTTGTAACAAAATTCACTGAGAATTCCTTGATTTTCTCGGTATTTTCGTTTAAAATTTCAAGTAAAATGAGAAAATTTGCATTGTAGATACAACTTTTTCCATTATTGTAGTTTCTTTATTATTGTATATGTTTTTTTAATGTTTTCTAGCCATACTTTCATACAACTGGAAAGTGCAGTTTTTCTAGCATTTAATATTGACGTTAATTGTAAAAATATATGTAAGAATATAATATAAAATAAAAATGGAAAACAAAAAATAATTTATTATAAACATCTCAAGGAATACTAATTTACTTCATAAATATTATCTATTAAAAAATTGAATAATTTTCTTATAAACTTTATATAAGATAATACGAAAAATAGAATTGTCAAAAAAATTACATAAACTTAAATATTGGCAAGACATGTTAGATATATTTTTCAAGTGCTAAATAAGAATAAAATTAGTAAAAGGATAATTTTTTTAATTCCCTGAATCCCTATCAAAGTCCATGAGAATTTCTTGATTAAGGCTGAACAAAATTCCTTGAGAATATCAGGGTTTTCCCGGAAGTTTGCACCTTAATATAAGAAATGATATAAGAGAGTAATCTTATCTGTACCTTGGCAATGGCATTTTTCAATAATTTCCTCGCTTTTCTGTATCTCGCTTCTCGAACTCCTTGCGACTTTCCCATGGTACCGTCTCCTTTCTCCCTTTTCTTATGTTTACGTAACATTCTTTCTCGTGAACTACCTAATGCCATCAGACGACGTCTTCTTTGTAAGCTCAACTTTGGAAATGGGAATGATTTTTTACAAAACCGCCACCGCTATACCTGAAAGAATAAGCAAAATTCTCTAATGAAAAATCCATTATACAAAATAACATATTGCACACACACACACACATTGCATATGTTTAAAGGCACAAAAATCATAAAAATTTTTAAATTTTTATCATTGCCAACAAAAGTAATTTTATAAATTATAAATGGATATGTGTAAAAAATGAAATTTACCTTTCTCTCAACGACTGCGTCGATTGACTGGGTGGACTTGGACTCGGACACGAACTTTGTTCTGCTTCCGAATTTTGATAAAGTGTACCTCGCATTACTAGATCCGAAGGATTCACAGAAATTTCTACATTCTCGGCCACGCTTTGCCTCAACGCGATCAATTGTTTTGTACTTTCTGGCAAACTCACAGGGCTAAAATAATTAAATTTTGCATATTGCACAAATACAAATAGATATAATACTCTGTAAATTGCAAACAATCAATGTATATTTGAGATGTATAATAATAGTATACTAACCCTATTTGTGGAGGAAGATACTGCAGTCTTTTGTTTACACCCAACCAACATCTACGTAACACGGAATCGTCTATTTCACCGGAGGCTGGAAGGTTGACGACTGGACAAGGTGGTGGCAGTCTGACACGGAGGCCCCATATTGTAGTACGTTTCTTTATCTCTCTACCGCACTTGAATCTAGTTCTGTTGTTTGTCAATATCGATAATATCGATTCCCTGCGTATTTCAATGCTAACATCTCTAATCTGAAAGCGAACAACAAACATTATATCAAGCACTGAAATATCATATAGATTAAAATATTTGATTTTAATAAAAAAAAGTATAAGATTCTTACCCGTGGTGGAAGTTGCAACGTATACCAATTGTCGTTTGCATAAGGTATGATAACAGTGTCCAAGTCGTAATACTTTTTAGCGTTATAAACAGTCAAGTTGTACAACATCAGGTGCACCAGATCTACCCATTTCATTTCCAAACGCCGAACAAATTCTTTCCCGTGATTGCACATTGAACAAACAAATACATAGAATCTGCAATCATAAGAGATTCCAATCATGTAAGAATGCATGAAAACAATCTAATAAAATTGAATTTGATTAAATGCATTGTCATTTTTTGTATTTGCACTCACCTATCACCGCTGTACAAGGGGTGAGTTAAGCATCTGATGCACTTTTCATGAAACCACTGCTTGCAACGAGCACATTGTAACATCTGCGCATACCATTCACCATTAAGTCCGCAATAACAATAAATTTGTTCGGCGTTCACTCTGTGATGTGCATCCCAGTTCAACATATCAGGCTGAAATAATATATAAAGATATTTATCTTCCTTTTATAAATAACATCACACATAATCAGAGAAACTATTCGCCAAATTAATAACGCATATTTCACATTTGAATCTTACGTCATACGGCAATTTCGTCATATCATCTGGTGGTGGTTGAGGTTGGTCCCTACCGCTGCAAACTTTTCTGATACTTGCTTTAACCATAGAAGTTTTTGGCTCGCAAGGTTCACGCGAACGCGGCTGGCTATCTGTACATCTCTTACACATCCAGTGAATATCCACACCTGAATCCTGTTTTGGTATTTGAGGCTGCAAACACGCATGTTTTTCGTTTATTAAAACCACCATTTTGTATCTCAACCAGATTTTTTTTTCAAAAATCTAATTTTAATCAATGTTTCTGTAAAAATATAAAGTAGATTCACATGTACCTGATGACACATTTGATGATAGCCACGTCCACACTTGTCGCAAACAATAATGTCATTGTCAGTCTTAGGCTGAGATTTTTTGCAAAGAACACACATAACATCCGAGTCTGGCATAGCCAGCTTTGTCAGCTCTTTAAACGAGGACCAGGAAGATGTGTTGTCCATAAAATTGACAAGACATCTTTCCCTTGCCAAGTCCACCTATGCAAAAAAAAAAAAAAAAGAAACAGAATTGTTAAACCGCTGTGTCAATTCACCATTCGACTAAAAAAGAATCATTGATAATTTATCTGTACCTCGACAACTGTACCAAGGTAAAATTTGCCATCTTTATGCTGAAGAACATCATCTCCATGAGAGAAGCCAACCCGCTGTTCCCTTGTGGTGCTATCCGGCGCTGCCAGACTTTCCTCAAGTTCTGACATTTTCTACCCTGTTTGTAAATCATACAAAATGCTACGATATAACAATTAAAGACACTTTTCTATTTGCGATACCAAAAAACTTGTATATATTTGCTAGAAATGACGTAAAAAATCTCTATGTATCTACAAAAAAGACTGATAGATTATTTTAAATAAACAATTATGCAAGATATATTTGAACTCCTTGTAATGAAAAGATAATATTATTAAATTAATCCCAAGTTTAATAAAATTATTTATATATTCTTTTTCCAATCTAAATTTCAATCATATTATTTAAAATTAAAATCGCACACAAATATCGCGAATAATTTCGCTCGAGTCCGCGATGCGGAAGCTATCTAAAAAGAAGAAAAAAAATACTAACGGAAATACACAACACGCTTCTCTTCTATCCCTTCTCGAAAGAGCGCCAGCTAAATCGCGACTCGCCACCTGCCACGAAATCGAGGGTTCGCCTGGAGGAAGGATACACGATCGCGGCCATATGATCGGCGTCTTGTTACGAGAAAAAAAAAAAAAAAAAAAAGAAAAACAAAAAACAAAAAAAAACAGTCTCGAGGAAGAGAGAGAGGGAGAGCGTCGCGACGACGCTCTTCCTCCGAGTCGTCGTTCACGGATGCATCCCCGCAACCCGGGGAGGCTTCTACGAGGCACAACAAGTTTCTCGCCGTCCGGCGAAACCGACGCCCCGAGTCGGCGTTCGTGAACGATCAATCGACGAGGACGTCGCGAAACAGAGACGAGGATAAAGAAGGAGAGAGAGAGGAAGAAAGAGAGAAAGAGAGAGAGAGAATAAAAAGAAAGATGGAGAAAGAGAGAGAGACCAACAACCCCGGAGACGACCTGGGGCGGTGTTCGCCCCCCTCCACCCTGGGGGGGAGGAGGACGCGCTCCCGGGGAGGACGCCGCGCGTCGTAAATAAACTCCCTCGTCGTCCGGGGCCGGCGACGAGGAGGTCGACGTACCTCAGCGTGTCTCGGCGTGTCCTGGAATCATGCGGGCCTCATTATTCCCTCCAATCCCGCTCAGCCATTTATTGCAGCGATCATATGGGGAGGGCCCCGTCACGATCGGCTCGTGTTTTGTTCACGCTCCCTCCGGGACGACGACGACGACGACGACGGGCAGCGGCGACGACGGCGGCAGCGGCAAAAAACCGACTCCGCGCGGTGACAGCTCGGTGACAGACGCGCTGTGCCGATCACGACGACGCCGGGGGCACCCTCCGTAGGCCGGCACCCGCACGGATCACCACGCGCCCTCAATTCTTGTACACGGCATCACCGCGGCGAACTCGGCGCACGTTCATTGCGTCCCGTGGAAATTCGAACGAGCACCGTCCGCCATGTTCGGGGAAAACACTTGCCGTGGGGCGACTACGCGGCTCAAGCGCGCCACCGTGGGACGGGACCGCGAAGCTGTCAGGGACGTAGTTAGGGAGCGCGGGGCCCGCGAGATTGGAATTTTTCTTCATCCGAAGAGGAAATGTCAAAAAAAGATTTTTCCTAGGATTTTCTTTTTCGCAGTTGTTTACTGTAAAAAAAATGTAAAATTATATAAATAATAAGTGTCAAATTACACGATAGATGATGAAATTTTATACATTTTTTGATTTAATTTTACATTTATAATTTATGTAATTTTACGTATTTTTATATAACATTACATATTTTTTAACAGTATGTATTATTGACAGAATTATTCTAACATTGATCTCTCTAAATATATTGTAATTATTGATAAATATTTAAATATAAACATTTTGTAAATATTTTATTTATATAATAAAATATTCTATAATATTTTATAATAATTAACTCTTTAACAATTATTTTATAAATATTGTATATTTTATTTACAATAATATTTATAATATTTGATACACCAGATTTTAAATTACGCGCGCTTTTATACATTTTACAGAGTGTATTCAAAATATTATAACTACTTGAAATAAAGAAGAAAAATCAATAATTTCATACAATTTTGCATTGCAAATTATTAACATTTTTTTCAAAAATACATACAGATATAAATGGCAATCGATTTGGGACGTGGCCCTGGAATCAAAATGGCCGGGATTGGGCAACATTTAGGCATCCTATTGCAGTGTAGACATAACATAAACAATCGATATTTCTGTCCTTCAATAATCCACAGTGGGACGAAAAATTTGAGCGATCGATATTATTATTTAACAAGCAATCGCATCTCGTTAATCGCATTATTTTGAAAATATTCGAACATCTCAAACACTAGAGTAGTACATCTTCCATAACAATGCACTCTTATCTGTATCATGGAATTGTAAAATTATTTATCGCGATTATTTTCTCGTTTATATTTTATTCTCTATCAATAATCGTTTAATAACAATCAATCGATAAATATTGATCGAAATGTTTACGATCAAAATATTAGAAACATTAGTTTTTTGTCCATCTTATATAGTTATTTTTTCTATGGTTTTTGTACCTTCAGAACCGTTCATATATTAAACTTGCAGTCGCGTGATTTCTATCGTAAAACCGAATTACACGTAAAGTAATATTTTTCGAATTATACAAGTAATATTAAATATGCGTCATTTTACTTGTCAATCATTTTTTTATCTTATTTTATTGCCAAACTTTTTCTTAATTTGCAGATTTTGATTGATCGATTAATTATATCATTAGCGGCACTAAAGCGGGTCAGAGAAGAAAATATAAATCTTTATAGAATATTACACAATGACATTATTCGCATATGTTGGCGATAAATGCAGCCTGCAAAGTTGCAATGTAAGTGAAATTTTATATTAACTGACAGTTTTATCTGATACTCATCTTTATTCTATTTTTATACATGTATTCGAGATTTATATGAAAATGGCGTTTAATAAATAAATCGCAGAATTTTTCTGGAAAATAATTATTATATGCATGTCCATCTTGTATAGTTATTTTCTCCATGGTTATATTTACTCATAAAACCGTTGATACAATTAAACTCAGTCGCCTGATTTCTTTCGTAAAATCAAATTACACGTAAAGTAATATTTTACAGCTATAAACATTAAACATATCTCATTTTACTTGCCAACAACTTTTTATACTTTAGTGTCCAATTTTTCTCTATTTGCAGATTTTGATTGATCGATTATACATATTAATTAAAATCAGTCATGATTGCTCAATTTACGAGACAGAGAGGAGGATATGAATCTTTATGGGATATTATGCAACGATGATATATTATCTCACTCATGTGTTGGCGATAAATGCAGCCTGCAAAGTTGCAATGTAAGTGAAATTTTATATTAGCTGGCAACTTTATCTGACACTCTTTATTTCGTTTTTTTACATGCATTTTTGAGATAAATAAATAGGTGAAAATGCCGTTTAATAAATAAATCGCATAATTTTCTTGAAAAATAATTCTTGTCTTATATAATAATTAATTCATAACTTCTTGGTCGAAGATTATTAACACGCGATTAATTGTGCGAACACAACACGGTGTATTATATAAAAAATTATACAATTATCAACAGTTAATATTATAATATAAATTGTTAATAATTTATTATACAAATACTGTACATGATTTTATGTGCATCAAAAGAAATATTATATCGAGGATTATTTATTTAAATATTTCTTTTTCTTTATATAATCGTCGTATTATTCGATGCAAATTTTTAAAGCACAGACACATGTTCTAAATTATTTAAAAAAACAGATACTACACTGATTCGATTTTGTTTATCAATGTGTGTGTCACTTTAATATCCCTGAATAAATTTACTAATTGGAAGCAAGAATAGTTAAAGTATACATATACAATTTTTATGTTATTAATTTTGATCTGTGCTTATATTCCAATTTAATGTCACATTTTCATTCATTTTTATTAATGTCATATTTTACTACATACGTCTTTATCTCATTTTGAAAAATATATATTAATATTGAAATAACATTTCATTTGTTCATACATTGTAAAAATTGCAATGTTTTCATAACAAGAAACATCTAAATATGCGACACAAATACAAGCCCTTGATTGTTATGCCATATAATAATTATTTTATATTTGCAAAATATGATTTTCATTATTTAATATCATCCATCGTGTTTCAATTTTATAAAGAAATTTTTTCATTACAATTTCAAATTTTTTAAATAATGGCACGTATCATTCTATAATAATTATTATGCTGGTAAACAAATATTAAGAAATAATTATTGCATTAAGTTAAAAAGTGAGAAACATTCTTTCTATATATTACATCTATTAAAATTTTCAAGCATTTTTGTGCTAGCACATATTCAAAATTATAATACTAAATATCAAGTAGAGAATCAATAAATTAATACAAAAACTGTGCCTAGTTTAATATTTGTTTTCAAGTATCAATAATAGATGCTTTAATATTTATATTATTGTTTTTTGAAATCTTCCAAAAAATATAAAAATTAATATGCATATACTGCTTTTTCTTTCTCTTGCTTATGATTATTTATAAACCATCGTATAAATTATAAATCATCTAGATATAAATCTAGCATGGTTTATGTAACAAAAATTTTAATTTATAAATGTACAAAATAGAAAATGTTTCCAAATTGTAAAATCTTTTATAAATCTATGGATTTAAATATCATCTTGATCTTTTAAATATCTTGCATTAGCTGCTTGCTCTCAAATTGACAATATAATGTTGCATTTAAATACACATCAAATATGGAATATATAAATATTTGTTTCTTCACGACAATCCAACTTGTTGATCGAATTCTAATGCATTATAGACAATATATTAATTTCTCACGATTTTAAATATATAATATACAATAACTTTTATACTTTTTTGAAGCAAGAAATTATTTTTAATACATCTTCTTTTTTACAGCCGTGTAGCGTTCCATGTAAGTGTCGTAACCATCCAAGTTCGCGAACTGCTTCATTTCGAAAAGGTTTCCCTCGAGCGCCAGTATCGAGATTTTCGAGTCCTTGAGGATCTTGAGGGGCACCGAACTCAGCTGCAGACAGTTCTCTTCCAACCGTAGCGTCTTCAGTCGCGGACAATCCGCCAGTTTCTCAGATATGGTGGCGATCTGATTCTGATTGAGGTTGAGCTCGGTCACGTGAAGGCTGGAGGCGGCGTCCGGCACATTCGTAAGTCGATTCCTGGACAGATCGAGGACGTCCAGGTGCTTCAGGCCGCAGAAGACCAGCGGAAAATCGGAGATCTGATTGTCGGATAGATTCACCTGCTTCAGATGCTGCAGCTTCGCCAGCGATGACGGCATCGTCTTGATATGATTCACGGCGCAATTTAAACTCTCCAGTTTCACGAGAGCACCCAGCACATCTGGCAAACCGGTTAGCCGGTTTTGACTAATGGTCAGCTGTTTCAGCAGTGTGAAGCCGCCGATCTCGTTTGGCAGCGCGGTGAATTTATTCTCGGACAGGTCCAGGGTGCGAAGCAATGGCGCCAAGGCACAGAGGTTCTGTGGGAATTCGTCTAGCTTATGCTGAGACAGCTTCAAGGCGCCAGTCTTTTTCGCCGTCTCGTAATGTTGCTTCAAGCCGGAGTTGCCCATGTCGATATCCTCGCGGGTCTCAGCAACAATCAAGCAGTGTAAGAATTAATTGTATCTTGATGAAGCCTTTATTTACAAACTAAAAATTAATTAATTAATTCGAAACAATTTCTAAACAAGATTAATTAATTAATTGATTATTATTCATTAATATTATTAAATTTTATTTATTATTTATTATTAAATATTAAATTATATTTAATTAATGAAGTCTTACTTTGTTGTTCTGTTGTAACTTATTTGTTTTCCTTTTCGTTGCAGGAGATGAGAAGAGCCGCGACGAGACGTTCCGCGGGAATTTTGACAGCGCGGGAAATTTGACAGCTCTCGGGAAAACTTTTCGCGCGGACTGTACCGCGCCGGCGCGCGCTGTACTTTTGTGCGGGACTGTACCGCGCGCCGAGTTGCGCACGGCGGCGTAGAGCGTCGCCGTCGTTCGCTCGACTCGGTCGTCGAGATTTTCGCAGCGCGAACGACAACCTCGTCGTCGAGAAGGGGGCCGCGTGGACCCGGGGACCCCTTGTGACGTTCGCGTTCACCGCACGTTTAATACATATATATACAAACGCGTCTCGTTCCCCGGCGACGAGGACGAGCGTGAGGACACGGCACCCGGACGACAAGGGAGGACAGACACCGCGCACAACACGGGGAGTGAAATGTCACGCGATTGACAGAATCCTTCGCCATAGAGCGGAGCCCCTGCCGGCTTCTCGGACCGGCCGCGAGATGGCGCTTCGGTGGCGCGCGCCCGAAAAATGGCCGATGTACGGAGATGTAGCGGTGCGCGTCGAGTTTACATCAGACTGAAAACACCGCGGCGGCATCCGGTGCGTAGTAGTTCACGATGCGGCGGTGCGCGGGAATCCTGAGGTGTTCGAGTGCGTGATCATCATCCGGACTAGGACGACGCGACGCGACCGGGTCAACGATGGCTTCCACGCCGAAGACGGAGAAACAGACAGGTAAGGGAAAGACAAAAACCACCCGCTCCTTGAGAGAGCGATTGACTTGAAGGCGCGCGAAAGAGAGAGTGAGAGAGAGAGAGAGATGGAGAGAGGGCGCGTACAAACGCGTGTTGTTTTCCTTCTCGGCGGGGACTCCTTCTGAATGAGAAACGAACGTTCGATTAATTCCCTGATTAGTAGTAGCACTCATCTCATTTATCGGCTTTCGAATCTCGGCTGATCTTATCGCGATGCGCGCGTCTTCGTCAGTTGCTCGACGACGCTGCCGGACGCGAAATGTCAAAAGCATATGTATGGGTGTCTCCTGTCAAACGCGTGTACATGTGATTTTTTGTTTAATTTTGCGGAATTTCCACCTCTGCGCATTGTAAAAGAAATATGTAATATATTACATGAAATGTATATAAAATTATATAAATAATAAGTGTAAAACTACACGATAAATAATGAAAGTGTATACATTTTAATTATTTATCGTGTAATATTACATTTAATAATTTCTGTAATTTTACATATTTTTTATGGAATATATTACATATTTCTTTACAATGTGTACTATTGATAGAATTATTCTGACATTTATCTCTAAATATACATATATAAATATTGATTCAATATTTAAATATGAATATTTTTTTGTAAATATTTCATTTATAATATAATATTTTATATTTGAAACTATTCATGAGATTTTTTAAATATACAAATTCATTATTTATCGTGTAATTTCATACTTATTATTTATATAATTTTACATATTTTTATGTAATATATTACACATTTTTTTACAGTATGCGGAGAGAAAAATTTTGAGAATTTTGAAAAAAATCACGTGTGCACATGTTTGACAGGAGATCCACATATTTTTTTTACAGTGCGGCTTTCTATTTAACAGAAGACAATCTGTTGTACTCGTGCACACTGAAAAAATTTATTAATTTGACTAAACTTGACTAAAACTTTTAACTAAATGTTATTTTACTAATTGAACACAAAACTATTTAAATTAAATCTAACAAAATGTATATTTGACTTAAATATTAATATATATTCAATTAATAAAATAGAATTCAGTTGAAAGGTCTAGTCAACTTAACAATTTTTTAGTGTGTAACGTGATAAATGTTGAGAAAGCGCTGGATTAGTTAATTTTCTTATGAGTGAAAGAGATACTTTCTTTTGCTCACTATATATAGTGATTATTTATTTCTTCCCGATCAGCGGATAATAATTTGATCAAAGTCAGCCTCGTAACTGGCATTTGATTGAATTAAATGCACCGGTATAGTCGTAAACAACAACCGATATTTTCTCTCTTTGAAGCAAGATTAGATTTAATTATAACTAGATTCCATTAAACCTGATGTGCTCAATTATTATAGGTACACTGAAAAAAATATTATTAACTTGACTAAACCTTTCAATTAAATTACTATTTTGTTAATTGAATATATATTAATATTTAAGTCAAATATACGTTTTGTTAGATTTAATGTGTTATATTTAAATATTTTTATATGTTCAATTAACAAAATAATATTTAGTTGAAAGATTTAGTCCAGTTAAAAATTTTTTTTTAATAGGTATTTATGCAAATAAAATAAATTTTACTTTTCCTAAGAATGTTCCTTTTTCCTCCTTCCCTTTCCAAGACGTTCTGTTTTCACAAACATTCCACTAACTTTAATCGTCAAACTGCGGTGGAAGAAATCGTAAAAAATCTTAGTGAAAATATTTAATCAAAGTGATACACGATACCTATTCTTCTCACTTTATTTGAGAAACTAGTTTGAGAAATTTATATTTTAATAAAAGGAAAACAATTTAAATAATTTACATTGATTTATATTTATTTTTATTTTAAATTATTCATATTTTAAATCTATATTTTAATTTTTTATTTTAATTTATATTTAAATTTCTATTTAAATTTTTATATTTTAATTTATTTTTAAATTTATTTCTTTTAACCTTTCATTTTTAATCTGTTTTCTTGTATATGTTTATATTTAAAGCGTTTACGTTTAATCGTCATATTTAATTTAATGATTTTTTTACGTAATTCAATTAATTTGATAAATAGTATTTTGATAAATAAATGATGAATAATAATTTGATAAATAGTATTTTGATAAATAAATGATGAATAATAAGATAAATAGTATCGGGAAAAATAGCAAGTTAACGAAGGATGAAGCATCAATTTAGCCTTCATTCAATCTTCGAAACCTTTTGCTTTTTTTTTCCTAGGGTATTTTCAGTGTAAAAATTTATCGATAATAATAACACGAGTCACAGAGTTAAGTGTGTCAATAAACCGAGCTCCTGATCCGATTTGAACAGCTGGTTGTGTCACGAGTTTTTCGACCCTTTCGAACAAAAGCCTACCCTATTCTGTTTCCGATCTGACCGGAAAGGACTGAATAGTGGTTGCAAATCTCTCTCTCTTTCTGCATGTTGCTCCTTCTTTTCTTTAATCTTCCTTCTCGAATGCGTGTCATGCATTATTCAGTTCATCATTGTTGTTCTTTAACTTATACATCATTTTATTGACTTAACTTATTCTGACAGTTTCTTAAAAACGAGATGTTTTTCATTATCCAAGATGGAATTAAAATCTTTGGAAAATTTCAAAAAAATTACCAATAATAACGTCAAATATTTAAATATCATTCGAGAAGGTAGGACTAATTGTATATAGTTAGAATTGTAATTTGTATTTTTGTGTAGATTAATTAGTAGTTAAATGTATAATTTTCTCTCATTGAGAGCACTGATAATTTTTCAAGCAAGGTAAATATATACAATTTAAATTTTTACAACAATTATGTATTTTTATAATACAAACATTAATGACGATTTATATATTTGTGTATATTAATTAGTAGCTAAATGTATAATTTTATTATTCATGAGCACTGATAATTTTTCAAGCAAGATGAAAATATATGCGATTTATATTTTTAGAACAATTATATATTATAAATATTAATGACGATTGATATATACGAATGCGAAATTAACATGAAAAAGAATAAAATCTCTCTAGTTGTTTTTACAACACGTGTACGTGATATCGTAAAAATTGCGCGTATTTCGGTTTTTAGATTTATCGTCGACGACTCGGGTTCGCGAAATATTTCATTCCTATATGTCTTTTTTCCTCGATATATCACTCGTACATTTATACCGAAAAGATTATGAGTCTAGTAGCACTTTTAAGAGTTCTAGAGTTTCCTGATAGGTTACGTTCGAAATAGTTCTGTCAATTTAAAGGTCAAAAAACGAATTTTTTAAAAATGTCGTGCTAACTTCCCGTTTAGCACGACACTTATGCAATTTTAAAAAATATTTTTATTTGAATTTCGATATTTCGACGAGATCTAGAGTTAAATGATAGATATTTTAAATAAATACATTCCGGCTAACTATGCAATCTACGCAGTTTAAAAAACAATTATGATTTAAACGATATTTTATAAAATTTTATTTTGTTGTGCTACTGGCGCAATTTGCGCAATTTGCTTGAGACCTGCACCTTTCATAATAAAATAAAAATGTAATATTTAAAGTAATACCAAATGTCGATATAAATTAGTATAAATTAGAGCACTGATAATTTAATTTAATTAAATTATTATTTTATTAAATAGCACGACATCGCGGAAGAGTATGTCGTGCTGGTAGAAATATAAAATATTTTTCGTGGGCGCATTTTTACGAAAAAAACATGTTCACTTAGATAGAGTTCTTTCGACCTTCTGCAACCTTTTTTGATATAGAGATAGATAAACAGTATTAACGAGTTAAATTTTGTTAAATTTTTAAATATTTTAATGTCGACACTTACGATCGGTGTCGTGCTGGTATATATCGCAGTTCTAGGGGGGTTTTGGCGAGTTCTCGTAGAGTTCTATGCTCCAAAATTATTTTTAAAAATAGTTCCGGCGATTAAACATTTTTTAATAATTTTTAAAATTTTTTAATGTCCGATTTCAGCACGACACTCGAGCAAAGGGTGTCGTGCTGAGTATATATCGCAGTTCTAGGGAGGGTTTTGGCTAGTTCTCGTAGAGTTCTATGCTCTGCAATTATTTTCAATAATAGTTCCGGCGAGTAAACATTTTTTAATAATTTTTAAAATTTTTTAATGTCCGATTTCAGCACGACACTCGAGCAAAGGGTGTCGTGCTGAGTATATATCGCAGTTCTAGGGAGAGTTTTGGCTAGTTCTCGTAGAGTTCTATGCTCTGCAATTATTTTAATAATAGTTCCGGCGATTAAACATTTTTTAATAATTTTTAAAATTTTTTAATGTCCGATTTCAGCACGACACTCGAGCAAAGGGTGTCGTGCTGAGTATATATCGCAGTTCTAGGGAAGAGTTTTGGCTAGTTCTCGTAGAGTTCTATGCTCTGCAATTATTTTCAATAATAGTTCCGGCGATTAAACATTTTTTAATAATTTTTAAAATTTTTTAATGTCCGATTTCAGCACGACACTCGAGCAAAGGGTGTCGTGCTGAGTATATATCGCAGTTCTAGGGAGAGTTTTGGCTAGTTCTCGTAGAGTTCTATGCTCTGCAATTATTTTAAAATAGTTCCGGCGATTAAACATTTTTTAATAATTTTTAAAATTTTTTAATGTCCGATTTCAGCACGACACTCGAGCAAAGGGTGTCGTGCTGAGTATATATCGCAGTTCTAGGGAGAGTTTTGGCTAGTTCTCGTAGAGTTCTATGCTCTGCAATTATTTTCAATAATAGTTCCGGCGATTAAACATTTTTTAATAATTTTAAAATTTTTTAATGTCCGATTTCAGCACGACACTCGAGCAAAGGGTGTCGTGCTGAGTATATATCGCAGTTCTAGGGAGAGTTTTGGCTAGTTCTCGTAGAGTTCTATGCTCTGCAATTATTTTAATAATAGTTCCGGCGATTAAACATTTTTTAATAATTTTAAAAATTTTTTAATGTCCGATTTCAGCACGACACTCGA